CGTTTGCGTCGCCTCGCAATCGTCCGGATGTCGCGTCTTTTCATGTGCCTCACCCACATGTTTGCGGACCTCAAAGCCACTGGGATCGTTGCACGTCGCTGCATATTCGAGGAGCGCGGGCCCCTCTAAGGTGGAGATTCCATCATCTAGCCCGACGGGGTATCCACTGCAACTCGCAACCAGTGTCGTCGCGCGCCGCGCTCAAGCATCAACATGCAAGATACATGCCGTGCTTGAACGGCCGGAGCGGCTTGCGACTCGCGTGCTCTCGATTTTGACTTCGCATCCCGAAGATCAGCACGCGGACGAAGCACGCGGACGACGCCATGCAGGTGAATCCTGCTATTGAGGGCCTTTGCGATGACTTGCGCGATCTGGCTGTGGGTTTTCATATCGAAGACGGCGTTCTCGTCGACGTCGTCGCAGCGGTCGCCGACCTCAAGCATCACTTGGAAAATTTCGGCCAGCCACCGCGCCTCCACGTGACCCCGTCCTGCCGGGTGCTGTCGGAGACGGCCGCGAACGCCGAGCCGCAGCCCGCGCGCGACGACGACGACGACGACGACGACGCGGCCGAGAGCGCGCCGAAGCGACCGCGATCGGAGGGCGCGGGCGTGGCGACGAACATGAACACGTGGCTCGCCAAGGCGCAGCAGCCCGACGGCGCGCCGCGTCCCAGCCCGCCCGCTGCTGTGCAGCGCCGCGCGCCCGTCGCGCAGACGACCGTGCAGATCACCTTCACGCTCGACTTCGACGCCTTCCTCGGCGAGGAGAACTACCCCAAGGACCCCGCGGCCTTCAAAGCCAAGGTCGTCCAGTGGTTCGAGCGGCGCGTCGGCCTCACCGGCGAGGCCGTCGGCAAGTTCCTCACGCAGGAGAAGCCGACCAAGGTCGTGATCGTCGCCCCCGGCACAAAACTGGCCGTCTACGACCCCCGCGGATGCGTGCTCGTGCCGCAGCTCGTGGCGACGGCCACCCGCAAGGTCGTCGTGCCGGTCTTCATGGGCGACATCCAGGAGCGCGACCGCGAGCGCCTCGCGTCCCTCGCCGTCTGCGGCTCCCTCGTGCACACCTACGTGGGGCGGAACGAAGGAGTTCGGACTCGGATCCCGTCGTCGTTTGCATACTCTGGTGAATTGACGGACCCCTGGCTCGGCGCCATGGCTGCATCGGATCTCGGGACTTGTTTCGTGATGCGCGGAAAACGCTACACGTTCACGGCAGACCTGAAACAAGCTCGGACGCCAGGTTCAGTGGCGATGCTCGCCAAGATAGCGGCGATGTTTGGTACCCATGCAGTTCTCTGTACGCAGAAAAGTGATATTGCGGGTTATGAAAGCCGGGAGGCCCAGCTCGTGATGGTGAAATTACCATATCGACTTGATTGGATCCGGCATCTCGAGCCATACTTCTGGCCCAAGCAAGAGCTGACGCTCCTGCTGGCGGCGGTCGAGAAAGCGGGCCTGTTCCGCGGGGAACCGGGGGGATCGGGCGTTCCGCAGCGATGGGTCGACGCGCGCCTCAATCTGGCTGCCGACTTTGCGCGAGTGAAGACCGAGGCGGGTCAACAGACCCACTCCGAACTCCGCGCGCGGCGCCGGTATGTCGAACAGCGTCAAACTTCCAAACCGCGTGGCGCCCAGGAAATTCGACAATCACAGGTACCTCGACCAGCATGGCCGCATCGTCGCCGACGACCTCGCCAAGACCTTCGGCGGCTTCCTATCGGGGGACGCGAGCGCGAAAGCGGACCTCTCGTTCAACATCGTCCAGAGCTACGAGCCTTTCCTCGACGTGATCAGCGAGGATTTGAACGCGACGTTCGGGACCACCTTCGTCGTCTACCAGAAGTCGCACACGGCGCTCTCCGTGAAGCAGCCGTTCGAAGCGGTGTCCTACAATCGCACGGGCAACCGCGCCCTCGCGCGGGCGGTCCTGAGGACGTGCTTCCCCACCTGCTGCCCGAAGCTCGCCGCGCTCCAGGCCATCGCTAACTCGTCGCCGTAGCTTAGGGGTGTTCGTCGACCTCGGGCGCGAGGCCGAGAGTCGCCCAGTTCGCGCACAATTAAATTAACGTTCGACCCGGAAAATAGCGATGTGGCCTGGCTCGAAGTCGGGGTGGAAGGCCGACCGCGGCAGCGTCGCCCAGCGGAGGCCGCGCGCCCGGAACGCCGCGAAGAGGAGCTCGTCGACGGCCGCGGACCGCGTCTGGTGCGCGAGGTAGAGCACCGCGTGTCCTCCCGGGCGCCGCAGCAGCGCGGCGACGCAGTCGGCGAAGGGCGCGACGAGGTGGTCGAGCCAGACCGTGTCCGACGCGAGGACGACGTCGACGCCCGCCGCCGCGACGGCGTCCGGCAGCCCCCGCGTCCAGTCGACCTCGGCGACGGTCGCGACGCCGGGCGCGAGCGCCGCCGCGCGGGCCGCGAGCTCGGGCAGCGCCGTCGCCTGGTCCGTGAGCTCGACGGACGCCGCGCCGAGGAGCGCCGCCGCGAGGCCCGGCAGCGCCGCGGTCCCGCTGCCGAGCTCGACGACGCGCTTCCCCTCGACGAGCTCGGGCGCGCGCGCGAGGAACATGGCGAGCGCGACGGACCCGTCCCAGGTCGTCGCCGCCGTCGCCGCCGCGTGGCCGCCGCCGACGGCCGCCGCCGTCGGCAGCGGCAGCGGTCGGCCGCCGACGTCCAGCGCCTCGAGCGCGGCGAACGCGCGGCCGGGGAGCGCGAGTTGTTTGTTGTTGCGCGCCGACACCGTCGCGCTCGCCACGTCTCGGCGCCGCCACATGAGCTCGCAGGCGCCGTCGTCGACGCCGGCGGCGCGCAGCGCTGCGGCGCGCACCGTAGCGTCACGTTCGTCGGAGGTGGCGTTCGCAGCGACGGCGGCGACGCACTTGGCGCGGCGCAGCGTTGTGTCTTCGACCTCGACGAGGACCGTGACGTTTGTCGCAGTGCTGCTCATGAGAATCAGCAAGTAGAGACGCATTTCATTGCGCAGGAAGCTGGCCAGATCATGCTCGCGCGCTCGCCGAAGATTTGCCACTGCAAAATTACGGCAAAGAGCACTCAAGCAAACTGGGCTGCCCGCTCCTCTGAGCTCGTCCACTGCGTCGTCGCTGCGCGCGCACGACGGTCGCACGACATCAACGCCCTCGCAACAACTCACAAAACAGCATGCGGCTCGCTACAATCATCGCCGGAGCCATGCAATTGAGCACGATCAGCGCTCTGAGCGCCGCTGCAAAGCTGCGCGCCGTCCTGCAAGCGCCCGGCGCCGTCCTGTGCCCAGGCGTGCACGACGCGCTGTCGACGCGCGTCTTCGCGGAAGCGGGCGCCAATGTGCTCTTCCTGAGCGGCTTCGGAGTCTCCGCGTGCCGCGGCGAGCCCGACGCCGGCATCCTCACGCGCGTCGAAATGGAGGAGGTCGCGCGGCAGTGCGTCGCCGCGGCCGGCGGCGTGCCGTTGATCGTGGACGGCGACACGGGCTTCGGCGGCGCGTCGAACCTGCGGCGCACCGTCCACGGCTTCGCGGCCGCCGGCGCGGCGGCCGTCAGCATCGAGGACCAACAGTTCCCGAAACGTTGCACTTTCCAGGCGGGCTCCGGCGTGCGCGTCGTCGACCGCGACGCGGCGGTCGCGCGCGTGCGGACGGCGCTCAAGGCGCGCGACGAGTCGCGGGAAGCGGGGCGCGACATCCTCGTCATCGCGCGGACCGATTGCCGCGCGGCGCTGGGCTTGGAGGAGGCCATTGCGCGCTGCGAGGCCTTCGCGGCGCTCGGCGCCGACGTCGTCTACGCCGAGAATCTCCAGGACAAGGAGGAGTATGCGGAGCTGAGCTTGAGAGTCTCATCCACCCATCTCATGCTCGCCCAGCTCCAGCGGGGCGACGCTCCGTCGCTCTCGCCCGACGACGTCGCGAACCTCGGCTTCGACCTCTCGCTCGTGGGCGTGACCGCGCTGCAGGCATACATCGCGACCCTCCAGTCGACGGCGAAAAGCCTCCTCGCAACCGGCGCCGCGAGCGACCTCGCGCCCTTCGACGAGGTCAAGAGGGTCGTAGGCTTCGACGAGCTCCTCGACTTCGAGGAGAGATACGCGTGCGACTAAGTTAACTCCGCCTGTTGGACGCGGCGGCTCGCGATCCACGCAACAAGAACCGCGCCCGCGGCGTAGATCGCGCCAAAAAAGACTCCGGCGGCGTTCGGCGGCGCGGCCGCGGGCCGCGGCGGCGCGGGCGTCGGCGCGGGCGTCGGCGCGGGCGCCCCTTTCTTTGTGTAGCCGAACATGGCCGCGTCGCGCGCGACGGCCGCCGACACCCTCGTGCAGACCTCCCGGGTCGTCGGCGGCCGCGCGCCAAAGTGCGTCTCGATGGCGTTCAACCGCTCCAGCCACTGCTTGCCGCGCGCGTGGGACCGGGCCTTGCCCTGGCCGAAGACGAACTGTCGGTTCGCCATCTTCGCCGGGTTGATCGCGCCGAGGCTCGGCAGCCACGCGCGGAGCCGGTCCGCGACGTCCCGCGGCCGCCGCGCGAGGTCCTCGTAGCGCACGGATAGCGTCGGGTGGCCGCGGGCCTCGACGGCGCGCCGGTCGTTCGCCAGACGCTGGAGCTCGCGGGCCCAGAGCGCGCCGCCGCGGCCGTCGGCCTTGGGAGGGCCGGCGTCGCAGACAAAGCGCGTCAAAAAAAGGAACGCGACGCGCCGGTTCCGCCGCGCGGCCTCGTCCGCGATGTTCGCCGCGCAGCCCGCGAAGGCCGGCGACTTGTCGACGAAGACGGAGTCTTTCGAGGAGGGCAGTTTCGGCCGCTCGTCCTCGGGGACGTCGAGGATCGATTTCAGCTGCGCCTCGCGCGCGGCGGCCCAGCCCTTGTCGAACTCGGCGAAGGCCGCGGGCCAGTCGACGTCGCCGGGCGCGAAGGCGCTGTAGTTGCCGCCGTGGAGCGCGTCGCGCTGCGCCATCGTCATGATGCCCTCGCGGACGAGCGCCTTCTCGCCCTCGCAGGCCCAGACGCCCAGCACGCACAGGGTCCGCACGCGGATGGACTGCGCCAGGAGCATGAGCACGGGCGTCGACGCCGAGGACCCGTCGCTGATGACGAAGAGGTAGACGGGGCCCGTGGGGGACCCGCGCGCGAAGACCGCGGGGCCGGGGACGCGCGCGGCCCAGTCGGGCCGCGAGCAGACCTCGACGCCGCCGGCCGCCTCGACGGCGCCGCAGGCGTCGGAGAAGGTCGAGGCCGTCGGCGCGTAGGTCGCGGCCGCCGGCGACGGCGCGTAGGTCGGGAGGGACGCGTTCGCCGCGTTCGCCGCGGCCGGGGGCGCCTTCGCGGCGGCGGACTCCGCCGCGTGCGCGCGGTGCATGGGCGCGTGCGACTTCGGCGCGTCGGACGTCATCATCGTGCGCGCCGCCAGAGCCTGGACGACGGCGGGGTCCTTCGGGGGCTTCTTGTAGGGGCCGCGGTGGACGCCGACGGGCGGGATCCGCTCGTGGACGCCGACGGGCGGGATCCGCTTCTTCGCCTTCTTGAGGAGCCGGCGGCGGCCGTCGAGGCGCGCGTTGACGCGGTCGACGACGGCGACGTCGCACAGGTTCGCCTCCCGGAGCCGCGCGAGGGCCCGCGTTGAGACGACGATGCCGTGGTCCTCGGCGTAGGCCTCGGCTGTCGTCCGCGCTTTTCGCGCGCCGCCGCGCCGCGCGTCCTCGGACACGTCCAGCGACACGCCGAGCCGGTCCCGGGCCACCGCCGCCGACGCCTCGGGCCGATCCGCCGGGTTCAACACGACGTCGAAGCGGTCGACGACGCGCGTCGCGCGGTCCGTCGCCGCCTCGTCGCACGCGAGGCCCGGCACGGGCGTCCCGAAGCCGCCGACGAGGTGCCGCGTCTGGAAATTGCGCAGGTGCATGGTCGCGAGCGTGTCGCCCGGCGTGTCCAGTAGTTTGTCGAGCCAGCCCTTCTTCTTGACGTCGAGCTTCGAGAACCAGGCCATGCGCGCGTGGCTCAGGAAGCGGACGACGGGATCGCGCGCGAGCAAAACCGTCGTCTTCGCGCCGCCGAGCGCCGCCGCCAGCAGCCCCGCCGCGGGGAAGCGGCCCTTGGCGTCGAAGACCTCGAGCGCCGTGACGCCGCAGGCCGGCGCGGCCTCGCCGTCGGGCCGGCAGTTGCGATGGCGGTCGTAGGGCTCGTCGCGCGCGGCGCACGCGGCCGCGCACAGCGCGGAGCCGCCGCACTTCATCGGGTGCAGCAGGAAGAAGTCCGTGGACGCTGTTCGTCGCGCGCAGGCCTTCGGCGCCGGCACCCCGCGGAACGCGAAGAGGTCGCACGCCGCGGGGCATCGCTTTAAAAGCTCGTCGCGATTCGATCCGGACAGGAAGCGGTCCGCGGCGTGGACGCCAAAGGGCGTGTAGCCCCCGGCGTAGGTCGTCTCGACGCTGAACCTCGCCGCCAGGACCTCCGGCGCGACGGCCGACGCGTTGCGGCCCCGGAACCCGCGCGACGCCCAGCGGTCGACGTGCTCGCGGCCCCGCGGCGGCGCGCGCGCCGCGAGCTCGACGGCGGGCGCCGCGCGCCAGAGCGACAGCCCCGAGTTGCCGACGCACTTCGCCGACGGGCGCGCCCTGGCGTCGCAGTCCTTCCAGGGCGCGCCGACGTAGGCGTAGCCGAGGAACGACGCGAGCGGCGCCGACGGCCGGTCGCAGAACGCGGCGTCGAGCTCGAAGATCAGGACGTACTCCGACGCGAAGCGCCGCCAGAAGGACGGCGACCCGAGGAGCCGGTTGTACCAGCCCGTGCGCGCGGCGTAGTCCTTGGCGTTCGAGTAGCCGTAGTGGTCTTTCGAGGAGCCGCCGTCGCGCGACGCCTTCGCGAGCTTGTGCTGGACGACGGTGCCGGCCCGCAGCGCGGCGCGGAGCGGGCCGTGCGACGCCACGACGTCGCCGTTGCGCGGGCCGTGGAAGACGTGCACGATCCAGTCGAGCGGGAGCGCCGTCCGCGCCTGCGCGACGACGGCCGCGAGGCGCGCGTGGTCGCGCAGCTCGACGATGGCCGCCGAGCCCTCGGGTGTCGTCTTCGTCGCGCCGCCGAGGCACGGCGCCAGCACGGCGACGAGGAGAGCGACACGCGCGATCATGGCATTTTATCTCTGAGCGTCGATCATCGTCACGCGTGGGACAACCAAGGGGAAGCTCATACCCGCTTTTTCATGGTGCCTTTGTGAATGAAACGAGCCTGTTTCACGATGGCTCGAGCTCCGTAAGCAGCCCATGCGCCTGGAAGACATGGCGGCGGGCCACGTCTTCATCAATGGCGTGCCGCTGGCCCGGGCGCGCTTCGACGAGTGGATGGCCGGCTCGACGAGCCACGACTGCCTGCCGACGCTCGTCGTCGACGTCGCGCGGCCGCTCGAGGCGCCGGCGCCGGGCAGCGGCGCGTCCGCCGGCCGGCGGTCGCCGAAGAAGTCGCGCGGGCGGCCCTACCTGCCGAGCCGGCCCGCGGGCAAGAAGAAGCGGCCGCAGTCCGCGGGCGCCGCGCGCCGCGACGAGCCGCCGCGGTCGAACGGCGCGGCGGCGGCCGCCGCGGCCGCGCCGTCGCCGAAGCGCCGCGGCCGGCGCACGCGGCCGGCGTCGGCGCACGCCGGCTCGAAGGCGTCCCGCCAGCGCCGCGACGCCGCGGCGGCGGCCATCGACCGGCTGCGGGCGGCGCTCGAGGCCGACGAGCGCGGCGCGGCCGACGAGCGGGACCGGCTCCGGAGCGAGCTCGACCTCGAGCGCCACCGCGCCGCGGAGCTCGCGCGGACCATGGAGTCGGCGCTCCAGGTCCACGCCTCCGCCGCCGTGCGCGAGGCCGCCATGTCCCACGCGGCCGCGGCGATCCTGCGCGCGTCGCCGCAAACCGGCGGCGCCGCCGCGCCGCCGGCGATCGCCGCCGCGGCGCCGCCGCGCGCGCCCGTCTTCGACGACGACGACGACGACGACCCCTACGCGGGGCTCGGCGACGACTTCGACGACGACCCCTACGGCGACGACTTCCTGAGCCCCGTGGGCGTCGACGCGGCGACGCCGCGCGGCGCGAGGACGCCCGGCGCCGGCGACGACGCGGCGGCGTCGTGGCCCGCGGAGTCGCCCGCGACGCCCATCCTCTCGACGCCCCGCGCCGCGCGGACGCCGAACCTCGCGAGCGACACCGTCGTCGGCGTCCAGGCCGCGGTCCGGGGCCGCGCGGCGCGCAAGTCCGCGTTGGAGGCGCGCGAGCAAACGGCGTCCGCCGCGCGGCTCCAGGCGAGCTTCCGCGGCGCCGCGGCGCGCCGCGCGAGCGCCCTGCTGCGCGCGCCCGTGCCGGCGCCCCTGGTCGAGCCCGCGGTCGCCGCGCCGGAGGAGCCGTCGCCGACGTACGACGACGACGAATTCTACGACGAAGATTTCGAGGCCGACGCGGGCGCCGACGCCGCGGAGCGGGAGGCCGCCCGTCTGGAAGCCGAGAAGGAGGAGGCGGCGCGGGTCGAAGCCGAGGCGGAGGCGGCGCGGGCCGAGGCCGAGGCGGAGGCCGCGCGCTTAGAAGCCGAGGCGGAGGCCGCGCGGGCCGAGGCCGAGGCGGAGGCCGCGCGGGTCGAAGCAGAGGCGGAGGCCACGCGGGTCGAAGCCGAGGCGGAGGCCATGCGGGTCGAAGCCGAGGCGGAAATCGCGCGGGCGGAAGCCGAGCTGGCGGAAACGGCGCGCGTCGAGGCGGAGGCGGAGGCCGCGCGGGTCGAAGAGGAGGCGCAGGCCGCGCGCGAAGCGGAGGCCGCGCGTCTCGAGGCCGAGGAGGAGGCGGCGCGTCTCAAGGCCGAGGAGGCGGCCGCGCGTCTCGAGGCCGAGGAGGAGGCCGCGCGTCTCGAGGCCGAGGAGGAGGCGGCGCGTCTCGAGGCCGAGGAGGACGCGGCGCGTCTCGAGGCCGAGAAGGAGGCCGCGCGTCTCGAGGCCGAGGAGGACGCGGCGCGTCTCGAGGCCGAGGCGGCCGCCGCGGCGGAGCCGGAGCCGGAGGCCGACGAGCCCGCGGCGCCGGTCCGCGCGTCGGACCTCTTCCTCGCGCGGAACACGCACAAATTCATGAGCACGCGCGAGCCCGCGGAGCTCCGAAAGAGACCCGTCGAGGCCGCGCGCGTGCAGGAGGAGGACGAGGAGTCGTCCGAGGCGGAGGAGCCGGCGGAGCCGCCGGCGCGCCCGGAGCCCGACGCGGGCCCCGAGCCCTCGGCGGCCGTCGCGCCGGAGCCCGACCGCGCGGAGCCGCCCGCGCCGGCGGCCGCGAGGGACGACGACACGGCGTCGACGCCGCCGCCGCCGCACGACGCCGACGACGACCACAAGACGGAGGCCACGGACGTGCTCCACCCGACGAGCACGTCCAGCGAGAGCGGCAAGGCGAGCCACCACAGCGCCTTCTCCGGCCCGGAGCTGCCGTCGGCCGTCGCGAGCGCGCTGCGACACCACCACGCGCCGGAGCCGCAGGCCTACGACGACGACGACTTCGAGGACGACGCGTCCGCGCTCGAGCCGCCGCCGGGGACCGAGCCCGCCGAGCCCGCGCCCGAGCCGGCGGCGCCCGAACCGGAGCCCGAACCGGAGCCGGTGGCGGCGCCCGAACCGGAGCCCGAGCCCGAGCCTGTACCGGCTCCCGAGCCCGAACCGGAACCGGCGCCCGAGCCCGAGCCCGAGGCCGGCGACGGCTACGACGACGACTTCTTCGAGGCCGACGCGCAGTCCGACGCGACGGACGTCGTGCACCCCGCGAGCGCGGAGCCGACGCCCCGCGAGCCCCCGCCGCGCCCCGCGGCCGTGGACCCCAGCCGGGCGACGTTCGACGCGTCGCCGCGCTACGACGACGACGGCTTCGACGAGCCCGTGACGCCGCAGGAGCCCGACGACGCGCGGCCCGCGCCGTCGCCGCGAGCGACCTTCGAGCGGTCGCCGCGGTCCGAGTCGTCGCCGCGCTACGACGAGGATTCGTGGCACGACGCGTCGCCACGCGCGGCGCCGGCCGACGTCGCGGACGCCGTCGCCGCGGCCGGGAGCGACGCGACGGAGTCGCCGCGCTACGACCTGGACGCCTTCGACGAGACGCCCCTCGAGGAGCACCGAGCGGCGGAGCAGCCGGCGGAGGAGCCCGCGGCGGCGCCCGCGGGCGAGGACGACGAGTTCCTCGACTGCGAGTCGGCGCCCGTCGCGCCCGTCGCCGAGTGCGGCGAGCTCCACGTCGGCGACGTCGTCCAGGCGCCCGTGGACGGCCTGCGCTTCGAAGGCGTCGTCGACGCCATCGAGGGCGGCACCGTCCACGTCGACTTTGGCGACGAGGACGTCGCCGTCGTCGCGCGCGGCGACGTCGCGCGCGTCCGGTCGTGGGCCGTCTGCGAGCCCGGCGACGCGGCGCTCGTCACGGAGGCCGGCGGCGTGCTGCGCTTCCGCGCCAAGGTCGAGGCCGTGGAGGTGGACCTCGCGAACCAGCAGCACACGTACACGGTGGTCTACGGCGAGGGCGACGGCGAGGCGGGCGTGTCCGAGGACCGCATCACCAAGATCGAGTCCGCGCGCGCGTCGCACGGCCACTGGAAGAAGGCCCTCCACGCCGTCCTCGCCGCGAACCGCTTCCAGGGGGCGATGCCCAAGGGCGACGCGGCGGCGGCGCCGGCGCCGGAGCCCGCGGCCGCGCCCGAGCCCGCGCCGGCAGAGCCGGCGCCGGAGACAGCGGCCGCTCCCGAGCCGCAGCTGACGGCTCGGGAGCCGGAAGTCGCGGCCGCCCCCGAGTGCACGTCCAAGACGGGGCCTCCTCCGGAGCCGGAAGACGCGGCCGCTTCCCATCCCGAGCCCGCGACCGCCCCGGAGCCGGAGATCGCGGCCGCTCCCGAGCCCGCGCCGGAGGAGCCCGCGCCCGCGCCCGCGCCGGCGGCGCCGGAGCCCGCGCCGGCGGCGCCGGAGCCCGCGCCCGCCCCCGAGGAGCCCGCGGCGCCGGAACCTGAGGAGCCGCCGGCGCCCGAGCCGGCGGCGCCAGAGCCCGCGCCCGAGGCGCCCGAGGAGTCCGACGACGACGGCTACGACGACGACTTCTTCGAGCCCGAGGCGCCGGCCGCCGCGGACGACGCGCCGTCGGCGGCGCGGCGCATGTCGCTGAACGCGGCCGCGGCCGCGCGGCTGTCGCTGTCGCTGTCGTCCGGCGCCGCGGCGCCGCCCGGGCCCGGGGACGCCGCGGCGCTCGCGGACACGCTCGCGGCGAGTGAGATGGCGCGCTTCAAAGCCTCGGGCAGGGCCGCGGCGCAGCGGCGCGTGTCCGCGGCGTCCGCGGAGGCCGCTCGCGTCGCCGAGCTGCTGGCGTCGCGCGCGCCCGCGTCGGCCGCGGCCGCGGCGCGCGAGGCCGAGGAGCGAAGTCTCGCGGCGGCGTCCGCCGAGGCGGAGCGGAAGCGGCTCCGGGGCGAGGACGACGTCCTCGAGCCCCTGCCGCGGGGCCTGGACCGGCGGCGCCCGAGCGCGGGGTCCGCGCTCGCCGTCGCTTCGTTGGAGAAGGTCCGCGCGTCCCTGGCCGACCCCGACGCCGTGACGCCGCGGGGCTCCCGCGACCTCGCGACGCCGCGGGGCTCGCGCGACTTCGCGCGCCCGGCGCCGGCGCCCGCGGAGGACGCCGTCGGCGCGCTGCCGGGGAGCCGGCCGCCGCTGCGACGGAACGTGTCGAGTTCGGCCATCGATGCCGCGGCGTCCAAGCAGCGCCAGGAGGGCCTGCTGCGCGACCCGGCGCCCATCCCGTCGCCGCGCGCGGCCGCGCCCGCGCCCGCGGACGAGCCCGCCGCGGACGAGCCCGCCGCGGTCGAGCCCGCGCCGGTCGCGCTCGCGCGCGCCGCGTCGGAGGAGGAGATTCGCGCCGTCGCCGCGGGCGCCGCGGCGACCGCCGAGTCCGCGGCCCTCGACCGGGTCTTCCGGGCGTCGCGCGACGCCGCGCCCGAGCCCGCGGCCGCGGCCGCGGCCGCGTCGCCGCGGTCCGAGGAGGAGCCGCCGTCGTACCGCGGGTCGCCGCGGTCCGCCGACGGGGCAGCCGCCGCGCCGGAGGCCGACGCGCCGGCGACGAGGTCCCCGCGCCACCTCGCGCCCGCGCCCGCGCCGGAGCCCGAACCGGAGCCGACCTACGACGACGACTTCGCGGACTCGCCGCGGGAGCCGGACTACGGCGACGACTTTGGCGACGCGGCGGGTCGCGACGCGGCGCCCGCGACCGAGTCCCCGCGGGAGCCGGACTACGGCGACGACTGGGCGGACGAGGAGCCCCCGCGAGCCTCCGAGGCCGCGAAGCCCGCGGTCGTCGACCCCGAGCCGGAACCCGAGCCGAGGGCCGTCGAGCCGGAGCCCGTCGGCGAGCCGGAGGCCGTCGAGCCGGAGCCCGTCGAGCCCGAGCGGGAGTCGCCGCGAGACGTCGAAGAGGAGCCGAGCTACGAGGACGACTTCCAGGACGACTTCCCGGCCGCCGCGCCCGAGGACGCGCCGGTCGAGGAGAGCGACGACGTCCGGTGCACGGTGATCCACGCCTTCGAGGCCGACGGCGAGGGCGAGATGAGCATCGCGCTCGGCGAGAAGATCCTCGTGACGCGGTCGGACCTCGAGGAAGACGACGGCTGGTGCTACGCGACGAAGGTCGGCGCCCCGCCCGAGAGCGGCGGCTTCGTCCCGTCGGCGTACCTCGCCGTGGGCGGGCGAGAGCCAGCGGACTAAAAAGTTTGACCTTGCAGTCGTCAAGAACCAGTGCTTGAAGGGGTTTCTTAACGAGATGGATGCTGCCATCTCTCCGTAGAAGCCGCTCCGCCATGCGCCTCTGGGCCTGCCTGGTCACCTGCACAGGCGCGCAGACGCTGGCGCCCACGACGCCGGAGACGACGGACCTCGAGCTCTGGCTGAGCGCGCAGGACCTGCAGCCCGGTCCCGTCGCCTCCTGGCCCGACCGGAGCAGCCACGGCCGCCTCCTCGAGCAGGACGACGCGGCGGCGCAGCCGGTGGCCCTGATCGACGGCAGCGGCCGCGCGCGCGTGGCCTTCGACGAGGCGTGGCTGTCGTTGGGGTGCGACTACATCCACGCGGAAGGAGACGGACTCACCATCTTGGCCGCCGTCCGCGACGTCGTCGACGGCTCGGACTTCGGCCCGGGCGGCGGCGGCGCGGTCACCGCGTCCGGCGACCTGATCGACTTCGGCGCGACCAACGACGGCTACGGTTTGGTCGTCGAAACCGACAGCGTCACGGGCCACGTCGAGGCCACGGAGGCCATCGCCGGCGGCCTGTCCCTGGACGGTTCGACGACCGTCGTCACGGTGGAGATCAACTTCGCCGACGAGACGCTGCGCGTCTTCTTGAATCACACGCTCGCGGACACGGAGGACTCGGGCGTGTCGTCGCTCGCAGTGTGGATTCCAACCACTGGTTTGGGTGGTCCTGACCAAACTTCAGAATTCTCTAGCTCGATCAAATCGAAGTCGATTCGGCTGATTTTTGGACGAATCGATTGCTCTCGTCGAGTTCTCGAAGCACAGCCGAAGAGCTTGCGTCGAAACTGTCGCATATGCGCACATTGAAGTCGGATTGAAGATTTGAATTCCACACAGGTCCTCGTCGCGATGAACGTCGGCATGCTCCTCGCCTGCGGCGTCTACGTCTTCTTCGACGGCCTCGGGCTCCGCGACGAGGACAGCCCCGTCGGCATCGTCGTCGCGCGCGCGCGGAGCCGGCTCCGGACGCTGAGCTCCCCGCGCAAGCTCAAGGACGCGCCGCCGCCCGAGGCCGCCAGAGCCGCCACGGAGCTCACGACGAACCCCATGGCATCGGCGCGGGCCCTCAAGGTCGCCGACGCCAGCGAGGTCCTCGCCCGGACGCCCCCGGATCCGGACGCGCCGGACCGGACCGGCGCCGTGTAAGGAACGACCCCCGCCTACTGCAACGTCTTCCGAAGGAGTCCGTGTTTTTTCAGGATCTTCAACTCACTTCAACATAGATTCACGATTGCGTCACCTCAAAGAGCTGAGGAAGGCACGATCGAAGAAACGCTCAGGCAAAACCTCTCTGCTCTCGTATGGTGGTCGTGGCCATGGGCTAGGACGCGGTCCTGCTTCGCATGACTTCCCCGGCCCGGGACCCCCCGCGCGGGGACCACGAAAGACGACGGCATCGGCGGCGGCGCCGCGGCGCCGCGGGCAGCCTTTCGGCCTGGGCCGCGCGGGCTGCCCTGGTGCTGCTGCCGGCGTGCGCCGGGGCGACCGCCGCGCCGTCGATGGCGCCGTGCGTGGACTCGGCGACCTACGCGGACCCCGTGTACGGCGACGGCTGCGCCGCGTGGGCCGGCGCCGATTGCTCCGGCCGCGCGTTCTCGGCCGAGCTCGTCGCCAACTGCACCGCGGCGTGCGGCGGCTGCGCGCCGAGCGCCGCGCCGACGGCGCCGCGCGGCGACGACGGCGACGACGGCGACGACGACCTGAACTCGGAGAACGCGGTCATGGTCGGCGGCGGCGTGCTCGTCGTCGTGCTCTGCGTCTTTTGCTGCTTCAAGCTGCTGCCGCACTTCGAGTACGAGCGCGCGAAGCACAACAACAAGCTCTACCCGGGCACGGTCATGGTCGTCAAGCCCGCGAGCCCCGGCCGCGTGGCGCCCCTCATGTTCGGGCCCGAGAGCTACGACATCCCGACGCCGAACCAGCAGCGGAAGGCGTCGGAGCGCGCGACGAAGCACCTCAGCGTCGAGCACAAGAACCGCGTCACCGCGATGATCGAGCACGACCGGAAGCGCGCCGAGGAGCAGGCCAAGGAGGACCTCGAGCTCCTCGACGTCGTCCCCTCGCCCAAGGCCCCGGGCGAGCGCCGCTCCGTCGCCGTCGCGACGCCCCTCTCGCACGGCGGCGCGGGCCGCCGCGGCACCGCGGGCCGCGGCAGGATGATGCCCACCTAGCAGCCACGCCCCCGCGCATAATGAGCAGCTCGGTCGCAGGAACAATGCCGATCGCGACGCGCTTAGTGATCACGACGCGCCAAGTTGACGCGCCATCGCGGAGCTTGAAGTCGTCCTTGAAGCCTCCTGGGACTTCTCCTGGGGCAGCCCGGCTCACGATGTGATGGTCGCCGCCTTTCAGCGCCTCGTGCTGGTCGCTGCCGTCGTCGCCTCCTGGCCCTGCGACGACGCGAGCACGGCGGCGTGCCTCGAAGGCGGCGACGCGTGCGGCGCGACCTGCGCGACGCCGCCGTCCTTCACGCGCCGCTGCCTCGATAGTTTCGTGCCCTTTCGCACGCCCTACTCGCGCGTCGCGTGTTGCCTGCGGCCCTGCTTCGCGCACCACGTACAGGCCTACGGCCTCGACGCAAACTGGCGGCGGTTCCGCGCCACGGAGGGCGCGGCGCCGGGCGGCATGCTCGACCTGCTCGTCGCGCACGACGGCGAGTCGACGCTGCCGTTCGCGCCGCGGCGCCTGTCCAAGGTGCGCAACGCCTGGCTCAACGACCGCGACCCGAAGTTGAGGCAGGCCCAATCGAGCCTGGGGCCGGAGCTCCGGCTCGACTGCCGCGGCGACGGCTGCCGCGCGGCCGACCGCCGCGACACGGAGCAGCGGCTCTGGAGCGTCGACCGCACGGGCACGCCGGCGACGAAGACCGGCGCGCCGGTCCTCGCCGCGGGCGACGTCGGCGACCTCGGCGGCTGGGTCGAGGCCCACTTCCCGGACGGCTGCGGGAGCCACAGCCGTTCGCAGCCCTTCGCGGCCTATCGCGAGATCACGCTCGCGTCTTTGTTCCACGCGGCCGCGGGCGACGCCGAGCTCACGCTCGTCACGTCGACGGACTGCGACCTGCCCCACGCGCCGCCGAAGCCGCTCGCGCGCGACGGCTTCAAAGGCGAGCGCTCGCTCCTCGAGACGGCCGCGCTGCGCGCGTGGCTGTGTGGAAACCAACCACTGGTTTGGGTGGTCCTGACCAAACTTGAGAATTCTCTAGCTCGGTCAAATCGAAGTCGATTCGGCTGATTTTTGGACGGATCGATCGCTCTCGTCGAGTTCTCGAAGCCCAGTCAAAGAGCTTGTGTCCAAACATTCGAATACGCTCACATTGAAGTCGGGTTGAAGATTTGGTTTCCACACAGGCGCGTGGTACACGACGAACCCGTCGGACCACGGCGGCGCCGCGCACGCCAAGCTCCGCGCCGTGCCCATCGGCGTCGCGAACCGCGCCGCCCTGCTCGGGAGCCTGGACGGGCGCGAGGGCCTCGACCGGCGCGCGCGCGTCCTCGCGTGCTGCGCGTCTCCCCCGCGTCCGCGTCTTTCTTTCGGAGCGCATCCCGTCTCCTGTAGGCTGCATGTCGAGCCACCCGACGCCCGCGCGGCGCTTCGAGGCCGGCGCGCCGCCGGCCCACGCGTCCTTCGACAACCTCGGCCCCGAGCTCCGCGCGCGCTACGACAACGTGACCGCGCTTGTGTCGCCCGGGTCCCTCGCGTACAAGTACGCGCACTCGGGCTGGTCCGGCGAGGTCTACTCGCGCGTGCGCCGCTACGCGATCCTCGAGACTTTGAAGGCCAGCGGCTTCGCCAACTGCTCCCACGGCGTCCCCCGGGGCGCGTCCAAGACCAAGCTCGCGGCCTACGCCGACCAGCTCCTCGCGTCGGACTTCGTCGTGTCGCCGCAGGGCAAGGGCCGCGCGTGCCACCGCGACTGGGAGGCCCTCGCCGCCGGCGCCGTGCCCTTGCTCGACTGGGACGCGTCGCCGGCCATGGCGGACCTCTACGCGGAGCTGCCGGTCGTCCGCGTCCGCGACTGGCGCGGCGTGACGCCGTCGTTCCTCGCCGATGCGCTCGCGGACGTCAAGCGGCGGGCCGCGCGGCGCGAGATCGACATGCGCCGCCTCTACCTCCCCTACTGGGTCGCGCGCTTCACGGAGCTCATGGCGGCTGTGAAGTAACGCGTCGTGGGACGGTGCAACTTCGGCGCGACCGACTGCAACAAAAGTCGGCATCGAGCGATGATGGCGTATAGCTAAGCCGGAGTGCCTCCTTTGAGACTCCACCGAGACCCAAACCAGCGCCACAACCATGTCGAGCCTGTCGCGGCGCCAGGTGCGCCTGCGGCGCGAGTACCTCTACCGGCGGTCGCTGGAGGGGAAGGAGAAGGTCGTCTACGAGAAGAAGCGCAAGATCTCCGAGGCGCTGGCCGCGGGCAAGGCGATCCCGACGGAGCTCCGCGAGGAGGAGGGCGAGCTGCGGAAGCTCATCGAGTACGACGGCGCGCGGCACGCGGCGCCCGGGTCCCTCGACGACGAGTACGCGCGGACGCTCCGCGGCGAGCGGCTCGCCAAGGTCTGCGTGTGCACGTCGCGCGACCCGAGCTCGCGCCTGAAGCAGTTCGCCAAGGAGCTCAAGCACATGGTGCCCAACGCGACGCGCGTGAACCGGGGCAACACGCGCGTCGGCGACCTCGTCGACGCGACGCGGCGCGGCGAGTTCACGGATTTGGTCATGGTCCACGAGACGCGGGGCCAGCCCGACGGCCTCGTGGTCTGCCATTTACCGCTGGGCCCGACGACCTACTTCACGCTGTCGAACTGCGTGCTCCGCCACGACATCGACGCGCCGCCGCCCTTCTCGTCGGACGCGCCGCCGCACCTCGTCTTCCACGACTTCGACGACGGCAAGCGCCTCGCGAAGCGCCTCAAGACCGTGCTCCAGTGCCTCTTCCCCGTGCCCAAGGCCGACGCGAAGCGCGTCTGCACCTTCTACAACGCCGCGGACCGGATATCGTTTCGCCACCACACGTACGAGCGCGACGGCCCCGACGTGCACCTCACGGAGCTCGGGCCCCGCTTCGAGATGACGCCCTACATGATCAAGCTCGGCACGCTCGACCAGGCCGACGCCGACGTCGAGTGGGTCCTCCGGCCCTACATGAACTCCGCTAAGAAGATCATATAGGTCGCGGCTCGTCTGGGGGCAGGGAGCAGTGCCGGCGGGAGCACCTCGGAGTGTGCCCGCCGCGGCGACCGAGTCATCACGACGACCTTCCACAAGTCGTGCTCGCCGAAGAAACCGCCGGATCTCCCCCCCTTTCCTCATCCAGTGCATCTCCGCGTCCGGTTCAACCGTCCTGAGTCGTCGTCGCCCTCAGAGCGCATCCATCAGTCATCGAGTGTGGTCATTTCGATCGCCATCGGACTCGAAAGATTCGAAAGAAAATCGAGTTGCGAAACCGCTGTCGTCGAGCCCGCCGGTCGCACCCGTGCGCGCGGCGTGTCCGCGGACGCCGCGGGCGCGCGCCTTCGCCGCCGGGAACGGCGCCGGTCCCGAGCTCCGGATTACGCGCGCGCGCGAGACGTCGGACGCGCGTTTCTCGAGACGACCCGCCGCAGGCATCATGGGTTGCGGCATGTCCTCCGATGCCTCCGCCATGCCCGCGGGCGGCGCCCAGGCCGTCATGATCATGACCGTGCCGCCGGAGCTCGAGGAGCGCGTCACCAAGTTCTGGGAGCTCCACGCCAAGTGGATGGCCTACACGCACGTGTCGACGGGCGAGAAGACGTGCCTCTTCTACCACGTCTGCAAGGGCCCCGAGGTCGAGGACTTCACGAGCGGACCGTCCGCGAAGAAGACGGGCAACGTCACGTTCACGATCACGGAGTTCTACGCGACGCCCGCCGGCCTCGACACGCACTTCGCCATGTTCGCCGCGGGCCACGCGGAGATGGCCGAGTTCGGCAAGGAGTTCGGCGAGCTCATGGCCACGGGCAAGGTCAAGTTCTCGGGCCACGGCTACGGCACGACCGTCGCGTCCATCGGCGCCGCGGAGTTCCCGCCGACCTACGACGGCTTCGAGCCCTAGGCGCGAGGACGCGCAGCGCCGCGACAAGCGCGGCCGCGGAAGCGCACGCTCGCGAGTAGCGCCCAGCTGACGCGCGCCTATATATCAAAAAAGGCGATTATCGAAAGCGCTCGAGGCGCTCCTGGAGGCGCGTGATGAGGCTCTGCGCGCGCGGGACCTTGTAGACGTTGGCCTTGAGCGCGAGGTCGTCGCCCGCCTGGCCCGCGCGGATGTGGAGCGCGACGACGTCCTGCTCGCGGGCCCGCGGGAACGTGAGCTTGACGAGCTCCGTGAGGTGGTGGTTCGACTTGACGACGCCCTTGCCGCCGAGCTCGATGCGGCGGCCGCGCGTGTCGAAGACGAGGAGCCGCTCGCGGTTCACGCCGATGCAGCGCAGGAGCTTCTCCTCCGTGAGCGCGTTGCGGCCGAAGACGCCCGCGGCCTTGTTGGGCTTGAGCTTGAAGCACATGAAGAGGATCGTGTCGGGGAGGCACGACGAGTCGAACGTGACCTCCTCGCCCTTCTGGAGGCCCGCGATGCGGTGCTGCGCGAGCGCGAGGACCGCCGCGTCCTCGGCGCTCAGCGGCGGCGGCGCCGCGGGCTTGGGCTTGGGCGGCGACGGCTCCGCGGGGGCCTTGCGCTCCTCGCGGGTCCGCGACGGCGACCCCGCGTAGTCGAGCTCGTCGTCGTCGTCGTCGTCGTCGCCGATGGAGAAGCAGTTCGCCGGCGGCGCGGGCGGCGAGCCGACGTCGTCGGGCGGCGGCGGCGCGGCCGTGTTCAGCGGCGACTTGGGCGTCAGCGCGGGGTCCGACTTGGCCATCGTCGCCGCGGCCTTGGACGCGGCCTCGGACATCTTCCTGCCGTAGGACCACGCGCTCGACATGGAGCTCTTCATCGACGCGCTGCTGAGCCCGAAGTTCCGCGCGGGCGCGGGCGCCGGCGCCTCGCCGGTGTCTTTGGCGTCCTTGCCGCTCCAGAGCTGCGGCGCCTTGAAGTTCATCGACGGCGCCTTCATGGCCGCGGGCAGCTTCGCCTCCGCGGCCATGCGCCGCATGCGCTGCATGGCCGTCTCCTTGGCGGGCGTCGCCGGCGCCGCGGCGGACGCCTCGGCCTCGTCGTCGTCGTCGTCGTCCGGCGCGACGGAGAACTCGGGCGTCGCCGGCGCCGGCGCCGGCGCCGCGGCCTCGGGCGCCGCCGGCGCGGGCGGCGGCTTCGTCGCGGCGTTCAGCGTGAAGTGGCGCCCGTGCTTCTTCTCCGCGGCGGGCGTCGCCGGCGCGGGCGCCGGGGCCGCCGGCGCGGGCGGCGGCGTCGCCTCCGCCGGCTCGGGCGCCGGCGTCGCCGGCTCGGGCAGCAGCGACTCGGCAGGAGGGAGCGCCGGGGGAGCCGCCTCCGCCGCCGGCTCGGGCAGCAGCGCCGCCGGCTCGGGCAGCAGCGTCGCCGGTTCGGGCAGCAGCGACTCGGTAGGCGGGAGCGCCGGCTCCGCGGCCGGGAGCAGCGGCTCCGGCGGTGGGAGCACCGGCTCCGCGGGAGGCAGCACGGATTCCGCGGGAGGGAGCACCGGCTCCGCGGGTGGGAGCGCGGGCTCCGCCGGGGGAAGCGCGGGCTCCGGCGGCGCGACGGCGTCGGGCGTCGGCGGCGGCGACGCGTCGGTCGCTTCGTTCGCCGTCTCCGGGCTCAGCGGCGTATCGGCGTTGAGGAACCGTTCGATGTCCGACGACGACGTCACGGCGGTCGCCGTCACGGGCGTCGACGGAACAGGCTCCGCCGCGGGAGCCTCTGGCATCTGTTGCTGCTCGGGCGCCGCGTCGTCATCGTCGCTGCTGTCGGCTAAGAAATCGTCCATCTCGCACGCGTCTCGGCGACGCGGAGAAACCCTCGCGACGCGGCGACGGGCCTTCGCGACGCGCGCAATCGCGGGCTCCAGAACGGTGGAGCTGGCCGGCTTGGTTCAACAAGAGTTCACCATCTCTTCAACGCCCCAATATCAAGCACTGTCCGATGAGCGCATCCTTCCTGCGGGCAGCACCATGAAGCGCGTGCGCGTCGTGCCCGATGACCCGCGGCGGCAGAAAATCGTCGCCCTCGTGGGCGAGGCGGCCTTCGCCAAAACGGTGCGGAAGGACCGCGACCCCTGGGGCGAGCGCCAGACCTGGCGCGCGATCGCCGAGCGCCACCTCCTCCTGCTCGTCTGGTCGCTCGTCCTCGTCCTGTGTTTGACGCTCCAGCACCTCCTGCGGGGCGAGACGTCGCCGCGCCACAACACGCGCGCCGGGCCCCTGCCCGCGGACCTCTACTTCGACGAAAACTGCAGCTTCGTCGATCCGGACCGGACGACCGCCCGGGGGGGCGGCCGGTTCCACGCCGACACCTACGGCAACACGACGTTCCCCGAACGGTCGAAACCAGTCCGCATCCCGGGCGTCGGCGGCGCGCCGCGCCGCTGCATCTATCGCGAGGAGTTCCCCGAGAGCGAGCACTGGGAATGCGAGGCGGAAGTGCAACGCGCGCAACGCGACCCTGCTCGTCTTGGCGCCGGGCGACGTGGACCGCCTCGTCGCAGAGGGAGGATTCGGCTTCGAGCAAGTGGATTGCAGGAATTACAAAAGGGTGAACGACGAGCAGACCATGCGCCAGCGATACGTCGGTTGGACGGGGCTCTACCGCGAGGAGGTGCTCGGCTTCGGCCGCGGCAAGATCGACAACTTCGACCGCACCTGCGGGTGGCGCTGGAGCCGCGGCGGGCGCGCGGTGCGGTGGTCGCCGCGCAAAAACGCCCTGCCAAATGGGAACGACGCCACCGTGAGTGCTGGCTTGGCCCCGCGCGACACGAGCCGCGAGGGCTACGAGAAAGGCCGCTGCGTCGCGCTCGCGCCCGCGTGCGTCGGGAAGGCAAACGACGAAGGGCATCGGCGGACCAGGCGCCTGATCGCGTCCCCCGAGGATTGCGCGGCAAAGACGCATTGCCTCTGCGACTACCCCGGCCTCCCGAGCCCTGACTACGACGACTTCGTCTCCGGGGAGAAAGGCCGCGACCCCGACGCGACGTACTGGCTCGGTCCCACCGTGCTCGCCGTCTCGTTCTCGGCCGGCCTCGCGTTGTGGTTCTTCGCGTGCTGCTCCATCAACGACCACGTAGAGGACGACAAGAAGGTCGATTTGGCCAAAAAGTTCCAAATCGACCGAATTTATCGGAGGCTGCTCGGCCGCATCTGCGCTTCCGTCGTCATCATATTCACGGTCCCCGTGATCTATCGCCCCTGGGAGCGCCGCTGCGGGCGCTGGTTCTTCGACGGCCTCTACCTCGTCATGGCCGTCGTCACTTCGTGGTGCTTCGAGGGCGTCGCGCAGCGCGGCTGCCTCTTCGCCCCGCCCTTCGGGCACATGGAGTACACCTGCAACTCCGCCGTGTTCCACTTCGTCGTCGCGACCGCCCTCGGCGCCTTTATTCAGGGCTTGAGCTGGAACGCGGCGGAGCGGTCGGACTGGACAGCCCCGAACGTCGACAACGTCCTGTCGGTGCTCGCGATGGTCTGGTCCCACTTCCTTTGCTGGTGGGGCTTCATCGCCCACCTTCTCGGGCACGCACACAGGGAAAACAAATTGAAGAAGCAGCAGGAGATGCCCCTGCTCCTCCTCCTCGCGAAGACGCTCGGCGTCGAGTCGGCCCTGGATCTCGCCGACGTCGCGCATCTCGTCGCCGCGAAGATCACGGACGTCGCGATCCCGGCCGCGCGCGCGGACCGCGAGCGCGCGACGAACGCGGAATCGTTCGTCCTCCCGCGCGACCGCATCGAGATGGCCGTCGCCTGCGACCTCTTCGACGAGTTCGAGAAACGCATGCGCCGGAAGAAGCGGTCCGCCGACTGGCACAAGCTGTCGGGCCACCGGGTCCTCGGCTTCTCCCCGGCGGACGCGAGCGCGTTCGCGGCGCTGCGCGCGGCCGGCGTCCGCGCGGGGGCGCGCGCTCCGGGGTCGACGCGCGCGCGCCCGCAGGCACGCAGCCGTCGGCGCCTACCTGCAGGAAGACGTTCGCTGGGCGAGGAGCCACCCGGACGTGCTCGCCAAGGTCTACCACCGCGTCGTCCGGGACCACCGGGGGCTCTACGAGCGGATCCTCGCGACGGTGCGGACGCAGGACCCGTACTTCGCGGCCGCCGTGGCCGAGCTCGACGGCCTGGCGACGCGCGCGCGCGCGCGCTTCCCGGCGGCGCCCCGGCAGCCCGAGCCCCACGGGCTCGTGGGCCTCTACGCGGGCGCGCTCGCCACCGAGGCGGCCTACGACAGGTTCCTTCGGGCCGTCGCCAGGAAGAGCGGGGGCGCGCCCGTCAAGGTGCCGTGCAAGAAGCTCTGGCGCCTCTCGGAGAAGATGGGCATGCGCGAGGGCGGGTACAGCGACGAGCACAGCGCGGAGAACTGCGACGTCGTCCGCGGCTCCATCGTCTTCGACAGCATGAACGACCTCCAGTCGTGCGCGATCCTGCTCGACGCGTGCGACGCGCACTCGGACGCCGACGACGTCGTCATCAAGACGCCCATCGAGATCGTCCGCGTCAAGAACCGCTTCGCGGAGCCGACGGCCGGCGGCTGGGCCGACGCGCTCATCAACTTCCGCTTCGCCGACGCCGCCGGCGCGGCGCGCGGCCACGTCGTCGAGGTCCAGCTCGTCCACGCGAGCCTGAAGAAGGTGCGCGAGGCCTGGGGCGCGCACAACGGGTACACGCAGTTCCGCACGGCCGTCCAGCTCCTCGAGGCCTCGGACAACGAGGCGCTCCTCGTCGACGTGGCCGAGGAGCGGAGCGCGTCCCAGGTCCAGACGCTCGCCGCGGCCGCGGCGTCGTTCGGCGTCGCGCTCCGGTCCGCGCTCGACGCGTCGTGGCCCGAGCTCGAGGGCCGCCGCGCCGAGGCCGAGGCCCTCGCCGTCGCCGTCGCCGCCTTCGAGGGCGACATCCTCGCCGCGGCCGCGACGCGCCAGCCACGGGCCGCGGACGACGCGGACGACCTCGAGGACCCGCCCGCCGCTTCCGCGCGCGTCCCGTCCCGGCGGATCGCTCCCGCGCCGCGAGTCGCGGCCCTCTAGTGCCCGAGAAGGACCTAGGTAGTCCGGGCGCGGGCGGGGGGATGGTCGTCTGCGAATTCCGGCGCGCGACATATCCGCGACTCCGACGGTCGCGTGAAAATGTGTAGCGGGGCGGCGGGTCCTAGGTGATGTCCAGGGAGTGGTCGACTTCGACGCCGTTGGCCTCCCAGTCGTGGGCGAGCCGCGTCGCGCCGTCCAACTCGCACTCGGCCAGCACGAGCTTCTCCCCCGCGCCGCGCCGCTTGTCGCTCAGGAGCTCGTTGTCGTCCTGCGTGGCGGATCGGAAGCGCACGCAGAGCATGAGCGCCGTGATGATGTTCGTGCAGATGAGGATGCAGACGATGATGAGGTAGAAGGTCCAGTCCTTCATGCCGAGGATCGTCATGGTCGCGTCGGTGGGCCTCGAGCGGCGGTCGGACGCGGGAGCTTCGGGCGCTTCGTCGACCGAGCGACCCGCCGCGGACCCGACGGTGCCCCGCGGGATACTACGAGCTGGTGGGCGGGCTCGGGAGGCGGCCGAAGTTTCGACGCCCGGGCTGCCCAATCTGGCTGCCCAAGATTGCTTGCCGGGTAAAGCTGTGTGGTTGCAGCCCTCATCGGTCACGAAATGGCGGGCTCCGATTGAGGCAGCCATGGTCGACAAGGAGAACGAGACGGCCGGCGGCAACGCCGGCGTGGCCCCGAAGCGCGGGAAGTTGCAGACGCCGCCGGACGGCAAGCGCTACGTCGTCGATGCGTCGTCGGGCTGCGTCGTGCGGAGCGCCATGTCGCTCAAGAGCCGCGTCGTCGGGCGCCTCGCCCACTGCGAGACCGTCGTCGTCCAGGGCGACAGCATCCTCGAGTCCGCGAGCGGCGCGTCGCGGCTCCGCGTCGTCTGGCCGCTCAAGGGCTGGATCGGCGCGTCCAAGGTCGTGTCCGCGGAGCGCGTCGACGAGCTCGCGGCGCGCTCCGCCGGCGAGGCGGAGACCGCCGCGCCCGCGGAGATCGGCGACGCGGCCCTCGTCGCGGCGCTGGCGGCGCCCCAGACCGCGGACGCGTCCGTCGGCGGCTCCGAGTTCTGGGAGGTCCTCCAGGCCCCCGAGTGCCTCGTGCTCTCCGCGCCGCGCGACGCCGCGGCCGTCGTCGACCGCGTGCCCGCGGGCGACATCGTCGAGGCCGTCGCCGGCGAGCGGCCCGGCGGCTGGGTGCGCCTCGTCGGCCGCGGCGAGCGCTACGTGCTCACGCGGGACCCGGACCCCTACGGCGGGCGGCCGCGGCTCCAGCGGTGGACGGTACCCGGCTCGGGCTACGTCGGCGAGGTCATGCCGCCGCCGCCGCCCAGGGAGTGCCTCTTCCAGTTCGACCGCGAGGGCCGACGGTTGGACGCGGCGCTCGCGCAGCCCCGCGCGGGCGACGCGCCCGCCGGCGCCCGAACCTACGTCGTCGCCGGCGCGGCCGGCGCGGCCGTCCGCGCGGGCGTCGAGCTCGACAGCGCGCCCGTCGGCGAGATCCGCCACCGCTGCGACGTGCTGGCCTCCGAGGTCGTCACGTCGACCTGCGGCCGCAAGCGGCTCCGGGTCCACGCGCCCCTCGACGGCTGGGCTTCGCTCAAGCTCTTCGAGCGCAAGGTCGGCTGGCCCCTCTTCCAGCGCTGCGTCGTGTCGTCGGCGCTCGCCAAGGGCGACGACCTGTTGCTCTACCCCGACGCGGACCTCGCCGGCCCGCCCGTGGGCATCGTCCGGCGCGACGACCGCGTCGACGCGTCGCGCGCGTGCCACGCGGGCGGCGGCGACGGAAACACGCGCGTCGTCTGCGTCGCGGGCGCGTCGAAGCACGTCGGCGCGGCCTGCCCGGACGCGAAGATCCGGCGGCCCCTGCGGGGCTGGGTCCGCGCGGAGACGCTGGCCAGCGAGCGGACGCTCGCGGAGCTGCCCAAGCACGCGGCGCTGAGGCCCCCCTGGGCCGCGGAGACGTCGCCCGAGGCGCTCTTCGTGAAATTCGCGAAGCGCCGGCTCGGCCTCGCGAACCTCGTCGCGGGCACGGGCTGCCTTGACGTCGGCGGCGGCTCGGGCATGGTCGCCGTGCTCGCGCGGCGCCTTGGGGCGCGCGCGACGCTCATCGATCCCTCGGCGCCCTCCGGCGGCGCGGACGGCTTCTGCTCGTGGACGCGCAAGGAGATGGAGGACCTGGAGAAGCGCCGCGAGGACGGCGCGGGCGACCGGAGCTGGTGGCACGAGGGCAGCGACGTCGCGCCCTTCCCGGGGCTCAACGTCATCCGCGCCAAGTTCGGCCGCGCGCCGCTCAGCGGCCACCAGCACCGGCGGCGGTCCGCGGCGAAGCGCGGCGGCAAGTGGGTCTTCGACCTGCGCGGCGGCCACCCGAGCCACCTCCTCGTCGACGGCGACGACGACGACGCCGACGACCTGGACCTCGCGCGCGGCGCCGTCGCGACGCGGAAGGCGCACGAGACGCGGCTCGCCGAGCTGCCCGCCGCGGCGAACTTCAACGAGTTCGCGAGCCAGCGCAAGCTCCCGCCGCCGGGGCCGGCGGACGTGCGCCTGCGCGCGTCGGACGTCGTCAACCGCTGCGGCGCCGTGCTGGGCTACCGCGCGTGCGCGGCCGTCCCGGCGCTCGTCGAGTTCGCCGTCGAGCACAAGAAGCCCTTCTGCGTCTTACCCTGCTGCGTCTACAACGTCAACGGCGAGCGGCCCGCGAGCCTATCGGCCATGACCGACGCGCTCCAGGCCATGCACGCCAACATCAAGCAGGAGAACGTCGACGGCGCGGGCACCGTGCTCTGGTGCACCTGGGGCCGGCCCTGGCGGTGAGGTAAGTGTTGCAGCTCGAGAATTGGAGAAAACGCGTCCAGAAGCCATGGCCGCCAGAGTGCTCCGCCGCGCCGGCGCGCGTCGCGCCTTCTCCGCCGAGCCCGCCCCGGCCTACGCCTCGGAGCGCATCAACGCGGCGACGGCGCCGACGCTCATGGAGATCGGCTGCCGCGACATCTTCGACGAGGATCACGACGCATTCCGCCAGATGTGCCGCGACTTCTTCGCCAACGAGGTCAAGCCCTTCCACAAGGAGTGGGAGAAGGCCGGCGAGGTGCCGCGCGAGCTCTGGACCAAGGCCGGCGACCTCGGGCTGTTGGCGTGCATGGTGCCCGAGGCCTACGGCGGCCTCGGCACGGACTGCCGCTTCCCGGCCGTCGTCTGGGAGGAGCAGTCCTACAGCGGCTGCACGGGCCCCGGCTTCGCCATGCACAGCGACATCGTCGCGCCCTACATCACGAACTACGGCACGGAGGAGCAGAAGCAGCGCATCCTCCCGAAGCTCGTGAGCGGCGAGTGGATCGGCGCGCTCGGCATGACGGAGCCGTCCGCGGGCAGCGACTTCGCCAACATCAAGACCACGGCCGTCAAGGACGGCGACGACTACGTCATCAACGGCTCCAAGGTCTTCATCACCAACGGGTGGATGGCCGACGTCACCATCGTCTGCGCGAAGACCGACGCGTCGAAAGGCGCGCACGGCGTGTCGCTCTTCCTCATCGAGGACGGCATGAAGGGCTTCACCAAGGGCAACAAGCTCGAGAAGATGGGCATGAAGGCCCAGGACACGTGCGAGCTCTTCTTCGAGGACCTGCGCGTGCCCAAGTCCGCGCTCCTCGGCGAGGAGGGCAAGGGCTTCTACGCGGTCATGTCCGAGCTGCCCCAGGAGCGCCTCCTCATCGCCGACATGGGCGTCTCCGCCGCCGAGGCCGTCTTCGAGTGGACCCGCGACTACACCATGGACCGCTCGGCCTTCAAGGGCAAGCTCTCGAACCTCCAGGTCGTCGGCCACAAGCTCGCGGAGATGAAGACGGACATCTGCGTCGGCCGCGCCTTCGTCGACAACTGCATCGCGCTCCACAGCCAGCGCAAGCTCGACTCCGTCCAGGCGTCCATGGCCAAGTACTGGTGCACGGATTTACAGTGCAAGATCGCCGACGCGGGCGTCCAGCTCCACGGCGGCTGGGGCTACATGTGGGAGTACGACGTCTGCAAGGCCTTCGTCGACGGCCGCGTCCAGCCCATCTACGGCGGCGCCAACGAGATCATGAAGGAGCTCATCTCCCGCTCCATCACGAACCCGCGCCACTAGGGACGCCCCGCGATCCCGCGCGAACGACGACGCGCCTACGTTACGCCGCCGTAGGGGAAGATGGGGTCGTCGAGCATGGCGCGGAGGTAGGGGTTCGGCGCGAGGGTCGCGCGGCACTCGTCGGCGTTGGCGACGTAGGCCGACGACGCGCCCGGCGAGAAGTGGGGCGTGTCCGCGCCCAGCTTCGCCTTCGCGTTCAAACCCAGAAAGTCGAGCACGGCGGCCTGGGCCCGCTTCTGGCGCGGCGAGCCGTCCTTGACGGCCTCGTAGGGCACCCAGAGCGCGCGCGTCTCCGCGCCGAGCCGGCGGCACTCGCCGTAGAACTGGCGGACGTGCTCGAGCGTCTTGTTCGCCTCGGCGCGCCGCGCGCCCTCGGAGCAGTCGACGCGCACCGCGCCGTCGCTCTTCGAGGACTTGCGCGTCCCCGAGAGCGCCCAGGCGAAGCCGTTGAGCCGCGCGAGGCAGAGCACGCGCACGCCGAGCTTCCGCCAGACGGGCCCCGCGTCCTTCCAGTCGTAGGTCTCCGCGGGGCCGTAGGTCTGCGAGTCCGCGTCCCAGTGCAGCGTCTTCGCCGTCTTGAAGCCCACGGCCGCCGCGGCGCCGCGGCGCACGTGGGCCCGGCCCTTGCGCTCCGCCTCGTCGAGGAGCACGCCGATGCGCTTCGCCACCGACGAGTTGGGCATGGACGCCTTGAGGCCGCTGTCCGCGCCCTCCATGCGCACGAAAATCTCGCCCTTGTCGTAGGACTTGAGCATGCTGCAGAGCATCTTGCTGCCGACGCGCGGCGCCTGCATGACGACGACGAAGCGGCCGCCGGGGTGCTTCTGCATGGCCTTGGCCGCCGTCGGGTCGCTCGTGACCTCGAGCGGCATGTCCGGCGCGACGGGCGCGAAGGCCGCGAGCTCGGGCACGCTGCGCTGCGTCGCGATGACCGCGGTGGCGAGGAGGAGGGCTGCCCGCATGTCACGCAGCAGGGGCAGCGTCACCATGCATAATTTTTCATCATCGCAAAGGCGCCGGACCGGTCGCGTTGCCTGCAAATTGCCCTGCACGTTTAGCTCGCTGAAGCTCGGGCGAATCAAGACGGATCCTCACACGGGGAGACCGGAAACTCCCGCGAAGCAGCGGCGCCGGCGCGCCTAGAAGCGAATTAGGACCTTGGGCCCCATGCGAGCCTTGCCCGCGCGGTGGTCCTCGGGCCGCACGTTCTCCTTGTCGTTGTGCGGCACGGCCTTCTTCTTCCGTTGGGATTGCCGCGGCTTCGCGTTCTCGTTGTTCACGTCGATGGAGACGAGCTTCCCGAGGGGCTGCTTCTTCCGCGGCGACGCGCCCGGCGTCAGCACGACGCGCCGCGACTCGGACAGGCGCCCCTCGAGCTCCTCGATGCGCCCGTCGCGGTCGGCGATCTGGGCGCGGCACGCGGCCACCAGGCTCTCGTACTTGCCCTTGATGCCGTCGAGCGTCGCCGCGAAGGCGACGGACTCGCCGCGGAGTTTCCTAATTTGCTGGTCGCGCTCCTTGAGCTCGCGCTCGCGCTCCCTGAGCTGCTTCCGGAGGTACTGCGTCGACGGCATGCGCTTCTCCGCGGCGTCGTCGTCGGCGCGCATCACCGGCACGTACCTCTTGCGCGCGGGGCCCGGCGTCCGCGCGAGCGCGACGGCGTTTCTCGGGACCGCCGCCGCCTCGGCGGGCGCCGGGTCGTAGGCGAGCTCGTCTTCCTCGTCGTCGGCGTCGGGCGACGCCGCGAGGCCCAGCGCCTCGTCGCGCAGCTCGCGCCGCGCGGCGTCGAAGGCGGCGACGACGAGCTCCGTGGCCAGCGCGTCGCGCGCCTGCGCGACCGCCGCCGTCGCGCGGCCGCAGAGGCCGCTCGCGTGCTCGATGGCCGCCGTCGCCCGGTCGCAGAGCGCCTCGGCCTGGAGCGCCCGCTGCTTCCACGCCGCCGCGTCCTCGAGGGCGCGCGTCCGCGCTTCGAGCGCGCGGTCCTGGAAGTGCGCCGGCGACGCCGGGTCGTCGTCGACGCCAACATCGGAAAAGTGCGGCGACGTCGCTTCCGACATCGGAGGCGGCGACGGCTGCTCCTCGTCGTCGTTCTCGCTGGCTTCGGAGAAGTGGGGGCTGCTTGACGTCGCGGCTGCCATCGCGCGCGCGAGGGCTGCCTCGATGCAACGGGTTCAACGACCGAAAGACGATGTCAAGGAGAAGTGGGGTTGACGCGGCTGAAGTTCGAACAAAACACCTCAGGACCTGGTGCATAAAAACGAGTCCCTCCTCGTCGTCGCCTTCAGCAATGGCCATCCGCACGCTCTGCCTCGCACTGCTCAGCGCATCTCTGGCTGATGCTTTCCAGCGTCCGCAATCAGCGGCGCGCGCGGTGCGCACGCCGCAGCTCGTCGAGCAGCAGGCGCTCCCCGCGACCATCGTCGAGCCCCTCGCGGGCTACGCCGAGTTCTGGAACGGTCTGCTCTTCCGGCCGGCCATCGAGGCGGGCCTCGTGCCCGAGTTCCTGCTGCACTGGGGCCACGGCCTCGCCATGGGCACCGTCCTGTGCTCGATGGGCGTCATCGGCTCGTGGATGGGGTGGCAGATCCGCGGCGGCAACGGCGGCGAGAGCAACGCGCTGACGCTGGGCGAGACGATCCGCGACACGCACCCAAAGATCATGGGCGGCGCGCTCTTCTTCTTCGCGCTCGGCGGCCAGGGCGGCCTCGTGCTCAACGCGGTCCAGGGCAACGCGGTCCTCGGGTCGACGCACGCGTCCACGGGCCTCGAGGCCCTCGGCCTCCTCGCCGTCGAGGCCGCGCTGCCCCTCGCCTTCGAGAAGGGCAAGCCCCTCCGCGACGCGCACGCGTACCTCGGGAGCGCGATCATGGTCCTGCTCTTCGCGCACATGGCCGCGGGCATCCAGCTCGGCATGTCCTTCTAGGTAAAATAAACATAAGATTAGGCCGACGCCGCAGCGGCGGCGGCGGCGGCGTCGCGCGCGATGCCGCGGCGCGCGTGCGTGGCCATGATGTCCACGAGGGGCAGCTCGACGCCGAGGTGCGCGGCGGCGCCGCGGACCATGCCGACGACGCGGATGACGAAGAGGAACGACTCCGGGAGCTGCGTGATGTAGCGGCCGCCCTTCTCGTGGACGCCCGCGGCCTTGTCCTTGTCCATGCGGTCCTTGATGTCCTTCATCTTCTGCTTGCCCTCCTCCTTGGCGTTCTTCGCGTCCGTCGGGTTCCGCAGCAGGAACTGCATGAAGTGGACGCTCCGCGCGGGGTCGCGGTCGTCCTGGTTCGTCCGGTAGCCCAGCGCCCGCAGCGCGTCGATGGCCGCCTCCGTGTCGCTCTCGTAGAAGGCCAGCACCAACTTGCGCCAGGCGTCGAGCTCCGCCTTCGTGAGCCGGTGCGTCCACCCCCAGTCCAAGAGCACGAGCTTCGCGCTGCCGTGGTCGTCGTCGAATTTCAGCGCCACGTTGCCCGGGTGCGGGTCGCTGTTGAACCAGCCGATCTCCAGCACCTGGCACATCATCTGGTGCGCGAAGTGCGTCAGGAGCGCCGCCGCGTCGACGCCGTGCACGGCGAGCGCGTCGCGGTCGTCGATCTTGCAGTGCAGCTCGCACCAGTCCATCACAAAGGCCTCGGGCGCCGTCAGCACGTCGTGGGGCTTCGTGATGATCACGTTCGACCCGCGGTCCACGACGAGCTCCCGGTGCATGCGCCGCATGGCCGCGACCTCGTACGTCAGATCCAGCTCCCGGTGGATCTCGCGCTGCCACGCGATCAGAACTTGCACCTGGGAATCGAAGATGTCGTTGAGCCAGGCGCAGACCCGGAAGATGCGGATGGCGTCGGCCATGTCGCGGCGGAAGACGGCGTCGATGCCGTCGTGGCGCAGCTTCACCGCGACCTTGGTCCCGTCCTTCAGCGTCGCCGCGTGGACTTGCGCGATGGACGCGGACGCGATGGGCTCCAGGTCAAAGGTCGCGAAGAGGTCGTCGACGTCGCGGCCGAAGGCGCGCCGCACGATGGCCCGGACCGTGCGCGGCGCGTCGGCGGCGAGGTCGTCCTGCAGCGCCTCGAACACGGACTTCCACTCCGCGGGCGCGACGTCCGCGCGCGCGGACAGGTACTGCCCGAGCTTGACGAAGACGCTGCCCAGGCGCGCGATGCGCGACACGACGAAGGGCGCCATGACCCCGTGGACGCCGACGTAGAAATCGTCGGACGCCTTCGACTCCGGGTCGATGCGCAAGACCTTGTCGTGCGCGAACCGCGCGAGAACGTAGCAGAAGATCGCGAAGAAGGACGTCGCGTAGAGGAAGAGCGTCCGCGACACGAGGGGGACCAGCAGGCGCACGACCAAGCCGCCCAGAAACCCGCCGCACTCGTAGGCCGACGGGACGATCAAAACGGCGTCCGCGAGCGACGACAAAAAGGCGACGCCGGCGAGCGCCGGCCGCGCGGCCACGCCGACGCCGAACGCCAAAAACGGCGAGCAGCGGCCGCGCGAGCACCGCAAGAGCGCGGCGTACAAAACGACGATGACGAAATCGCCCGCGGACAGCGTCGCCGGCGCGGGCCGGCCGCGCTTGACCATGTCCCGGAGCGCCTCGCACTGCCGCTGCCGCGCGGCGAAGCCGTCCTTCAGGAACGACGTCGCGCGCGCGAGTTCCCGGCCCGCGGCGTGGTGGAGCACGGCGTGGTCCAGGCGGCCCGCCGTCGCGCCGAGGAGCGGGTAGAGCACGTCCGCGACGCGCCGGGCCTTGGTGCCCCGCGACGTGCCGCACTGGCGCGCGGCCACCGAGAGCCACGCGTCTAGATCCGTCTCGCGGTGCCGGTCCTCGCGCCGCGACGGGAAGGACAGGGCGCGGTCGTCGAGCTCGCCGGCGCAGCCCCCGAAGGCCAGCGACGGCCGCTCGCCGAGGTCCTTCGCCGAGGTCCTGGGCGGCGGCGTCTTCGTCGACGACGGCTCCTTGGGCCCCGCGAGGCGCGCGACGACGGCGACGTACTGGGCGCGCGCCTCGGCGCCGCTCAGGCCCTCGCGCGCCGCGTGCGCGGCCCACTTGGCGCGCTTGACGGCGTCGAAGCGCGACGGCCGGGCGCCCGAGACGTCGCCGGCCGTCGCCTGCTTGTAGAGCCCGTAGACCTCGAGCTGCTCCTCGGTCCGCAGGGGCCGCGCGCAACCTTTAATATCGAGCACGGCCTCCTCGAAGGTGCGCTCGCCCGCCGACTCCGCGGGCGCGTCGGCGAAGAAGTCGTCGTCGTGCGCGCCCGTCGCCACGAGGTCGTGCTTCACCTTGAGCCACGCGGCCCGGATCTCGCTGTAGCGCCGCCTGGGCAGGACAAGAGAGATTCAACGTCGCTTCAATGTGAGTGTTTCGCGCGCGCGCGTTCCGAAAAAAGCATCCACGCTTCGAGACCGTTCCGAGAGACGATCGCTCGTCCAAAACTCAGCCAAAACGAGTGGAAAACGGCCGAGATAGGAGCCTTTGAAGTTGGGAATTTCGCTCTCTCGTCCTGCCCTGAGCGGCGCTCGACGGCCCAGGGCGCGACGCCCGTGGCCGAGACCTGGATCACGTAGACGTCGAAGCCGCCGCGGCGCGCGCGCCGGAGCACGCGCGCGCGGAGGCCGCCGGGCAGGAGCGGCGCGACGCTGTCCGTGCGCAGGAGGCCCCCGACGCGCACGAGCACGGGCATCCACTTGGCCGCGCCGTCGCGGTCGTGGCCCCGGAGCTCGCACTTGATCTTGCCCCCCGTGAGCGCCGAGAACGGCGACAGCCGCTTCGACGCGAGGTCCCGCAGCGTCTGCCGCGTCGTGCTCACGCGGATGCCGCCCGCGTCGTCGACGTCCGTCCGCAGCTCGGCCTCGCGCGCCGCCGCGTCCCAGCGCAGCGTCCACGTCGTCTCCGCGTCCGTGAACACGAGGCAGAGGTGGGGCGCGGTGGCGAGCTTGTCCTTGGCGGCCTCGTCGCAGGACGCCACGGCGTCGCGTAAAGCTTTGGAAAGCTTCTGCACCATCTCCAGGGGGCGCCGGTCGAGCGCGCGGACCGCCATGGTTGCGGACCGCTGCCCGTTGGTCGGCCTGGTGGTCTGCCTGGTGGTCTGCCTGGTGGTCCTTTGCGACCCGTGCGGGTCTTGGAACGACGACGATGCCCGCTGAACACGCCTGACCACGCGGTCGACCTTTGCCGAGAGAAGTGCAAGGTCGCGCCGATTTACTTGTTGAACGTGTTGCCGCAGCTCGCCGGCGCGCCGTCGCGGTGCGCGAGCTGCCCGCGCATCTCGTCAAGAGCACTCGCGCCGAGCGTCGGACAGCGTAGCCCACGCTCGAGAGCGCTCCTCCCATGTCGGCCCTCGAGAACGCCCTCCTGGAGGATGACAGCGACGGCGACGACGACGAGGCCATGCCCGCGGCGCCCCCGGTGGCGCCGCCCGCGCGCGTCACGGCGGCGGCGCCCCCGCCGCTCGCGCCCCCGCCGCTGCCGCGGTCGATGCCGCCCCGCGGCCCCGGCATCGCCGCGCGCCAGCTGCCGAACGCGACCTTCGCGCCCATCGCGAACCCCGACCAGCGGCGGCCGTCGCCGTCGAAGCCGCGGGCGTCCTCCGGCCAGTCGTCCATGAACCTGCAGCAGCTGCTCCAGGACGTCGTGCAGCAGCTCGGCAAGGAGGAGCGCATCCGGTTCCGCGAGTTCGTCCAGGAGCTCAAGGCGAAGCGCGACGCGGGCGAGATCCCGTCGCTGAGCGAGGCGCTGCTCACGGGCGGCGAGAAGGTCGTCGGCAACGACGTCTGGCGCCGCGCCTGCGCGAAGCAGGACGCGCGGGCGCGGTCGTCGAGCGAGGAGGCGCGGCGCGAGGCCGAGGAGGGCCGCGCGCGGCGCGCGCGCGCGGACCGGGACGCGGCGGAGGCGCGCGCGCTGCAGCTCGAGGCGCCCGCGGCGGGGTCGACGCTCGCGGACGAGGTCCAGAAGCAGGCCGATTTGCTGAGCAACGGCGACCTCAACGTCATGTCGGAGAAGGTCGTGTCGACGAAGCGCGAGACGTCCGGCGCCGACGCGGAGACGTCCTACGGCGCGTGGGACAAGTGCAACTTGGTCGACGAGCCGACGGCGTCGCGGCGGCTGCACCTCGCGGCCGAGAACTGCGCGCACCTGCCGGGGGGTGGCCGCAAGGCGCCGAAGCTGACCCACGACGACGAGGCGGCGACGTCCCGGCCCTGCCGCGAGTTGTTGAGCCGCGCGGCGCAGCAGTTCGCGCGCGACGCGCTCGAGGCGCTCGTCGTCCTGAGCCAGCGGCGGCGCAACGAGGAGGCGCGGCGCGTCGCGACGAACCCCGAGACCTGCGGGCTGGCCCTGCGGTGGCTCGACCGCGACGTCGACCGCCACGTCGTCGACTCGCGGCGCCAGTGCGAGAAGACGGACGTCTTGCTGGACGCGATGGTCGACCACGACCTGCTCAGCGCGCCGCCCGTCGACCCGCGCGAGCCGCCGGCGACGAGCACGTGGGCGCGCGCGAAGCGCGCGCGCGCGACGGACCTCGACCGGTCCACGAAGATGGACGAGCTCGGGAGGAACCTCGAGCGGGGCATCACCAAGGTCAAGCGCGAGGAGGACGCCGACAAGCGCCGCGCGGACCGCGGCGCGGCCCAGATCCCCGAGAAGCCCGACGTCATCACGAAGGCCGACGTGAAGCACCTCCTCCGGTCGCGGCGCGAGTTCTCCAAGCTCCTCTTCTAAAAAGTTAGCTCAACTCGGGGATCCGGGACCCCGCCTCGCCCGGCGGCGGCCGCGGGCCCGCGTCGCGGCGCCCGTTCTCGCGCTTGAGGGACGCCATCTCGCTCTGGAGGTTCGCGACCATCTCGAGCATGCGCTGGACGTCGCCCTCGCGGGCCTTGTCCTTCTCGATGAGCTCGGAGACGGCCTTCTCCACGCGCGGCTCGCCGCGGTCGCGCGGCGCGCCGGGCGGCGGCGTGATGGCCCGGAGCGGCTTCGGCGACGCCGTCAGGGACGCGGGCGACCGCGGCGGCGTCGCAGCATGCTTGGGCTTGAAGGACGACTCGAGGTCCCGCAAGTTCCGCGGCCGCGACGCGTCGGCCGACCGCGCCGAGGCCAGCTGCTCGCCCGCGTCCGCGCGCCACTTGGACCGGTACTTGGTGCTCCGGGAGAGCGGACTCAAATCGCCGTCGTCCGTCGGCGCCGTGCCCGGCGTGCCCGGGACCGCGCGCTTCTCGAGGTCGCGGACGCGCTTCGTCAGAGAGTCCTCGCGCCGCGACAGCGACTCCAGGTCGCCCCGGAGCTCGACCTCGCGCCGCGCGGCCTCGGCGAGCTGGAACCGCAGCGCGGCCTCGCGCGCGTCGAAGGCCGCTTTCTGGGTCTCGATCTGCGCGAGGAGCGCGCGCTCGCGCGCGCGGAACGCGTCGACGGCCTCCCGCAGGTTCGACGTCTCGTCCCGCTTGCCGCCGCTCGGCCGCTTCCGCATGGACGAGAAGGGCGTCGACGCCGACGGCGTCGAGCCCGCCTTGGAGAACTTCTGGACCCAGGAGCTCCGCCGCTTCGACGACGCCGGCGGGTCGTCCGGCGGCGGCGGCGGCGGCGGGTCGTCGCGCGCCTCGGGGTCGACGGTCGTGATGCCCTCGGACATGCCCACCATGCCCGCGGCGCTGTAGCTCACGTCGTCGCAGGGGGGCAGCGGGCCATCGGCGAAGCTCCGCAGGCTCGGCGCGCACGTGTTGTCCGTCGGCGGCGCCCAGCCCTCGACGACGACGGGTGCCGGCTTCGTCTTCGGGATGAGGATCGCGCTCGGCCGCGGCCGCACGGGCCGGGGCTTCGGCGCCGGGTCGGCGCTCATCGTCGCCGCGACCCGGAGGCCGCCTAGAACGACAAGATGCGCCTGCCCATCGTCTTCCGGCTCCGGCGCCCGTACAGGGACGGTATCGTGAATCTATCGTGAGCTCAGTATCCTGATGATTGTAGTTGCCGTCGGAGCTCCGCGGAGCTCGACAACATGATCGCGACGGCCCCACGACCTCACGCGCCGCCGGCACCTCACACGCCGCGTTCCTGCAGCATGCGCATCCTCGTCTGCGCCCTCGTGCTGAGCTGTGACGCTCTGGTCGCACCAGCGCGTCGTCGCCGCGCGCCGTCGCGTCCGCTGCGATCGTCGTCGGAAGCGTCCGAAGCCGCGCCGCAACCGGCGCCGCCGTCGCTCGTGGACCGCGCCAAGGCCTTCGTCGTCGCGGACTTTGGGCGCGCGGCGCCGGCGACGCTGCGCGAGGACTTCGGGTTCAGCAGCCGCGGCGAGCGGCTGAGCAAGAAGCGCTACCTCCGGAACGGCGACCTCGCGGCGCTCCGCGCGGCCTGCGGCGGCACGCTCGGCGTCACGGCGTCGGACTACCGCGTCGACGGCGGCGACCCGCGCACAGTCTGGTTCAGCGTGGCCCTGAGCGGCGCCCACGAGGCCGACTACGCGCCGCCGGCGGGCGTCGAGGGCGCGCCGCTCGCGGCGACGGGCCAGAAGTGGGCGACGGCGCCGACGGCGGGCTGCTGCTCCTTCGACGAGGCGGGCCAATGCTACTTCGCGTCTCTAGGCGTGCCGTCGGACCGCGACGACGACTCGCGCGGCGCCGAGGGCCTCTTCGTCGCCGTCTGGGCCGCCTTGGGCGGCAAGCTCGGGCTGCCCCGGGGCCGCCAGCTCGGCCTCGCGCTCGGCGAGCTGCTCGTGCGGAAGACGCCGGCGACGCCGCGGGGCGCGGCGCGGCGCGAGCCGCCCTTCGGCGAGGCGACCATGGTCGAGATCGCGTCCGCGGCGCTGCAGGAGCTGCTCTACCTGCCGCCCGACGGCGTCTTGGGCGACCGCGTCGTCGGCGCGCTCTTCAGCGACGACTGCGTCGTCGTCGGCGCCGACTTCCCGGCTTTACCATTGAAGAAGGCATCCAAGACGAAGCCCTGGGGCGAGGCCTACGCGCGCGAGGGCGTCGTGCTCGAGAACTACCGCGTCTCGTCGGACGACGGCCGCTGCGTCGTCGTCGACGCGCGACTCCCCGGGTCGCTCGAGGCGGCGTCCGTGCACGTCGACGACGACGAGCGCGTCTTCCGCGTGTCCCTGGGCTTCGTCCTGCGGAGCGCGCCGAACCCGCTGGAGGCGCTCGCGGAGTCGCTCGCGCCGCTCGAGCGCGCCGTCGAGGACGCGGCGGACCTGAAGGAGGAGCTCGACCGCAGCCTGGAGCCCGTCATCTCCGCCGCGGGGGCGACGTTGTTGGAGCTCGAGGCGAACCGCGCGGCGCTCGACGCGTCCGTCGCCGAGGCGAACGCGCAGTACGCGGCCGCGAAGGCCGACCTCGAGACGACGCTTGCGGAGTACGAGGCCAAGTACGAGGAACTCGTCGCTCCCTCGAAGAATTTGGCCGCCGACGTCACGCGCACCGTCGAGGACGTCAACGACCAGGTCGCGTACCAGCTCGACGAGGCGAACCGCCTCCTGGATTCGACGGTGCAGGCGACCGTCGGCGCGACGCAGGCCTTCGTGGCCGACCCGCTCGCCGCGCTGTCGGACCCGCGCGCGGCGCTGCAGCCCAACGCGTCGACGGCGCCGGCCAAGGCGCCGCCGCCGCAGAAGCGCGCGGCGCCGCCGTCGAACGAGGACCTCGACGAGGCGCGCGAGCGGTTCAAGCGCGCCGCGCTCGCCGCGGAGCGCGCGCGCAAGGAGGCCGAGTCGAACGCGGAGCAGGCCAAGGCCTCCGCCGAGGCCGCGCAGAAGGCCGCGGCCGACGCCAAGGTCGACGCGGAGCGCGCCGCCGCGGAGAAGCCGCCGCCGCCGCCGGACGCGCCGGCGACGGCGGCCGTCGAGCTCGCGGGGCGCACGATCTTCCAGAAGGCGCCGGACACGCCGGGCGCGCGCATCATCGACCGCCTCCCGCCGCCGCCGCCACCGGAGCCCGCGAAGCCGGCGGCGAAACCGCCCGCGGCGAAGCCCCCGGCGGCGAAACCGGCGCCGGCGAAGAAGGACGCGCCGGCGTTCAGCCTGCCCGCCTTCAGCCTGCCCAAGCCGCCGCCGTCGCCGCCGAAGAAGGCGGCCGCGCCGACGCCGCGCCCCGCGCCGAGCCCCGCGCCGGCGCCGCCGAAGAAGGAGGCCTTCGCCTTCTTCTCGCCGCGCCCGAGCCCGAGCCCCGCGCCCAAACCGGCGGCGCCGCCGAAGCCGGCGGCCTCGTCCTTCTTCTCGCCGCGCCCGAGCCCCGCGCCGACGCCCGCGCCCGAGAAGCCCGCGCCGCCGAAGCAGACCTTCTCGCTGCCGTCCTTCAAGGCGCCCGAGACGAAGAAGGCGCCGCCGCCGCCGAAGGCGCCCTCGCCGCCAAAAGCGAAGCAGTCGTTCTCGTTCTTCGGGCCGACGCCCGCGCCCGCGCCGAAGCCGACGCCCGCGCCCGCGCCGAAGCCGGCGAGCAAAGGCTCGGGCTTCTCCTTCTTCGGCGGCGGCGAGGACGCGCCGCCGCCGTCGCCGTCGCCGGCCGCGAAGCCCGCTGCGCCCGCGAGCAAGGGCTTCTCGCTCTACACGCCGCCGCCGTCGCCGTCGCCGGCCGCCAAGCCCGCGCCCGCGAGCAAGGGCTTCTCGTTCTTCGGGGGCGACGCGTCCCCGGCGAAGCCCGCCGCGCCGGCGAAGCCCGCGCCGAAGCCCGCCGCCAAGCCCGCCGCGCCCGCCGTGCCCGAGGCCCTGAAGAAGGCAGCAGCGGAGGCGCGCGCGCGCCAGCAGGCCAAGGACGACGCCGCCAAGGCCGCGCGGAAGCGCAACGCGCCGAATCGGAACGGCTAAGAGGCGTTACAACGGGGCGCGCCTACTTCTTCGCCGCCTTCTTGCGCCGGTACTTGCGGAAGCCCGAGACGAGCTGGCCGAGCCAGACGCAGGACGCGGCGATGCCGACGGCGAAGAGGCCGAAGGCCCACTTCATCGTCGGGTCGGGCCGGTCGCGCGTCGCGAGGAAGAGGCCGATGTCGACCATGGCCAGCGGCATGAGCAGGCCGCGGCAGAGCGCGAAGGCCGCCGTGAAGGGCAGGCTCAGCGCGTCGTAGAGGTCCGGCAGCCCGAAGGCCTTGGCCATCTCCCAGGAGAGCTGGATCGGGTTCGTGACCTCGGCGAAGACGGTCGCGACGGCGATCATGGCCCAGCCTTTGTCGCTCGCGAGGATGGGGCCCGTCGCCAGGAGGTAGGCGAGGTGGTGGGCGACGAAGATGGGGTCCGGCTCGTTGCGCAGCACGTGCCAGAGCTCCTGCACAAAGTAGCCGAGGCTGTGCCGGAGCACGCCGCGCGCGCCGGGCAGCAGGTTCGGCGCGTCGTAGGCGAGGAGCGGCAGCAGGTCGCGGAGCGCCGGGCCCAGGAACGGCGGCCAGCGTTGCGCGAGGCGCGGCGCCGCGGCGCGCAGCGCGGGCCACCAGCTCGACCTTAAAGTTCGGCAGCTCCACCCGAAGCTCACGAAGGCGTGCGCGAAGCTCGCCGCGCGCGCGCCGACGATCTTCCGCAGCGTGCAGCCGCTATACTTGGGCTGCGGCGCGTCCAAAAATCCCGGCGCGCCGTCCTTCGACGGCGGCACGGCGACGTTGGAGATCGCGCGGGCGAGGCGGTGCACGCCGTAGTAGGCGCCGGCCCAGGCGCCGATGACGATGAGCGATTCGGCGCGCTCGTTCTTCGCGAGCCACGCCTGCGCGCGCTGCGCGAGGAGCGACATACTAGTGCGCCGCGCCGCGGCCTTCCGACGTCACGGGCTGTCGAGCTTGTCAAGATTGCTCGATTTCGACACGAGCTGGAGTTTGAGGCAAAGTTTCGGCGATCGTGCAGTCAGTTAGGCCAAAGTTACCTACCCAAAACGCGGGCTGCAAGCCATAGACCTGTTCCTGTTCGAGCTGTTGTTGGACGGGGCAGCCCGCGCGCGTCGCCATGCCGCGCGGGGACCTGGGCTCGATCAACGAGGAGGGCGAGTCGGGCCAGGTCCAGAAGGTGGACCTGCGCGCCCTCAAGTTCCAGGCCTACTCCGAGGACGGCACGAGCGTCAACGAGGGCACGACGGAGAACGAGCCCCACACCATGGGGGAGGACTTCGACATCGACATCGAGCACGACAACGACCAGTCGTCCGTCGCGTCGAGCCGGCGGGAGCCGGGCCACGGCCACCAGATCCACGTGCGTGGCACCCGAACCTCCGCGCGCGCGCGCGCGGCGCGCCCCGGACCCCCCGCCCCCTCGCAGACGGAGATGGACATCGAGATCGACGAGGGCGAGGCCGGCGGCGAGTTCGGCGACGACGGCGACGACGACGACACGTCGGCGCTCTACTTTAGCGTGAGCCTCTGGCGGGCCAAGAGCCTTCTGGGCAACAACGCGGGCGCGGACGGCAAGAAGACGTCGGACCCCTACATCCTCGTCAAGTACGGGGACCAGGAGCTCAAGACGCGCGTCATCAACGAGAACCTGAACCCCGTCTGGCGGAGCCACGTCATGTTCGCGTTCGTCGAGGACCTCTACGAGATCGAGCTCTACGTCTTCGACTACGAGAACTTCTCGAGCGACGACCTGCTCGGCAAGGTGACGCTCATGCTGCCGGACCCGCTGCCCGAGGAGCCCGTGTTCACGGTGCTGGACCGCGCCTGGCTCAAGGTCGAGCCCTGCTTCACGAGCGAGCAGGACAAGCTCAACTCGCACACGAACATGCAGCGCCGCGTGACGAAGGCGATCCGCATCTTCCACGACGACGCGCACCTCTACAAGGAGGACACGCTCGGCGAGGTCATGGTCTCCGTGACGGCCTTCCGGCTCGAGGAGCTGCCCGCGCTCGTGCGGGACCGCGAGACGACCATCGACCGCCTCCGGAGCCGGCTCACGCACCACCGGCGGCTCTCGCAGTCGACGCTCGCCGACACGACGCTCCGCCTCCAGGCGGAGCTCGGCGGCGCGCGGCGCGAGGCCGAGCGCACGTCCAAGGAGCTCGAGGGCGAGCGGAGCCGCCTGAAGCGCAAGGACGACGAGGAGAAGGCCGCGCGCGAGAAGCTCAAGCAGACGAAGGACGAGCTGCGGCGCGCGCTCGAGGACAAGACGGCCCTCGAGAAGAGCTCGCTGAAGTTGAAGGCCGCGCGCGACGCCTTCGACGAGGAGCTCGACGACCACAAGCGCGCCATCGCGGGCCTCAAGAAGGAGCTCTCGAAGGCGGAGAACGCGCGCGACGCCGCGCTCATGTCGCAGCGCAAGGTCGGCCGCGAGCTCGAGGATCTCAAGGCGAAGCGCGCGAACGACGGGCCCGTCGACGACTTCACCATCGAGGACCTCCAGGAGCGCATCCACGGCCTCACGCTCGCCTACTACTGGATGAAGCGGCAGCACCCCCGCGTCTGCAACGACCAGATGCGCAAGCACATCAACAAGTACTCGCTCCCCCACGAGCCCCAGCTCAAGCTCCAGGAGACGTAGGCGCGCGGACACTCGGGCGGCTTGTCCGCCGCCCGGGCTGCGCCACCGCGGAGCTCCCTCCCTAAGATCCCTGTTTTCGACGAGTGGCGCGCGGGCGTCCGCAGCCCTCGGGGCGCGACGACGACGCGCGCGCGCGACGGCGTCCATCATCGGCGTCCATGGTCACAGCGCTCGACCACTCGTCGGCAAGCAAGCCGCTTCCATCGACCCCGACGCGCGTCGGACGGCGTCGTCGCGAGGATCCGGGCAGCCCCGACGCGCCGCGACCGCCGCGACTCATTCGACGCGCGCTCGTCGAGCACCCGGCGACGGCGCGGGCCCGGGCGCGCACGCCGCACCGCCCCCCGCCGTTCGCCGCCGGCTCCTTGATCAGCTCCCGATGCAGCGCCCGGCCCTGGAGCGCGCGTGCAGCAGCTTCGCGCCGTTCAGCGACTACGACGCCCTCTACACGGCGCCCGACGAGGAGCTGGGCCGGGGCGCGAGCGGCGTCGTGCGCAAGGCCTACCGGCGGTCCGACGGCCTGGGGGTAGCGGTGAAGACGATGGACCTCCGCGCGCTGCGCATGCACGGCGGCGACGCGTTCAAGATCAAGAAGCTGCGGCGCGAGGTCGACGTGCTGCGCACGCTCGAGCACGAGAACATCGTCCACCTCTACGGCGCCTTCGGCGACGACGACACCGTGCGTTTGGTCATGGAGCTCGTCGAGGGCCGCGAGCTCTTCGACGCGATCCTGAGCCGGGGCCACTACACCGAGGCCGACGCGCGGCCCATCTTCGTCCAGCTGTTGAAGGCCGTCGACTACATGCACCAGCGCAACGTCATCCATCGGGACCTCAAGCCCGAGAACGTCCTAGTGACGGGCGACGGCGAGGACGTCGTGAAGCTCGTCGACTTCGGGCTGAGCAAGCACGTCGCGTCGGCCCACGGCGGGTCGAGGGCCCACACCATGGTCGGCACGCCGTCCTACCTCGCGCCGGAGGTCGAGCTGCAGAAGCCGCGCGCTCGGTCGCTCGACATGGACCAGCTCGACGGCGACGACTCCGAGGACTTCTCCGGCGTGGACCTGAGCGACGGGTCCATGGCCTACGACGCCAAGGTCGACTCCTGGTCCCTGGGCGTGACGCTCTATGTGATGCTCGTGGCGCGCTTCCCCGTCTACCACCGCGACGAGCGCGGCCGCATCTTCGGCGTCAAGGTGCCGCACGCGCTGTCCGCGCCCGCGCGGAAGCTCGTCGAGGACCTGCTGAACGCGGACCCGGAGGTCCGGGCGACGGCCGCCGACGCCCTGGCGTCGCCCTGGTGCGCCGGGCCCGGGCCGCGGCACCCGCCCCCGGAGAGGGCGGAGCGCGCGCTGGTGCTGACGCCGCCGACGACGCCGCCCGGCGCCGCGCGCGAGGCCGGCGACGCCGACGCGGGCCTCGCGGCGGCGGCGTCGAAGAGCTTGGAGGTCGCGGACCACGACGGGGACCTGGGCTTCATGGGCCTGGCGGGCGCGCACGCGTCGCTCGTCGCGTCGTCCGCGTTGGCGCTCCCGCCGCGGCTCCGCGACGCGGGCCTCGACTACCACGAGCGCGCCCTGGCGTCGCGGGCCCTGGCGACGAAGCTGCGGGGCACGGCGCTGCTCGTGCTGGAGATGATCGACGACCTCAAGGTCGCCGTCGACGCGCGGAACGCGGACGCGGCGCGCGCGGTGCTGCTGGCCGTGCGCGGCTGGACGGCGGAGCTCGGCCGCGAGTGCGCCGCGTCCAAGTCGGAGAACCTGCGGGCCATGCGCGACCTCGCGGCGTCGGCGTCCGACGAGGCCGCCGCGGCGCCCGCGCCCGCGCCGTCGACGCCCGCCGCCGAGTCCAAGGCCGCGCCGGGCCTCCCGCGGCCCCCGCCCCTCGACGTGGGCTCGCCGCGCCTCGCCCTCAGCGCGCCGCCGCGGTCGCCCGCGCGGCCGAGCCCGCCCGCGGCGCCCGCGCGCGCGGCCGCGCGGCGGTCGCCGAGCCGCGGGTCGACGTCGCCGCCGACGCTGCCCGGCGCGGTCGTCGCGCAGCCCGGCGAGTCGCTGGACCTCAACGTGCGCTCCGACGACGACATCCTCGAGCTGATGCTGCCCGTGACCGCCGACGATCTGCGCGCGCCCGACGACGGCGCGGACGGCCTCGGGGACGACGACGAGCACTCGGGCGCGGCGTCGACGCTCCTCAAGTGCCTCGGCGAGCTCCACGTCGTCTTCAGCCGCATGGAGCTCTTCTGGTCCAAGGTCGAGGTGAGTCTGGACACGGTGCTCAAGCGCTCCGAGGCCCTCGAGGTGCTCCTCAATTTCGCGGACACGCCGCTCCTCAAGAGCCGCCTCGACCTCCGCCTCGACAAGTTCAAGGCCTTCTGGGTGGGGCTCGCGGAGTGGGAGCTCGAGCCCATGGGCGCCGCGCCCACGCCGACGGCGCGCGGCGCCTGAATCTAACGTGTAGTCTGTTCTCACTCGCCCGAGCGGCTTTCGGGCGCGGCCCGCGGCCGCGTCATGATAGTCTGTTACTCGGCGAGCGGCCGGCGCGTCGGGTTCGGGCGCGGCCCGCGGGGCGATGACCCCGCGGGGCGCGCCGTCATGATGGGCGGCGGCGGCGTCGGTGGAGCGTTCTAGAGCGTCGTGTTCGCGCGCGGCATGGGCGGCCGCCGCGACATTTTCAATTAACGAGTAAAGCACGATTCAACCACCGTCTCCGTAAAAACGGCGCGCAAAAAGTTGTGGGCAGCCACTGCCTCGTGGAACCCTCTCCGCGCCGTCGCCGCGCTGCCACCGGTGGCGGAGTCGGAACCGCAGTCGCTCCGCGTCGCCGCCGCGTCGTAAAACCATGGCGAGCCCCTACCTCATGCTCTTCGGCATGTTCAGCAGCGGGATTTTGCTCTGCTACTGCGAGAAGGAGATGGTGGCGCACATCACGGACGGCGAGACGACGGCCATCGCCATCTCCAAGCTCTACGGCGGCGTCATCCTCATCAACTGCGTCGGCTCCTTCTTCCTGCTCTTCTACCTGGGCCTGCTCGTGTCCCAGGCGCGGACCAAGTACCGCGCCAAGGCGGAGAAGGCGGGCGACGACCGCGCGGACGACCGCTTCTCCTACCCGAAGCTCTACGCCGAGGGCTTCAGCGAGGAGGCGAAGCACTTCAACTGCGTCCAGCGCGCGCACCAGCACGCCATCGAGACCCACGCGTCCTTCGTCGTGCTCTCGGTCATCGGCGGCTGGGGCCACCCGCTCCTCGTGTCCCTGTCGGGCCTGCTCTGGATCTTCGCGCGCCTCGACTGGGCCTGGGGCTACGCGACCGGCGAGCCGTCGGCGCGCTACGGCGGCAAGTTCGGCTTCCACATCTGGTCGTCGCTGCTCCTCATCGTCGCCGCGGCCGTCTCCACGGGCGTCCAGCTCCTCATGGCGTGAGGCATGTGGTAGATGCTAACACGGGCGCGCGGGAAGGGCCTTCTCGCGGCGTGGGCTAACATGCTGCACGACCAGTCTCGCGTGGCGCAGCATTCTTTTTTAAAACGCGACGACCCCGGCGACGGGCGGCTGCTGGACGTAGCGCGGCGCCGCGCTTTTCGGGAGCCGCGCGAGCGCCCGCGCGAGGGCGGCGTCGAGCGTCGGCCCGACGAGGGCCGCGGGCACGGAGAACCGGTGGCCCGCGACGCCTCCGTCCGCCTCGAGCTGGAAGACGACGGCGTCGCCGCCGCTGAGCGCGCGCGCGGCGGCGTCGCCGTCGGCGAAGGCGTAGCAAACGGGGTAGTCGAGGAGCCAGCCGAAGAGCGACGACGGCGACAGGCCCGCGGCGGCGAGCGCGGCTTCGTCGCCGCCGCCGTCGACGAGGCCCTCGGCGGCGCTTTGGAGCGCGGCGCCGTAGGCGGCCGCTTCGGTCGGCACCGCCCAGCGCGGCGCGTCGGCGCCGTCGAGCACGACGAATGCCGGCGCGCGCGGCCGCGCGGTGAAGACTGGACACGGAAGCACCAATGGCGTGCCGTCGACGGCCGCGACGGCCGCGCCGCCGAAGGCCTCCGTCTCGCGCAGCACGGCGGCGACGCGCTCCGCGGCGGCGGCGCCGTCCTTCATGGGATAGTCCCAGAGGATGCAGGACCGCAGCGCCAGCGCAAGTGCCGTGACGTCGGCCTCGAGCTGCTGCTCGTTCGCGCGCCGATTCCGGCCGCTGAACTTGGCGGCGGCGCAGCAGGTGCGTGCTAGTGCAGCCGCAGTTCCGCTGGGGCACGGCTGCGCGATCGACGAGGAGCTCGACGCTTGCTCATTGCTTGCAATCGAGGAGCGCTCGGCTCTGCTCGAGAGCTCGGCCATAAGCTAGTGGTAGCTACTTCATCTTCGCCTTCAACAACAACATCCCGCATCTTAGTGCGCGCGCTGCGCATGGAGAGGGCTGCCCCACAACATTGAGAGCGTCGTGCGTTCCGGCCGGCAACAAAGATGCACGGCATCCGGCTCGTGGAGCCGGAGGAGCCGCTGCGGCGGCGGGCGCGGACGCGCGGCGACGCCGCGTCCGTGCAGAGCAAGGCGAGCCGCGCGTCGAGCCCGCAGTCCAAGGGCCGCGGGCGCCTGAGCGTGAGCTTCGCCGAGGAGGCGGCGCGCGGCACGGAGCCGGCGACGCCCGGCCACCACAGCGAGGCCTTCTCCTTCAGCGCGCTGTCCAACGACTGGTCGTCCATCGACATCGAGGAGGCGACGCGCGGCCTCCGGAACACGCTGACCGCGCCGTTCCCGCGAAATCCGCTCGGCGGGTCGCCGCCGCCCGCGGCGAAGCGGTCGGCGTCGGCGCCGGGCTTCGGGTCGCCGCCGCCGGGCCGGAGCCGGGCGGCGCGGCGGCCCGCGACGGTCGGCGGCGCCCAAAAGCCCGCGGCGCTCGAGCGGCCCCGATGCCACTCGAGCTGGCGGTTCCCCGCGGAGCGCGTCCGCGGCCCGCTCCTCGGGTCGCCGAGCCGCTTCCGGCCCCAGACGACGTCGGCGTCCTACGAGCGGACAAGGCGGCGGGCGCCCCACGCCTTCGAGGTCACGGAGCTCATCGAGTCGCTGCGGCGGCCGCACGCGGAGCCGACGCCCGAGGAGGCGCTGCGCACGCTCGTGCGGGACCGCGTGGCGCGCGCCTACACGGGCTGCTGGGACGCCTGCCGGGGCCTGGACGAGGGCTGGGCCGCGAGCCGGGTGCTCGCGAACGTCGACCACGCGCGTCTGGCGACGCGCGGCTGGAGTCGCGTGCTCGGCGGCGGCGGGTCGTCGACGCCGCTCAAGACCTGCCCGGACGTCAAGCTCATCCGCCACTACGCGTCCCACCTCGAGGCCATCCGCGACGCGTTGGACCTCTTCGGCGACGAGCTCCTGGGGCCCGACTTCTACAAGCCCTTTGGATCGCGGGCGACGTGGATCTCCGACACGCCCTTCGAGCCCACGGCCTTCGAGCGCACGCGGCGCGTCGTCGACGCGCTCAGGAGGCGCCTCTCGGCCCCGGTGCCCCCGGAGCTCCACCGGGCCACGCGCCTGCTCGAGCTCGTGAGCTCGCGGGCCGCCGCGGCGACGGCGGAGATCGCCGCGGCCGTCGCGATCGCGGCCGCGGCCGCGGGCGCCGCGGAGACGCGCGCGCGCGTGTCGTCGGCGCGCCGGGCGGCCCTCGCCGTGCAGAAGCTGAAGCGCCTGTTCTTCAAGGGCTGCGGCGTCTGCGAGCTGCTGAACGCGGGGCGCGTCGCGAACGCGGTCCGCGTCGCGCGGGACGTCCGCGCGGCGGGCTGGGCGACGGGCGCGTGGCCGCCGGGGTCCGAGGCGGACCCGGCCTGGCTCGACCGCGTCGACGCCTACCGCGCCGAGGTCGCGGGGAGCATCTACTCGAAGGGCAGCCGCTACGTCGCGGATCCGAACGCGCGCGGCTACTGCTGCGTGAACCCGCGGTCCGACAACTACGAGATCATCGTGAAAAAGGCCTCCGGCGCGACGGTGCACCGCCAGCGCACCTACGACGGCATGCACGCCGTCTCCCTGGACCGGGGCAAGATCCCGCCGGGCGACTATCTCGTGTCCGTCGTCGAGACGACGACGATGCCGCAGTACGACGTCCTCGTCGACGAGCCCATGACCGTCGATGTGCGCGGCAACGCGCACCCGGCGATCCTCACGGCGACGCTGCGCGTCGTCCAGATCAACGTCTGGAAGGGCAACGAGCCCGTCGCGGACGGCTTCAAGCTCTCGGCCAAGTTCGAGCCGGAGGCCGCGTCGGAGCTCGCGGACGCGCCGCCGCCCTTCCGCGTCAAGGGCACCATCGACGGCGCGGGGGCTTGTTATTTGACGCTGCCGGGCGGGAAGCTGTCGGACATCTCCGTGATGAAGGGCCAGGTCATCCTGCGGAAGCCCCGCGACGAGGACGAGGAGCCCGTTTTCTTCCCCGCGTCGGACCGGCCGCTCTTCGCCTGGGCCATGGAGCAGCCCAAGGTCGTGACCCTGTCGCTGGACGCCACGGACGTGCTCGCGGGGTGCGTCGACCTCGTCGCGCCCGGCGGCAAGTGCATCGTTCTGGACCTCGACACGCTCCGCGACGACGAGCTGCGGTCGCGCGCGTCGAGCCGCCCGTCGTCGCGCGCGTCGTCGCGCAACCTGGCGTCGCCCCTGGGCAGCCGGCCGGGCACGCCCGTCGACCGGCCGGGCACGCCGGGGAGGCCGCTCACGCCCGGCGAGAAGACGAAGCCCGACGACTTCCTGCCCATCTTCCGCCCCGGCGACGAGGTCGTGCTGCTCGAGGGCGACGAGCGCACGCAGGCGTCGGCGGCGAGCCCCCTCACGGAGCAGCCGTCGACGCTCCAGGAGTTCCCGTCGACGTTCGCCTCGACGCCGGGCGTCTCCGAGTTCCCGTCCGTGGACCACGACGCGTCCTTCGAGACGCCCAAGGAGGAGCCGCCCCTCGCGGACGAGGACGCGCTCTTCCGCGCGACGATGAAGAGCTCCGTCTTCAACTTCCTGTCGGCCGCGATGGCGCGCGGCGTGCCCGCGGCGTTCAGCAACTGGGACGACGGCGTCTACTTCCCCTGGACGGGCTACGGCACGACGGTCGCCGAGCTCGAGGACTGGTTCGAGTTCGGCGCCGCGGAGCCCGTCGCGGCGAACGCCATGTTCGCCGAGCCGACGGACGTGTTCCTCATGACGGACTGCGACTTCGGGAGCCACTTCAACAAGGCGCGCCTCGACGACTTCGTGCAAAAGTACCCGGAGATCAACTTCCACTTCGTCGTCGTGCTGCGCCACCACGTCCAGCGCGTGTCCAAGGCGGTCCAGGAGATCGCCAACAAGGGCACGGGGGCCGTGGTCTTCGTCACGCTGCCGCCCCACGAGGAGCCCGAGCCCGAGGCGCCCGCGCCGACGGCCTACGACCTCCTCGACCTGAACCTGGCCAAGCCGACCATGGACGCGGAGCAGCTCGACGACCTGTGGGACTCGATCTAAGGTGTTTTTGGGGCGGTGCTGGGTGCGTTGGGTGGGGTTCAGAGCCCTGGCGCATGACACCCAGGTGGCAGGCCGCGACGAGGCCGTCCTCGAGGCCGAGGGGCGCCAGCGCGAGGTCAGGGCAAGTCGTGCGAGTAACGACCGGCCTCACGCACCGTTGACGACGAGGTCTCGCGCGTCGATCACGAAAGCGTCTCACCCAAGTCCTTCAAGCGCACCGAGCATCGAGGATGCCGGCGGTCGTTGTGACACCGACACACGAGGAGGTTGCGACTCAGGACGACGGTTGCGTCGAGGAAGAGACGTGCGTGATTTGCATGGAGGAGACGGTGTCGCTCCGCGTCGACTGCCCCGGTGCTCATGATTTTTGTTCGGCTTGTATTCTGGCGTGGAAGCAGCAGCTTGTCTCAAAGGCGAGTTGACCTGCCCGAATTGCCGCGCCGAGGTCAAGGTCGTCGTCGAGATCGCGACGGGCGAACCCCTCAAGGAGAACCGGGCCCCCGCGGCGTGGGGCGGCGCGAAGGCCGTGGCCGTGGTTCCACGGCGCGCGGCGGCGTTACTGTCGCACTTTCCGCCCCTGGGAAGTACCGCGGACGCGGATGCCGCGCGCGAGGCGGCGAATGAGGCGGAAGCGGAGCGGCGGCGCGCGCTGGCGGAAGCGGAGCGGCGGCGCGCGCTGGCGGAAGCGGAACGGCGACGCGCGGCGGCAGAGGCTGAGGCACGGCGAAATGCGGAGGCGGAAGCGCGGCGCGAGGCGTACGAAAATCTAGAGCGGCAGCGGCGTGCCTCTGCTGCGGCGGAGGTAGCGCGACTCAGCGTCGAAGCGGAGACAGAAATGCGGCGGCGCGCGGAGGATGAGGCGGAAATGCGGCGGCGCGCGGCGTTTGAGGTTGAATGGCGGCGGTGCGTGGACGCGGAGGCGCGGCGGCGCGCGGACGCGGACGCGGACGCAGAGGCGCGGCGCGTGCGCGCGTGGCAGCGGCGCCGCGAGGAGGCCGACAAACGCGGAGGCCAGCCAAAGCAGGCCAGCCAAAGCAGGAAAGAAAAGAATAGGAGGTTACGCATGAAGAAGCAGCAGGCCAAAGAAAACAGAGGCCAGTCGAATCATACGCGTGGGCCCGCTTATCCAGGGGGGCCGATGCGCACCGAAGCCCAAGCGAGAAGGCAGAGACGCTACAATACTCGAAAGCTCTACGAGGTTGGAGACGTGCAGCTCTTCGGGGCCTGGCAGCCATTAGCCGAGCCTGAGGCGCTCTACTTCCCGGCCCACTACGCGGCCGGTTTCTACTGCCAGTTCGCCCACGGCGTCGACGAGTTGAGGAGCCCGCCGGCGACGCTGGCGTCGCCCGAGCGCGTGCCCAGCGCTAGCTGCAGCGCGCGCCGCTTCAAGACGCGGCTCTGCAAGTACTTCCTCGCGGGCCACTGCCCCTACGCGGCGACGAACACGTGCCAGTTCGCCCACAGCAACGACGAGCTCCGGGCGCCGTTGGACGGGGGCAACGGCGCGGGCCCGGGCGTAAGCGACTAATCTCAGCCTGCAGATGGCATATCCTTGAACTTCGAAGACACCTGCTGATTCGAGTCCTTTAACCGATGCGTCATATTTCGGGGCCGACGCGGGTCCGCCGCGGTGCTGAGCCCGGAACTGCTCGATGAACTGCACGTTTACTGCAACTCGCTCAGCTCGCTCTGCGAAGTCCACTGCTCACGCCGCTGCATTCCACCCGCGCGCGCCCGCGTCCGCGCGCCCGAGCACCTTGTCTTGTGTCGCGCAGAGCTCCTCGGGCACGCGCAACGTGCTGATGGCTCGTTGGATGCGAGTCGAGAGCGTTCGCGACGAGAACGTCCGGATACGCGCTGAAGCCGGTCGCGCACGCGCGCGCGCGCTGAAGTCGGTCGCGCACGCGCGCGTTGCGCGCGACCCGCGACCGCGACGCCCGCGCAGGCATCAAATCAACCATGGGCTCCGTCGACACTCTTTGCCTGGGGATGTGCGTCTACGCGTTCTTCGGCATCACGTTGGCGCTGTCGCCGCGCGACTTCTGGGGCCCCGAGTCGCCGCTGTGCTACTGGACGGAGATGGACGCGAGCGGCCAGTGGTTCGGCCGCGGCCTCGGCCAGCGTCCTGCATCCGTGACGATTTTCGAGAGAGTTTGACCGGGAAAACGATGAAAAGTCGTTACCGACGCATGTGGTAGGCCTCGGCATCTTCATGTTCTCCGTGGTGCTGAGCCCCTGGACGGCGGGCGCGGACAAGGACACGCTCGCGAAGATCTACCTCATCCCGAACCTCGTCTTCACGCTCCTCTTCGTCCAGGCGTCCTTCTTCATGGCCGAGACGGGCCCGGGCAAGAACGCGATCCTGCCGATCAACATGTGGTGGACGCAGCTCCCCATCTCCCTCGCCCTCGTCTACTTCAACGTGCTCGCGCTCGGGGAGGCCAAGCCCAAGGCCAAGTAGACGCCCGCCGAAGAAGGACCCTGTGACTCAATGTGATCGCGCGCGCGACCCTAAGGAACCGGCGCGCCAACTAGTTCGGGTGGTTATAGGGGTTCCCGTGGAGGATCTCGCCGCAGTTCCAGCCCCGCGGGAGCGCCTCGTCCTTCATGATCGCGGGCCAGATGCCCGGCATGACGAACTGCTTGCACATCGTCGCGCCCATGGTCACGGAGGGGACGCGGACGATGTGGCCGCTGAGCTGGGCGTGGTCGCCGCGGCCGCCCGGGTACCAGAAGTCGTTGCGCTGGCCCGTGTAGAAGTAGTCCTCGACGGTCTGGCCGTCCTTGAGCTCCCTGCGGCAGCCGTACATGTCGTCGTGGGGCCGGGAGAGCGCCTCCTTGGCGTCCGCGCGCGTGAGCCACCAGATCCAGTCCTGCTTCTTGCGGTTCGTGAAGTAGTTGTGGGCGCACCAGGGCACGATGGGGAAGGGCCAGGCGAGGTCCGGCCGCGCGAATATGACGGACGCGAAGCGGACGCCCGTGCGCTCCTCGTGCGCGACGACCATGTCGTAGCACTTCTTGCGGTTTTCGATCTGGCCCAACAGCGACTTGTAGTAGGCCAGGCTGTCGCGCACGCCCAGCCCGTCGTGGCGCGCGCGGTAGTCGCCGCACGCCGGCGCCGGCGCGGAGTGGTTGCCGAGCACGAGGTCCATGCGCGCCTCGTCGACGCCGATGTGGCGCAGGGCGTAGAGCACGCTCGACAGGTCGGCCCGCGTCGTGTCGCCGACGCGCACGCCCTGCTTCGCCGACACGCCGTCCTCGAGCACGGAGCCGCGCTCGTCCTCGAGCTTGAGGTACGCGAACGTCGTCAGGTTGCCGCCGTAGGCGTCGATGAAGTTCGCCTTGAGCGTGCGGTAGACGACGTGGTGCGCGAAGGTCCGCGCCGCGCCGCCGAGGCAGAGCGCGACCTGGGGCGCCGGGAAGTAGAAGCTGCAGACGAGGTCCGCGACGCGGTGCGTCTCCGCCGGCGGCTCGCTCGTCACCTTCGTGTGGCGGAACGTCCAGCCGTGGTCCGTGCCCGGCGGGTAGGGCGGCGTGCCGCCGCAGAGCGTCAAGGCCAGCAGGAGCAGCCGCGACGACGGGCTGCGCCATCGCGACGATGGGCACAGGCTGCCCATCGTCATGCTTCAATTCGGCTCGGTTGAACGTCAAGTTTGCTCCGCGCGGTCGACACATCAGTCCACGTTGACCGGGCAGCGACCTCATCCTCCTCCTTACGTCGCTTCGACGCGCCTCGCCTCGGCCCGGCTCCGCGCCGTCGTGCGCCAGTGGGCGGCGTACGCCTCGACGGACGCGGCCTTCTCCATGTCCGCGAGCCAGGCCATGACCTCGTCCGGGTCGTCGCCGTCGATGATGCGCCGCGCGGCGCGCGCGCGCGAGTTGCGCTTCCGCGACTGGGCGATGGCCAGCAGCTGGGCGGCGTTGAGGCTGATGGACACGCGGCGGTGGCCCGAGGCCGCGAGGAGCCGCGCGCGCTCCTCGGGCGGGATCGCGCCGTCGTCCTGGAACGTCTCCCGCGGGTAGCGCCACGCCGGCGGCCACTCGGCGCCGTCGTCGTCGTCGTCGTCGCTCTCCTCCTCGGAGTAGTCCTCGTCGGACTCGTCGCCGTCGAGGCTCCGCAGGTAGCGCTCCGCCTCGCCGGCGACGTACGCGGCCATCGCCGCGTCGACCTGGAGCGCCGTCGTGCCGCCCCGCAGCGCCTCGAAGTCGTCGAGGTCGTAGGCGTCGTCCTCGACGTAGCGCCCGAGGCCGATGGCCGCGCCGCCGTCGCTCGGCACCGTCGCCGCGAGCGCGTACGCGAAGAGCCTCTGGCGCACGACCGGTGCGAAGCGCACGCGGCCGCGCGGGCGCGCCGACGCCGCCGTGCGGAGCGCGGACCCGGCGGCGGGCGCCGCGGGCGGCGTCGCCGGCGGCGGGGCGACCGGCGGCGGCGATGGCGGCGCGTCGAAGGAGGACGCGGCCTCCGCGGCGCCCGCGTAGAGCGAGAACCGCGCGCGGCTCGCCCGCTTCCCCGTCTCCCGGCGGCCGACGAGGTGGTCCTGGCAGGCGTTGATCTCCTTGATCTTCAGGGCGAGCGCCTCGAGCCGCGCCTCGTCCGCGTCGCGGACCGCGGCGACGACCTCGCGGTTCTGCAGCGCGACCTCCACGAGCCTGCGCGCGAATTCAAATCTTCAACCCGACTTCAATGTAAGCGTACGCGACAATTTCTACGCAACCTCTTTGACTGTGCTTCGATAACTCGATGCGAGCCATCGATCCGTCCAAAAATCAGCCGAATCGACGTCGATGCGACCGAGCGAGAGAGGTTCGAAGTTCGGTCGGGACGTCCCGAACCGGCGGTCGATTCGCGGCACGGCCACGAGCAGCGCCCGCGCGCCCGCGTCGCTCAACCGGCCGTCCTCGGCCATGTCCTTGACGACGGCGACGCCCCGATCCAAAGGCGCGTAGTAGGACCGCAGCGACGCGGGCACGGACCGCTCCGCGAGGACCTTTGCCTTTTTCGCGAGCGCGGCGAGCGACGTCGAGAACTGGCCCTCGGCGCTCGCGAGGTAGGCCGCCTGCGTCTTGAGGGACCGCGTGCGCGGCGTCTCCGGCCGCCGGGGCGTCGGCGGCGCCCGGGGCGGCGCCGCGACGTCGTCGGCGAGGCCGCCGCCCGCGTCGTCGACGAAGAGCGACGGCCGCGACAGCGTGCTCCGCAGGCTCTCGGACCGGCAGCGCTCGAGCATCGTCGGCCCGCCCGCGCCGCGCGTCACGTACATGAGCGCCTCGAGCCAGTTGGCGACGTCGGGCGCGGACGTCGCCGCGAGCACCATCTCGCCCGAGACGGCCCTGCCGTTCTCGCGGCGCCGCAGCGCGAAGCAGTTCATGCGCCCGTTGGCGTCGGCCCGCGGCACGAGCTCGACGACGCGGTCGCTCAGGGCCATCGTGCCGCAGGGCGCGCGCGACTCGATCTCGCCGCTGTCGTGGTACCACTCGAGCTCGTCCCGGCCCTCGACGATGCGGAACCAGCGCAGCTGCCAGCGCACGCCGACGACGGCCTTGAGCAGGCGCTTGCCGCGGTCGCGCTTCCACAGCAGCCCCTCCACGAGGACCTTCTCCTGGACCGTGGGCCGCCCCAGGGACATGAGCGTCTCGCGGCCGATGGGGTTCGAGCACTCGAACTGGAGCTCGTCGTCGTCGCGCCCGCCGGGGAACACGGACTCCGTCACGGCCACCTCCTTCTTCGCCTGCATCGACCGCCGCGACGAAGCCTGCATCGACCGCCGCATGGTGCGTCCCGCTCAGAGAAGCCGGGTTGCCCAGACCATGGCCATTCGAAGCTGCAATATCGACCCGGCAGCAACACGCGGCGGCACGAACGGCCTCGAAGCAGCCCCGGGGCCACCATCGACGGCATGGTGTCGCTGTGCCCGCCCGAGGAGTGGCAGAAGGACACGACGGTCAGTAACTGCCCGAAGTGCGGCGACGACTTTAGCGTCGTCTTCACGCGGCGGCACCATTGCCGCCTCTGCGGTCTCTGTTTTTGCGACGAGTGAGTATGTGCCCACTCTAGCCAAAAATTCACGTCGAATCATGTAGGTGCAGCACCTGGCGGGTCGAGTTGCCGGCGGAGGGCCAGCTCTTCGGCCGGCGGCGCGCCGTGCGGTCCTGCAGCGACTGCTTCTCCTGGGTCGAGCGGCAGCAGCGGAGCCTGCGCGACGCGCGGCTCGCGGAGGCGGCGCTCGAAGCCGAACTCAAAAACGCCGGCGGCTCGCTGACGGACCAGTTCGCGGCGTTCCTCGGGCTGGCGCCGCCGCCGCCGGAGGCCGAGGCCGCGAGCCCGAAGCCCGAGGAGGCGCCGGGCGCCCTCGTGGTGTTGCGGGACGAGGCGGGCTACGCGCGGGGCAGGACAAGAGAGCGAAATTCCCAACTTCAAAGGCTCCTTTCTCGGTCGTTTTCCACTCGTTTCGGCTATTTTTTGGACGAGCGATCATCTCTCGGAGCGCTCTCGACGCGTGGATGCTTTTTCCGGAACGCGCGCGCGCGGAACACTCACGTTGAAGCGACGTTGAATCACCCTTTTGCTGCCCAGGCTACGCGCGCGTCTGCTTCGAGGCGCTCGACGTCTGCGACGGCCGGTCCTGGCGCGAGCACGTCGACGACCTGCGGAGCGGCGCGACGGACGTCCAGCGCGCGGCGACGGTGCTCGTCTGCGAGGGCGACGCCTGGGTCGAGCGCCGCGTCGCGGTCTTCTACGAGCGGCGGCGGCGGAAGGCGTTTTTACGCGTGTCCGGCGCGGGCGGCAGGGTGCTGCGCATGGAGCACCTCTGCCGCACCGTGCGCTTCTCCGTCGAGGGCGACGGCGGCCCGCGGGGCCGCGCGGCCTGGCTCGAGAGCAAGGCGGAGCAGCGCGTCGAGGCCGACGAGGCGAAGCGCGAGGCCGAGGACGCCGCGGCGGACCTCGCGCTCGGCCGCGGCGACGGCTCGCCCCTGACGCCGAAGCGCGTGGGCCCCGTGCCCGCGGCCTGGACGTCCGCCGCCGCGTCGCCGAAGCGGGGCGCGGGGCCGACGATCGTCGCCGACGCCGCGCTGGGCGCCGCGCTGTTCGACGACGACGACGCCGCGTCGGAATTCTCCGTGGCGACGACGGCCGTGAGCCGCCGAAGCCACCGCGTGAAGCGCACGGCGGGCCGCGTGTCCCTCAGGGCCGCGCGGTCGAAGGCGCTCGGCGGTAAAAGCGGCGACGCGCGGCCGCCGGCGTCGGGCCTCACGGCGGCGAATTTATCGGCCCTCGAGGAGGAGACGGCCCTCGCGGCGCCGGCGCCGAGCTACGCCTTCGAGGCGACGGCCGACGACCCGGCCGCGGCCTGCGCGCGCTTCGCGGCCGAGCTCCGTACCGCGGTCGACGACCGCCGGTGGGGCGACGCGGCGACGCTGCTGGCCGTCGACGCGCGCGCGCTGCCCGTCGACGAGGCGGCGCTGCGGCGCACGAAGGTCGGGCGCGCCGTGCAGCGCCTGAGCCGCGACGCGCGCGCGCCGGAGACCGTGCGGGCCGCGGCGCGCGACGCCGTCGCGGGCTGGAGGCGCGCGATCCGCCGGCCGGGCCCCGAGGCGGCGAACCTCGAGGAGACCAAGGAGGCGTCGCCGCCGCCGCCGCTGCCGGAGGCGCCGCCCCTCTACACGCCGCCGGGCTCGCCGGCCGCGCCGCGGCGGCGGCCGGCGCCGCCGCCGCTGCCGCCGCTGCCTGCGGGCGACGACGTCGTCTACGCGCCGGGCGCGGCCGTGCTCTACCGGAGCGGCTCCGGCGGCGACCTCGTCGACGCGACGGTCCTCAAGGTCCACCTCGACGACCCGCCCGAGGCCTACTACACCATCTCCGTCGACGGCGTCGGCGAGAAGCAGACGGACGGCGCGCGGCTCCGGCCCAAGCCGCCCGACGAGGTCATGTCGCTGTAATGTGACTTACGCGTGCACGACGACGGTCCGGACGTCGCCGACGACGCGGTAGCCCCGCTTCGCCGCGAGCTCGCCGAAGCCCTCGCTCTCGAGGAGGTGGCCCTCCGTGAGCTCCGCGGGGAACTCGACGTCGCCGAAGACGTCGGCTCTGATGAGCAGGCACGCCGTGCCGACGGCGTCGAGGGGCGCGAAGCGCTCGGCGCGCGCCGCGAGCGCGTCCATGTGGGCGATGCCCAGGTCCCGCTGCGCGCGGCCGTCGCCGTCGAGCACCGTCGAGACGGGCCTCCGGTAGCCGCCCTGCACGAGGAGCGCGCCGCGCGGCAGCGCGCGGCACGCCTCGCGCGACTCCTCGGAGTGCTGCCAGGAGTTCTTGTCGTAGAGCACGCGGTTGGCGTCGACGACGCGCGGCGCGACGACGTCCGCGTCCGCCTCGAGGAGCCGCGGCACGATCAACGGCGGGAACGACGCGAGGTCGCTGTCGAGCCAGAGCGTCCAGGCGATCGTGACGCCGAGGAACGGCACGCCGAGCGCCGTGAACGCGAGCTTGTTGCGCGCGCGGGCGAGGCGGCTCCGCCGCTGTCGCTGCACGGCCGGGTCGTGGCGGTCGTCGTGCTTCGCGATCTCGCCGTCGACGTTGCGGCCCGTCTCCGGCACGACGAGCACGGACCCGAAGCCCGCCGCGAGGATGGCGCGCTTCGACGCTTTCACGATGGGCATCGACGTCTTGTCGACGAGGAACGCGACGCGGCAGGTCTTCAGCACGAGGCCGCCGAGGGACCGCAGGTTCCGCACGTAGCGGTCGTGGCGGCTCTCGTGCGTGCGGTGCACGGGCGTCAGGATGGCGACGCCGGAGACGTTCTGCGCGGCGGCGACGGCGCAGCAGGCGCACAGCCAGCGCATCGCCTTTGCTTCTAGTGCAAATCCATGGGCTGCCCCATCGTCGCGAACTGAATCACTGCAAGTTGTAGATGTTTACTTAGAAGGAGGCAGCCCATCATTGATTTCCGAGGTGGACGTCGGCGCGAGGCCGCGGCGGTCGCAGCACCATGGTGAACTCGCTCCCCGACGACATGGGCCCCATCGACCCGGCGAAGCGGGACCCGAACCTGCCGCCGGCCAAGTACCTCGGCAAGCCCCACATCGGCCAGGTGAAGCACGAGAGCGACGTCAAGGGCATGGCCTGGAGCCCCGACGGGACGATGATGGCCGCGGGCGGCTACGACAAGAAGATCATCATCTGGGACGTCGAGACCTTCGACAAGGTGCGCACCATCGAGACCGAGGACTGGGTCGAGTGCCTCGACTGGAGCCCCGACGGCGAGCTCATCGGCTGCGGCGGCGGCTTCGACAAGAAGGGCAAGATCTACGAGTTCGAGACGGGCGAGCTCATGGAGGACCTCGAGCACGGGGGCATCGTCTACGCCTGCGCCTTCGCGCCCAAGGCCAACGTCTTCGCCTGCGGCTGCTTCGAGAAGATGGTGACGCTGTGGCACTCGACGCGGGGCCACATGATCACGTCCATCACGACGGAGGGCGTGCTCAAGGCGCTGGCCTGGCACCCGGAGAACACGGCCATCGCGTCCGGGGGCTTCTGCGCGGCGGTGACGGTCTGGAAGATGAACGTCGACGAGGAGAAGCCCAAGGAGGAGATTCTGTGGCGCAACGAGTTGGAGAACATCGCCGCGGACTGCCGGAGCCTCGCCTACAGCGCCGACGGCACGAAGCTCGTGAGCGGCGACTGGGCCGACAAGCTGATCTTGTGGGACTCGGCGACGGGCGAGAAGATCTGGGAGATCGCGAACCCGGAGGAGAAGCACTACTTCGCCGTCGCGTTCTCGCCGGAGATGGACGTCGTCGTCGCGGGCGGCTGGGACTGGCGCGCGACCATGTACCGCGTCGCCGACAAGGAGAAGCTCGACGACTGCTACATCGGCGCGGAGACGGAAGACCACGTCGGCGGCCAGACCGTCCGCAACGTCCGCTTCTCGCCCGACGGCAAGGTCGTCGCGTTCTGCTCCGACGACCGGCAGGTCCACTTCTGGCCCCGCGACGACAAGACGCGGCTCCCCATCGGCGCCGAGGAGGACGTCGAGTGAGCAGGCGGGGTCGACGGAGGGCGTTAAAAGTGCGCCTCCTCTCTTCACGTTGAACTGCTCGATGTTTTGTTGAGCCACGGCCGAGCTCGGTCTTATCCGCAGAGCGGCGTCTCGCGCGCGGGCGCGACAACGGCGAAGCGCGCGCGACAACGGCGAAGCCCCAAAGGGCAGTCGTCGTGCGGGCAGGTGTTTCGAACGCATGATACGCTGTAAGAACCTGGTTCGCCGCGGCGACGTCGGCGCTGAAGAGCGCGCCTCAGTCTATGCGTTTCTCCTCGGTGCACTGCGCCGACCGGGGCGCTCGAGCGCTGAGAGCCCACGGCGCAGTCCCCGAAGCGCGTTATCATTGCGTGTCCTGCCACAAGATGTCATTCAGCATATCGCGCAGCTCTCACACGAGCCGCGGTACGTTGCGGAATTCGCGCTCGAGCCCGACGAGTCGTATGCTTTCGAATTCGGCACAGCGCTTCCGCGACTCACGCAGTTGGACTGCAAAATCTCAGAGCTCGCTGTGACCTGCCTGGAATTTGGTGGCGACCTTCCATGGTTGGAGACCATCATGTTGAAACAACCCATTCTGCGGTCGAGGGTCTACGTCGAGCTGAGGCTGTCGAGTGTCTGGTATGGCACGACTGTCTCGTGCCGTTTCCTATCAAACCAACCTGGGGGACTAATCCTATGGTTCAGTAACGATGGTGGCACGGGTAATAGAGAAACTGTTGAATTGGTGATGCATGGACGGCACTACGAAATTCCGGCTCTCGCCGATTCTTGGACGTGGGTCGATGAACCGTTGGTGGTCCGAATCCTCGTCGATACGCTCCATGGGTGTGTGACTTTTTGCTTGAATGACGTCGCAGGTCTGTGTGTGCGACTTAGTGAGCCACAGTCAAAATGGGAGCGTACTCCAATGATCATCCAGTGCGAGGATTTCCCATATGACAACGGTGCTGATGAAACACGAATGATGCAGACCGCTGTTTCTTCGCCGCCATGTCCACCATTCGTGCTTTGCACGGCAGCTTACCCCAAGAGTGCCAGCGAACTCATCGATTCTGGCTCACTTGTATCTGCCGGGGCAGAGGAGTCGTGGGGAAACTACCCAGCCACACAGTGGGAGACTTGAGGCTAAGCCCATGCACTCGTGCAACCCCAGTTCTGTCTAGACGATTAGGCGCCTTGAAAAACAAGAGGGACCTACGCGGGCACGCAGCCGCAGACCTGGACGCCGTCGACGTCCTCCTCGGTCCGGCCGCCGGGGACCTCCGCGTCGCCGAAGAGGTCCATGGTGATCTGCGGGCCGCAGGCCTCCTTCTCCTTGGCGAGCTTCGCCTTCGTCTCCGCGACCTTGAGGGCCTTGACCTCGTTCTGGAGGTCGCGGATGATGTCCAAATACTGCTTCGCCTGGTCGTCGCTGCCGCTCGCGCGCTTCTGGACCTCGCCGAGGTCCTTGCGGAGCGAGTCGAGCATGCGCATCAGACGCGCGCGCTCGCTCTTGAGCTTGTCGACGTCCTGGAGGTCGCGCTTGCGCTGGACCTTGCGGCGGATGGCGAGGACCATGCGCACGTTCGACTGGAGCGTCGTCGCGGCGCGCGCGCCGCGGCGCGCGACGCGCGCGGCCGCGGCCGCGCGCCGCGCGCGGGGCACGCGCGCGAGCGCCAGCTGCAGCGCCACGGCGCCGCGGCGGCGCCGCCGGGCGACGCGGAAGCGCCGCGCGCACTGGAAGCAGACGACGGCGAGGCGCGACCGCGCGAAGCGGCGCCGCGCGGCGTTCCGCCGGCTCCGGGTCTGCACCAAGACCGCCTTCGCGCGGCGCCGCGCGAAGCGGAACTTGAGCTTGGCGACGAAGAAGGCCGCCATGAATTTCAGGCGGCCGTAGGCGTGCCTCCGGACCGCGCCGCGCGCGACCGTCTGCACGGCCGTCGCCGACCGCATGAGCCGGTGGCTCAGGAGGCTCTCGAGGCCGTCGTAGGAGAACTGGCGCAGGAAGACCTTCGTGAGGCCCACGGCGGCGCCCAGGACCCGGTTCCGCCCCTCCACGTCGCCCGCCGCGACGTCCTCGTCCGGGAAGAGGCACCCGAAGGCCTTGTCCAAGACGACGTCCGCGGCCCGGCGCGCGTCGCCCGCGTCGGAGCTGTCCGCGAGCGACCAGGCCGCGTCGTCGGCGGCCAGGGCCTTGTAGCGCGCCGCGAACTCGCCGTGGGGCATGCGCACGGCGTAGCCCGCGCGCGCGACGCGGACGGCCTCTAGGACGCCGCAGTAGCGGAGCTGCTCGACGAGCCTCTTCGCGTCGACGAGGCCCGGCTTGTTCCGGTCGTTGGGCTTGAGGCAGCGCACGTAGGACGGCGCCGTCAGCGCGACGCGGTCCATGAGGCACCGCAGCTGGAACTTGAACTGCGTCGCGAGCGTCATCTTGCCGCCCTCGGAGAGGCTGCCGACGGACGACCGCCGGCGGCTCACGGAGCCGCGGCGCACGTTGCCCGGCGTCTTCGGCGACGCGGCCATGGCCGCCGCGTCCTCGACGGCCTGCTGCTCCAGGAGCACGAGCGGGAACGTCACGCACTCCCGCGACGAGCCCTTCAACAGCCCGTCGAGGTCCGACGACCGCGCGTCGCGGTTCTTCGCGAGGAAGCCCTCGGTGAGGTATTCGACGCTGCCCGCGTAGTGGCGGATGCGGAAGGCGCCCTCGGCGCGCAGGACGTCGCCCGCGTCGAAGTCGGGGTGGTAGACGTCGGCGCCCGCGGCGAAGACGTTCTTCTTCTTCTTCGAGGGCTTCGGCTTCTCCGTCTCCGGCGCCGCGCCCCCGAAGGACCGGTAGAGCTTCGTCGCCAGCGCCTTGTCCGTGCCGTTGGGGAACCAGCACTCGTCGTCGACGAGCTTCAGCACGCCCGGGCTGCCCTCGAGGAGCTTGAGCACGGACACGTTCGACGGGAAGTCGACGAAGCTCCACTCGACGCGCTCCGCGACGTACTCCTTCTGCTCCGACTCGAACACAAAGTCGTTGAAGTTCTTCTGCATGCGCTCGTTCGTGTAGTTGATCAGGAGCTGCTCGAAGGAGTTGCCGTCGTCGAACACCTCGAAGCCGAAGATGTCCAAAATGCCGATGAACGCCGCGCGGCGCCGCGCCTCCGGCGGCGCCGCGCCGTTGCGGCCGCCCTTGCGCGACGTCGGCGCCGGCGGCGTGAAGCCGCTGTGGCCACCCGAATCCTTCAAAGCGCCGTTGACCTCCGCGACGACGTGCGCGAAGAGCAGGGCGTAGACGGCCTTGCACGCGCCGACGCACGCCTCGCGCGCCTCGCGCGCGGACACGCTCGTCTCGATCTTCGAATCCTCGCGCGCGCCCTCCTCCTTGACGGCCAACGACCGCGTCGTCAGCGCCTTCGCGACGTCCGCCGGCTCCAGGCCCAGGAGCGCCGCGGCCGCGTCCAGATCGCCCTTCGACGCTTCCGCGACGACGGCCTTGTTGTCCACCGTCGCGTGCTCCTCCTCCTCGAACTGGACGTTGCCTAGACGGAGCAGGCCCGCGAGGCAGGCGTAGAGCGCGCGCATGTCGTCGCCGCGGATGCCCATGACGTCGCCGGCCCGCCGGACCTCGCGGAGCATCGCCGCGTCGTCGACGCCGTCGTCGCGGTCCCGCCGCGACGACGACGCCAACAAATCCCAGGCCTCCGGCGCGGCGCAGCCCGTCAAGCCGTGCGCGTCGCGCTCCTCGCCCGCCTCGAGGCCGTTGCAGAGCTCGTAGACCGCGTGGAACGTCCGCTCGCCGTCGGCCTGGTGCACGAGGCGCACCTTCTCCAGCAGGTAGGTCTTGATGTTCGCGCCGTGGAGGCGCCCGACGCCGTCGAACTCGAGCTCGATCCACTTGCCGAAGCGGCTGCTGTTGTCGTTGCGGAGCGTCCGCGCGTTGCCCCACGACTCGAGGAGCGGGTTCGACTCCAAGACGTGGCGCTCGACGGACTCGGCCTTGGGCTCGAGGCGCGCCGTCTCCGTGACGTCCTTGAGCCCCCGCGCGGCGGAGACGATGGCGAGGTAGCGCATGATGATCTTCGCGCTCTCCGTCTTGCCCGCGCCCGACTCTCCCGATACTAAAATGGACTGGTCCGCGGCGCCGGACGCCGCGCCGCTCGCGGCGTCGACGAGGCCCCGCAGCATGGCGCGGTAGGCCTTGTCCGCAACCCCATAAACGTGGGGCAGGGGCGCCGCGCAGCTGTCCGGCGACGCGAAGCGCGCGGCGCCGACGCGCCGGTACGACTCCAAGGTCTCGGGCGCGTACAAATTCGGGACGCGCTTGAAGGGGTTCACGGCCAGCAGGATCGACCCGACGGACGTGTAGATGCTCTTGTGGTCGTAGCGCCGCTTCAGGGCCTCCAGGATCGCCGGCTCGTGGAGGTGCGCGAGGGCCTATTGTACGCGAGTTTCGTCGCGCGAAGCCGCGGGCGGGACGCGGGCGGACGCGCGATGAGGTCGTGGACGTCGAGGACGCCGCGCGAGTCCTTGAAGACGTTCCGCGGCAGCAGGGGTCGGTCGTCGGCCGTCTGCGTGACGCGCCGCAGGTCGCCGCCGACGCAGCGCACCTCGAACTCGACGCTGCCGTCTTCCGCCTCCTTGCGGTTCTCGACGGTCGCGGGGACCCAGAGCGCGTCGCCGTCGGCGATCCACACGGGCGCCCCGCGCGGCTCGTGCTGCTCGCCGTTGAACGTCTGCCGCGGGGACGACGCCATGTCCCCCCGCCGCGCCAGGATGCGGATGGTCCCAGCCAGCCACGTCTCGGGCTGCCTCGCGACGATGTTTCCTTTCAACCACAGCTGTAACGCCGTATTGCTGCCCGACGTGCCTCTAAAACATCTCGGCCGAGCTCGGCGTCGGCCTTGGTGCGCCGCGGCGCCGCCCACGCGGCCCCCGCCTCGCGCCGCCGGTGCCATGTCGGCGGCGAACTACCGGAATGGCGAGATGGCGGCGCACGCGCGGAACCTGGGCTTCACGCTGGCCTGCCTCAAGGAGGGCGCGCGGCGCATCGACGCCCTCGACGCGCGCGACACGGCGGAGACGCTGCGGCCGCTCCTGGGCGAGTTCGAGGAGCTCGTGTCGACGCTCGAGGCGCGGCGCTACGAGAAGATCGCGCTCGGGGACCTGCGGGGCCAGCCGCCGATCCCGCTCGGCGGCTCGAAGCGGCGGAAGGCGTCGTGGGACATGGGCAGCTTCGACCGCCTGCGGCAACTCGTCGGCGGCGACCGCCGGCGGGGCGGCGGCCGATCCAGCGGCGAGAGCTTCGAGGCCATGCGCGACCGGCGCCGCGAGCCGCGCGACGCGGACCCGCCCGCGCGGCGGCGGCCGTCCGACATCCTCACGCGGCAGCTCGGCGGCGGCAAGCAGCGGTCCGAGAGCTTCGGCGCCTCCGAGTCCGACGCGCCGCCGAACCGGCGGCGGCCGAGCCTGCCGCCGGCGGACGGCGCGCCGCACCCGCTCGACGACGCGCTCGCGGCGTCGCGCGGCTCCGGCGCCGCCGACGACCGGCGCCGCTTCCCCGGCGCCCGGGAGGAGCCGCCGACGCCGGAGCTCGCCGGGGGCGGCTTCCTGCGGCCGTCGCTGGACCTCGACCTGCCGCCGAAGCTCGCCGCGGCCTCGAGCAGCCCGGCCGGCGCGCCGCGCCAACCGGCCGTCGCGTCCCTGGGCGACATGCGGACGTCCGGCTCCTTCAGCCGGCGGTCCATCGACAAGGCGAGCGAGCCGGGCACGCCGGGCTCCGCGCGGCCCAACCTGCTCGCGCGCGGCATGTCCCAGGCCTTCGGGCTCAGCGCGAGCCCCGCGCCGCCGGAGCCGCCGGGGCCGCCGACGCTCGGCGCGTCGCGGCCCGGCCTCGCGCGCCAGGGGTCGACGGCCGACCGCTTCGGGGGCCTATTTCGGTCGTCGTCGGTGGCCTCCGTCATCTCGACGCGCTCCGACGCGAGCCACAAGCGGCCGAGCGTCATCGGCGAGGACGAGGCGTACGCGCCGGGCACCGCGGGCGCGTCCTTCCGCGGCGGCCGGCTGCCCCGCAACGAGTCGCAGACGTCGCTGTCGAGCACGGACATGGACGGCCAGGAGTCGGACACGACGGCGGGCTACACGACGTCGCCGGGGCCACCCGGAGAGCCGGGGAGGCCGAAGAAGAAGAAGAAGAGCCGGCGCGCGTCCCTCATGGCGACGGCGACGCAGCTCGTCACGGGCCGGCCCGCCGACGACGACCGCATCGACCCGTCCCAGGAGGTGCTCGACAACTTCCTCAAGAGCTCGTTCACGAGCCGGATCCAGGGCGTGTCCGACGAGTCCGACGGCCACCGGCGCCACCTCATCACGAAGAAGTTCATCTTCCCCGAGGACTCGCCCTGGAAGATGAACTGGGATCTGCTCGTGATCTTGCTGATCCTCCAGTTCATCGTCGTCATGCCGCTCCGCGCGGCGTTTGGGCCGACGTGCAAGTCGAACGAGTTCCTGAACCTGGAGCCCCCGAGCGTCTGGTTCTACCTCGAGCTCGTCTACGACTGCATCTTCATCGCCGACGTGCTCCTGACCTTCCGCACGTCCGTGCGCCTCGAGAACGGCACGCTCGTCACGGACCCGTCGCAGATCGCGGCGATCTACCTGAGGAGCTGGTTCATCCTCGACGTGACGTCGTCGTTCCCCATCGACATCATCTTCCTGATCATCGGCAAGGACAACAACAACAAGAATTTGAAATTCATCCGCGTGATCCGGCTGCTGCGCTACACGAAGGCCCTGCGGGTCATGAAACTGTACGCGAAGAACTCGTCGATGGCGCACTCGACGCTGAACCCGGGCGCCGTGCAGCTCGGGCGCCTCACGGTGACCGTGCTCGCGGCCTGGCACTTCGTGGGCTGCCTGTACTGGATCATCTCCAAGGTCGAGGGCTGGTGCGACCCGCCGCCGTCCGCGCTGACGTACGACGACGACGCTTTATCGTCGTTCGTCGCGGGCTTCGAGTACTGCCTGGACCGCTGGGCGCCCTACGTGGGCTTCATCGGGCGGCCGCTGAAGCAGCAGTACACGCAGGCCGTCTGGTGGGCCGTCCAGGTGTCCACGGGCATCGGCCGCGACATCATCCCGCGGACGAACGGCGAGGTCGCGTTCACGATCCTCGTGACGATCTGGGGCATGCTCATGTACGCGTCGATCATCGGCGCCATCACGTCGGCGGTTTCTGTGCTGGACGCGTCGGGCATCGAGCGGTCCCAGAAGCTCGACCGCATCCGCACCTACCTCGTGAACCACGGCGTCCGCAAGGAGCTCCAGCGCGAGATCGTCAACTACTACAACTGGTCGTACACGGTGAACGCGCGCGACCCCGAGGAGCTCGACGACCTGCCGACGATTTTGAGAATGAAGCTCGAGCTCTCCCTCAAGCAGGACACGGTCGTCGCCGTGCCGCTCTTCAGGAAGCTCCACGCGGCGTGCATCCTGTCCATCGTCCACAACCTCCGCGCGGACGTCGCGCTCCCGACGGAGATGCTCTACGCGGCGGGCGGCGTCGGCAGCCGCATGTACGTCGTCAACCGGGGCTCCGTGGCGCTGTCCGTGCCCCGGGGCATCAACATGTTCCTGAGGCTCCGCCGCGCGAAGCGGAAGAAGGACCAGATCCTGGGCGAGACGGCGCACTTCGACGCGTCCATGGCCGGCCTGATGGAGAGCCTGGACCGCGCCGAGGAGAAGGCGTCGACGAACGTCGAGGGCTGGCGGCGCACGCTCTCCGAGTTCACGACGGACGTCAACTCGTTCGTCGTCGTCGAGAAGCTGTCGACGAAGAGCGACGTCTTCGGAGAGGCCGCGCTCCTCAAGCAGACGCACGTGACCTACGCCACCTCCGAGACGCTGAGCGAGCTCAACACGCTCGCCTTCGACGACATGCGCCACCTGCTCGCCGAGTTCCCCGCGTTCACGCAGGCCGTCAAGGCGACGCACCGCGGCCGCGTCGCGTCCTGCCACCGCATTTTGCAGTCCGTGGCCTACAGCGACGAGCAGGCGGGCTTCAACTTCCAGCGCGAGCGCGCGGCGACGGACGCCTCCGTGAGCTTCGCCCACTCCTTCGCGGAGAAGGGCGACAAATTGGTCGCGGCGTGCCTCATCCAGCGCTGGGTCCGCGGCCTCAAGGCGGGCGGCTCGCAGTCGCCCTTCCAGAGCGTCGTGCGCCACGCCATCCGGGCGCGCAAGGAGCTGCTCTACGGCGGCAAGCCCTGGGACCAGGGGTCGCCGCCGCAGCACCGCCGGTCGTCCGCGCCGGAGGTCCAGATGGCGCACCGGCGGTCGTCCGCGCCGCACATCTCCCTGCCGCGCGAGAAGCCGCCGAGCCCGCGGGAGAAGCCGTCGAGCCCGCGGGAGAAGCCGTCGAGCCCGCGCCACCGGAAGAGCGGCGAGCGGCGGTCCTTCGACGGCGAGAAGCCGCCGAGCCCGACGCGGCGGAGCTCGAAGACGGCCGGCGCGGAGCGCCGGTCCTTCGACCGCGACCGGCCCTTCGACCGGCGGAGCTTCGACCGGGACCGCCGGTCGCCGACGCACCGCGACGGCCCGCGCAAGCGGCCGTCCTTCGGCGGCGACCGCAACAGCCGGGGCTCGCGCGACGAGGCGCCGCCGCCCGCGCGGCGGCGGTCGTCGAAGAAGGCGCCGCCGCCGCCGCGGCCCTCGGGCAACGAGAGCGACTACATGAGCGACCACGCGGATCCCCTGAGCCGCTTCCGCCTCCCGTCGAAGATCCAGGACGCCGTCTTCGACGCGACGCTCCCGTCGCACCCGAAGAAGCGGCCCTCGCGCGTCGACGAAGTCAAGGAGGCGCCGCCGGAGGCGCTCGACGACGACGGCGGCGACGACGACGCCACGGAGCCGCCGTCGGAGCCCGAGCCGCCGTCGCCGGCGCCGAAGCCGCCGCCGCAGCTGCCGCCGAAGGCCGCCGCGAAGCCGCCGCCGCCGAAGCCGCCGTCGCCGAAGCCGCCGCCGCCCGCCGCGCCCAAGCCCCCGAAGGTGCTCATCACGACGCCCGTGGGCAAGTCCGTCAAGACGCCGGGCGCGCCGACGCCGCGCGCCGACGCCGCCGCGCCGCCCGCCGCGCCGTCGACGAACCCGTGGGGCGAGTCGTCGCCCGACGCGCCCAAGCAGCCCCGGCGGCCGCCCGGCGCCGCGGAGCGCAGCCCGTCCCTCGACTCGAACCACTCCTTCAACATCTACGAGCTCGAGATCATGGAGGACGAGGGGGACCACGTCGTGTAGTAATGGGGGATTTGTTTTGTTTTTATATGCTGGGGTCTTTACCGGTCGAGCGCGACTTCAAGGTGAAGCTCGAGTGGAATTCGGCGAGCGAGAACGTCGACGCACTCACAAGGCGCTGCCTTCAAACTCGCGTGACAAACGCGCCGTCGCGCGCCGTCAACCCACCCCGCCGCCAGTCGTACCTCCTCGGGGCCTCGTCGAGCCCCCCACGTGCGCTGTATCACCGCACTTGTAATTTCGGCCCTTGTGGGCCTTCAAAAAGTCTTCAAGCACCCCCCGCGCGCCGTCGCCCTTCTCCGAATCCCTCCCGGGGCCAATTCACAGATGGGCCGCACGGAGACGACGGTCATCACCTTCGGGACCTACGACCTGTTCCACTTCGGCCACCTGCGGATCATCCAGCGCGCGATGGCGCTCGGCGACCGCCTCGTCGTCGGCGTGAGCTCGGACGCGCTCAACTACGAGAAGAAGCGGCAGAAGCCCGCGGTCTGCGAGGAGCAGCGCATGGCCCTCGTCGCGGCTCTCGCCGGCGTGAGCGAGGTCTTCCTCGAGGAGTCGCTCGAGAAGAAGGCGGACTACTGCGAGATGTACGGCGCCGACGTCTTGGTCATGGGCGACGACCACAAGGGCCGCTTCGACGCCATGCTCGAGGGCGTCTGTCCCTGCGTCTACCTGCCGCGGACCGCCGACATCTCGTCGACGGCGCTGAAGACGTCCATCTCCGCGAACGAGCTCATGAAGGCCGCGGCCGTCCGGCATCGCGCGCTCTCGGACGCGGCCGACGACCGGGCGACGGGGCACAACGGCGCCTACGGCGCGTCGAACCCGAACCTCGTGCGCGCGGGCGCCCACGCCGGGATCTTCGACGCGCTGATCCGCGCGCACGACGCCTACTACGACCTCGTCATGCGGTCGTGCACGCCGTTCTGCCGGGTGATGCCGCGCGAGGTCTGCGGCTACACGGTCTTCTCCGCGAACGTCGTGACCTACGGCCGGGGCCTGCTCGCCGTGCCCATCGCCCTGGCGATGAAGTACGGCACCCTGCGCTGGGCGTCGTTCCTCGTGCTCTGGCACGACTTCCTCGACCATGTGGACGGAGTCGTCGCGAAGCAGCAGGCGCGCGACGGCCGCTCCGCGGGCGACGACGGCGCCTTCGGCGCGTTCCTCGACGCGCAGATGGACAAGCTCGTCTTCTGCGTCGTGCTCTGGTCCTTCCTCCTCCTCTGCGCCTGGCCCCTGAAAGACGTCGCCGCGACGGTTCTCGTCGTCGCGACCGCGGCGTCGCTCTTCGCGCTCGAGGCGACGATCGCCTGCGTCCGCACGGGCGACTACTTTCGGGTCAAGTACGCGCCCAAGGCCGCGGGGAAGAAGAGCCCCGCGCTCCGCGCCGTCTCGGAAGGCAAGCTCAAGCAGAAGTTCGAGAGCCTCGGACTCAGCCTCTACGCCCTATGCCTCCCGGACCCGACGGCGCGCGACGCGCGCCCCTTCGCCGCCGCAGGCACGGTCTGCCTCTGGTTCGCCGTCTACTTCTCCTGCCAGAGCCTCGCCCACAAGCTCCGCGCCCGCGCCAAGGCCCACTGAGCGCGCATACTCCCCCGTCCATGTCGTCACTAAAGCTAAGCTGCTCATATCGTGCTCGGCGGTCGCCGTCGATTCTGGCGCGCGGGCGTTCTCCGCAAGGGGCGGTCATCGAGTCGCCGCCGCGGCGGAGTCGCGTTCGGTTCGTCGAGTCCGCGGAGGCGGCGCGGTGTCGCGTTCGGAGGCGGTCGTCGAATCCGCGGAGGCGGCGCGGAGTCGCGTTCGGAGGCGGTCGTCTACCGCTCCGGCACGAGCCCGAGGCTCGTGAAGCCCTGCTTCTCCTTGGCGGCGATCTGCTTGTCGTAGAACGCGCGCGCCTTCGCCGCGGACTCGTGGGCCTTGGGCGCCTGCTCCGTGCCCGCGGCGCCGTGCGCGATCTTGCCGAAGGTTACGCTCGTCGTCTTACCGTCGAGCGTGATCATCCAGAACTTGCTCTTGGACGGCTCGACGTACTCGAGGTACGTCGACTCCGGCGCGGCCTTCTTCTTCGGCTTCTTCGCGTTGGGCTTGGCGGACGCGGGCGCTTTTTTCGCCGACGCCGGCTTCTTCGCCGGAGACTTCTTCGGCGTTTTGGCCTTCGCCGCGGCCTTGGGCGTCGGTTTAGCTGCCACGGCCGCCTTCCTAGGCGTAGCGCTCTTGCTCGCCTTTTTGAGCACCGGCTTCTTGCTGGTCTTGAACAGGCTCTTGAGAGTGGAGAAGACGCCCATGTCTGGAACTTGTGTGGCCTTTGCACGACGAACGTCGACGACAAACGGGCCTTGCGACGCGCCGATTTGATCGAGAGGCTGGCTGAATCGCCAAAGGCAAAAAATCGTCTCGAGCAGGAGGTGGACGACCCGACGCGCGTAAACTTTTTCGCGTCCCGCGAGGACAATGAAGGCCGAGTACGTCGAGAAACAGAAGGAGTACGAGGCCAAGAAGGCCCGGGCGAAAGCCCTGAAGCTCCGCCTGACATGCACCATCTGCGGGACGAACCCGAAGACCTTGCTGAACTGCCCGTGCGGGACGACCCAGCGCGTCCCGGCGCACGAACGGGTCGGGGGCGGCGCGCTCGCGCGCGACGCGTCCCGGGCAGGTACTGCTCGACAGCGTGTCAAAGAATCGACTGGCGCGACCGCGGCCACCGCAAGGCGTGCAAGAAGATCCGAAACGAGCGCGCGGCGGAGGCGGCGCGGGCCGAGGCCCCGACGCCGGAGCCGCCCCCGAAGGAGAAGGAGATCTTCTACGGCCCCGCGCCGCGGTCGCACGCCGACGAGGTCCGCGCGCGCATCGCCGCGGAGCACGAGGCGGCCCGCGTGCGGCGCGAGGCGAACCCGGAGCCGGAGCCGTATTCGGCGCGGTTCGGGGCGCGGTGCCCGATCTGCATGGAGGAATGGGACGTGAATGAGGCGACTGCGCTTCGTAGCTGCTGCTGCCGGAGGGTCTGCGATTCATGCGATGACAAGATCATCAACGCCAAGATGCCGTGTCCACTCTGTCGTTTGCCGTTTCCTTCAGATAATGCGGAATATCTTGCTCGGCTTCGTCGTCACGCGAAGAACGAGGTGCCGGAGGCAGTCGGGCTTTTGGGAAGTTGTTACCGCCAGGGTACGCACGTCACGAAATCGGAGAAGAAGGCCGTGAAACTCTACAAGCGCGCCGTGGAGCTCGGGGATTCGGTCTCGATGTTGAATCTTGGTGCCATGTACGAACGGGGAGACGGAGTCAAATTGGACAGGCAAAAGTCAACGCAGCTTTATCGACTCGGCGCGGACCGAGGGCACCCGCTGGCGCAGAAAAACTTAGGAGGAATTTTGTTCCGGGAGGGAAAAGTCGAGGAGGCGTTCAAGCTATTCATGCTGTCCGCAGAACAGGGATTCACAGATGGTGAATATCTTGTCGGTCTTATGTTGTTCAAAAGCTGGCCGGGCGCTCCCGCAGATCGCGAAGAAGAAGGAAGACGCTGGTTGGTTCGCGCGGCAGCCAAGGGCCACGAGGAAGCCAGGCGAGCCCTCGCGCGTTCAGAACACTTAGCTTAAGTGCGTTGGAGGAGTCGGCGCGATGCCTCCCTGCCGGGCGACGCGTGTCTGAGCTCGCGTGGCGCCGTTCACCGTCGCTTCAGCAAGGACTTCAGCACCGGCCACAGTCGCCGCGCGTGGCAACGAGCCGTGCCCGACGGCTGCGTCAGATGATGGGCAAGCCGCGCGGCATGCGCGGCATCGTCTGCATACTCCTCATCGGCAGCGCCGATGCGCTCGCAGCGACGTTGGCACCGCCGGCGACCAAGGCGATCCCGCCGAAGCTGCACGCCTCCACGGTGCGCGAGCCGCTGCTGGACCAGTACCGCGACTTCGAGGCGCTGCGCGAGGTCGAGTTCAGCCGCGAGTCGTTGCAGCGGTTCTTCCGGACGCGGCCGCACCTCGTGGTCAACCGCTTCTCGTCGGTCGCGTGGACGCTGCGCAAGGCGCAGGAGGATTGGGACGCGTCCGGCGGCCTCAAGCGGGGCGAGAAGAGCGCCGAGTTCGACCCGACGACGCTCGCGGGCAACGACGTCGGCGGCCGCGGCGCCCGCCTCTGCGCGGCGCTGAGCTCGCTCGGGCCCGTGTCCGTGAAGCTGTCGCAGACGCTGAGCCAGCGGCCGGACATCGTCGGCGACGAGGCGGCAGTGTCGCTGAAGGCGCTGCAGACGCAGAACGTGCCCTACGACGACGAGATCGCCTGGGCCATCGTGCGCGAGGACCTGGGCTGGCGCGGGCCCATCGCGCCGGGCGTCGGGGACGGCGACGGCGCGCCGCTCTTCGCGGCCATCACCCCCGAGCCCATCGCGCCGGGCGTCGGGGACGGCGACGGCGCGCCGCTCTTCGCGGCCATCACCCCCGAGCCCATCGCGACGGCGTCCCTCGGCCAGGTCTACAAGGCGACGACGCACGACGGCCGCGAGGTCGCCGTCAAGGTCCAGCGGCCCGACGCCATGGAGATCCTGTCGAAGGACTACCAGTGCTTCCTCCTGGCGCTCTCGGCCGTCCAGCTCTCGTGGGCGCTGTCCGCGGGCGCGTTCGAGGCGGACCTCAAGCTCATCGTCGACCGCGTCGCCGCGGACATCTACGACGAGCTCGACTACCGCAAGGAAGCGGAGAACGGCCGCGACTTCGAGGCGAGCCTCGAGTTCCTGGGCTTCGTGCGCACGCCCGAGGTGCTCGACGAGTACACGACGCGGCGCGTGCTCGTGACGGAGTGGGTCGCGGGCCACCACCTGAGCAAGCTCCCCGCGGAGGAGGGCCTGAAGATGACGCGCATGGCCGTCGAAGCCTGCACGGCGTCGCTCGTGCTCACGGGCTACGTCCACGCGGACCCCCACGAGGGCAACCTGATGCTCGGCGACGACGGCAAGCTCGTGTTCTTGGATTTCGGGTTGATGTCGTCGGTGGACCCGGACATCATGGAGGCCTTCGCGCGGGGCATCCAGGCGTGCCTGGCCGAGGACTACGCGGGCCTGGCCGTGTGCTTCCGCGACGTCGGGTTCCTGACGGACCCCGTGCAATACCGCGCGGACCCCGCGAAGGAGCCCTTCGCGCCCGCGCCGCGGGCCGCCGACGGCTCCGACCCGCTCTTCCCGGAGTTCGTCGACGCGCTGACGGACGCCATGGAGACCGTCGAGGGCGGCACGAGCCGCTTCGGCGCGCTGGCGACGGTCCTGAACCAGGTCCTGGCGCCGAACTGGAAGATGTTCACGCCGCCCTACGTGCTCCTACTCGTGCGCACGTTCCTCACGCTCGAGGGCATCGCCGCGGAGGTCGATCCCAACTTCAACATCTACGAGATGTCGCTGCCCTGGGCCGTGCGGCGGTCGCTCGCGCCGTCGTCGGCCGCGGGCGTCGACGCGCTCCGCGCGACGCTGCTCACGCCGGAGAACCGCGTCCAGTGGCGGCGGCTCCTGGACCTCGTGCCCACGGAGGCCGCGGAGGCCGCGGCGGCGGAGAAGACGGCGTCGACGGAGCAGGCCAAGCAGGAGGCCATGAACGACGCCGTCGGCTCGCTCCTCGGGTCGCCGCGCGGCGCCGCGCTCCGCCAGGTGCTCAACGAGGTCGACCTCAACGACCTGCTCGCGCGCCTGCGCTCGAGGGAGGGGCGGCCGCTCCGGCGCGCCGCGTCCGAGGCCCTCGGCGCCAAGGTCTCGGACAAGCTCTTCAGGCGCGACGCGCCCCCCGAGGACGCCGTCGCCGTCGCGGACGCGCGGCCCGTCTCGGCGCGCGCGCTCCGCATCCGCGCGCGCGAGAACCAGTGGAAGGGCAAGGTCGCCAGGCTCCTCGTCGGCAGCCACCTCAAGCGCCAGCTCCGGAGCGGCTTCCGCGGCCTCCTCGCCTTCGGCACGCTCTCTTGGCTCGCGGTCCGCGTGTCCTTCGGCGCGCTCAACCAGGCCCTCCGGTCCCACTCCTCCTCGAAGTAATCGCTCGTTTGGCTCGCACGGGGTTAGCACTTGGGTTAGCTCCCGCGTGCTTCAACAGCATCAATTTGTCGACGGTGAAGCTTGAATTCTGATCCGCGATCGCGATGGGGCTGCCCACACTGCTTTTCGTGCTCCCGCTCGCCGCCGCGCTCGGCCCGCCGACGCTCGAAGATTGGTCCACGGACGTGCTCGACGTCCAGGTCTGCGGCCTGCCGAGCGACGGCGCGCCGGACTGCCCTGGCTCGCCGTACACGGAGGCGGCCTGCGGCCACGCGCGCTGCTGCTGGAAGGACGACCGCTGCGTCGCGCCGGGCCAGGTGCGTCGCCCCGCCCAGCGCCCGCGGACCCGACGCACGCGCGCAGGCGTCCGCCGGCGACGACCTCGCGACGCTCCAATTCTTCGGCGGCGACCAGGCGCCGGCGCAGCTCGGCGCGCTCCGCGGCGGCGTCGCCGCGGCGACGGACGACGTCGTCGCCGTGACGTCGCTGACGTTCCCGCCGATCTTCGGCGCGGGCGGCGGCGGCGCCAGCGGCGCGGCGTTCCCGCGCAACCTGGCCTTCGGCGGCGCGAAGCCAGCGCTCCGAACGATCCGCTGGCGGCCCCACGAGCTCGTGCGCTCCGGCGAGGTGCTCGTGGACGGCGTCACCATCGACGTCACGTCGACGGTCCGCGTGGGCTTCAACGCCACGCAGGTGCTCGCGCGTCTGCCGCGCCTCTGGGAATTCACCTCTTTCGCGAGTCTACGACGCGCAGGTCCGCCTCGACTTCACGAACCCGACGGACGCGCCCGTCGACGTGTCCATCGAGGCGGAGTTGGTCGCAGACGGCGTCTTGTGGCCGTGACGATTTTCGAGAGATTTCGGCTGGGAAAACGATGAAACATCGTTACCGTCGTGCTCGGTAGGTCGCCGAGGTCCAGTGGTTCGAGGCGACGGGCTGGGAGCAGCGTCCTGTGGCCGTGACGAGTTTCGAGAGATTTGGGGTGGGAAACCTGTGAGAAATCGTTACCGTGATGCTTGGCAGGCTGGGAGTGGGGCCACCCCGGGCCGCCCACGGACGCCGGGAGCTACGCCGCGACGCTGAACGGCTCGTCCGCGCGGTCCTGCGACGCGCGACCCCTGCGGCCCGTGCTCTTCCTCGAGGACTGCGACGCCGACGAGCCGCGGCAGCGCTGGTCCGGCGCGCTCTTCGACGGTGGGAATTCGACACTCCAGAACGCGGCGACGGCCTCGTGCCTCTCGAACGCGAGCGCGCAGCCCCTCATGATGGCCGACGGCTGCGGCGCGGGCGCCGGCGAGTTCGCCTTGAAGGGCGGATCCATCGTCGCCGCGGAGACGGGCCTCTGCCTCGACGCGATCCACGGCTTCAACTACACGGACATCGGCCAGTACGGCTGCCACGCGCGGGACTCGTCGGACTTTCCCCACCAGCAGTTCCGCTACGACGGCGGTTTACTGATCAACGAAGCGACGCGCCAATGCGTCGCGACGTCGCGCGCGCCCCCAAAGCGCGCGTGCGCGGGCATGGCCGCGGCGGCGTCGGACGCGCCCTGCGAGCTCTCCGCCGCCGCTGGGGCCGCGAAGGTCGCGTGCGCCGTGTCCCTCGACGAGCACTTCCCGTCGGGCTGGGTCGCGTTCGTGCTGGACGTCGGGCTCGAGGACGACGCCGTCGAGGCCGACGCGGCGGCGGCGGCCGCCGATTTCCCCAAGGCGTTCGACGCCGCCGGCGCGGGCTCCGAGGCGTGGTGGGCGTCGCTCTTCGAGCCCGACGGTGCGAGTTACCCCGGCAACCTGCCGGTCCTCGAGACGGACGACGCGGAGCTCCTGCGGACGTACTACGGCGCGCTGCTGTCCTTCGGGGCCGTGTCCCAGACGACGCCGGCGGGCGAGACCGTGTACCGGAGCGTCGGGACGACGGCGGGCGCCACGGCGCTCTACATGTGGGACACGGGCTACTCCTCGGACGTCTGGGCGCTCCTCGACGCGCCCGCGGTCGCGGACGTCGGCGCGCTGTTCCTCGGCGCGGATCTGGACCACAACAACGTGCTGGACATCCTCACGCGGCGCGGCGCGGGCAAGTACTACGCCTTCAGCCGCTACGCGACGTTCCTCACGCTGCGGGCCGCCGTCGCGCTCGGCGGCGCGGACGTCGCCGTCGACGCGCTCGACGGCCTCGCGACGGCCTACCTGGCGTTGCCCCAGCTCGACGGCGGCATGCCGGACTACGGCGCGTCGCCCGACGGCTTCCTCGAGTGCGCGCCGGAGTCCCGCGGCCGTGACGAATGTTCGAGAGATTTTGGGTGGCATTCGTCACCGTCATGCTTGCTAGGTGCGTGCCGACCTACGTCCACGGCGTCGCGGCCTTGGGCGCCGCGAACGCGTGGATGCTCCGCGAGACCGCGGCGCTCCACCGAAAAGAGGGCAACGGAACGCGAGCGGCGTATCTCGAGCAGCTGGCCGCGGCGGCGTCGAACGCGACGCTGGGGCTCCTCGTCGAGGACGGCGGCTACTTTGAAGCGCGCTATCCGAACGAGACCGTGCCCGTGCGCACGTGCCTCGACTTCATCCACGTCGGCACGTCCATCCCCGGCGACGTCGACGCCGGCGCGCGAAAAGCCATGCGCGGCTTTTTTGATGAAGAGCTCCGCACGCCGGGCTGGATGCGGGCGCTGAGCCTGGACGACGCAGCGGCTCCCGACTCGGACCGCGCGGACCACGGGCCCCGCGGCGCCTGGGACGGCTGGGTCGGCCTCTCGGCGACGGCGCTGGGTTCGCCGCCGCGTCCCGTATCTCGGCGCGTCCCACCGCGATTCCCCCGTAGGCAACCTCGGCGACTATGCGGGCGCCCTGGACCTGCTCCGCGACGCCGGCGGCGTCCTGTCCGAGGGGCCTTTTGGCCAGGCGCACCGCGTCTACGGCGACAACAACACGGAGATGGTCCGGCCGCCGCGCAAGGGCGGCGACCAGGCCTACCTGGCGACCTGCGGGGTCACGCTCGCGTCGGCGGTGATCCGCACGCTCTTCGGCTTCGACCCGCCGGTACAGGGCGCGGCGGACCCGGCCGCGCTCCTCCGCGACGCGCGGACGCCCCGCGGCTTCGACGGCGTCCTCCGCCGCGTGCCCTACCGCGGCGCGCTCTACGACATCAAGAGCCGCAAGGACCGCGGGCTGGAGATCGCGCCGTCGTCGGCGTAGAGAGAGAGGGCGGTGTAAGGTGAGGTGTAAGGTGGTTCCCCTGGACAGCTCGATCTCACGAGGTTCAGCAGGCGCCTCCACTTGCAGTGGCAGATCGTCGCTCGTAGCGCACCTTGCACGCCTCGAATCATGTCGGAGACGCCGAGCGCGGATGCGGGGGCCCCGAAGTTGATGGACTGGCAGATCAAGCAACGCGAGTACGAGGTGAAGAAGGCGCGGGCGAAAGCGCTCAAGCTCCGCCTCACCTGCACGATCTGTGGAGAGAAGGCGAAGCTCAACTGCCCCTGCGGGACGACGCAGTGCGATCCCGGCGCAGAGGTCGGGGGCGGCGCGCTCTCGCGCCGCACGACGCGTCCCGGCGCGCCGTCACGCGCGACCCTGCCCGCGCCGCGAACGGGTCGGGGCGCGCTCGCGCCGCGCAACGCATCCCGGGCAGGTACTGCTCGACGGACTGTCAAAGAATCGATTGGCGCGACCGCGGCCACCGGACGGCGTGCAAGAAGATCCGGCACGAACGCGCCGCGGAGGCGGCCCGGGCCGAGGCGCCGCCATCTGCGCCCCCGCCCACGCCCGAGGTGGTCTACGGCCCCGCGCCGCGATCGCACGCCGACGAGGTCCGCGCGCGCATCGCCGCTGAGCACGAGGCCGCTCGCGCGCGGCGCGAGGCGAACCCGGAGCGGGCGCCGACGTCGGAGCGTTTCGGGTCGCGGTGCCCGATCTGCATGGAGGAATGGGACGTGAATGCGACGAACGTGCTTCTCATCTGTTGTTGCCGGCGGGTCTGCGACTCGTGCGCGAAGAAGTGTCGAGGCGAGCCGTGTCCTCTGTGTCGCTTGCCGTGCCCGGAAGATAAAGCGGAGCAGCTGGCACGGCTTCGTCGACACGTGGAGAACGATGTGCCAGAAGCGATCAATCATTTGGGCAACTTGTATCGCGACGGCCTATTTAGCTTCGCGAGATCAGACAAAAAAGCCGCCCGAATTTACAAACGCGCCGTGGAGCTCGGGGATGTGGAGGCTATGGTGAATCTTGGTGTATTATACAACAAACCAACTTTCATCAAAAGGGACAGAAAGAAGGCGAAGCAGCTGTATCGCGCTGCCGCAGAGCGGGGCGACGTACTAGGAATGCTTAACCTGGCAGAAATGATTCAGTTCGAGCCTGGTGGGGACCTGGACGAAGCGAAGCGATGGTTTGAACGCGCCGTTGCCGGAGGTCTGAAGGATGCGAAAAACGGTCTCGAGCATCTCCTCATGGCCCCCGCGCCCCCGACGGACGTCGAACTTCGTTTCAAAATCGGGGATTCGGTCGAGTGTTGCACAGGCACGAGCTGGTCCTCTGGCAACATCGTGGCGCTCTGGTACCGCCATGCGACGCTCCCCGCGGGTATCTACATGCCCTATCAGATCGAGCTGGAAGACGGCGAATTGATTTATGCGCCCAGGGACAGCGACGACTGTATACGAGCGCGACTCCGGTTCGCCATCGGCACGGAGGTGGAAGTTTTCAGCCAAGACAGCGATCATGACGAACCGGGTCCTGACGAGTTGGTCCCTGGCTCCTGGGCCGCCGGAAAGGTCATCGACACGTGGGTTAACTTTGAGCCTGCCGAACACGAACGCGCTCGAGCGCGTGAAAATCATCTCGATGAGGAGGAGTTATGCGCGAAGTACGAGGTCGAGTATGAGGAAGGAAATTGTGGATTTGTGCTTTACGACGACGACTTATCCATCCGCCTTCCCCCGAGCAGCCAGGAGACTTCCGAGGCGGACGTCCTCCGCATGTACCACAGCCTGGGCCTGAGCCACTCGTAACAGCCCATTGGACGCCCTAGGCGGAGGGCGCGCACCCCCGTTGATTACGGGTAAGATCACTATACTAGCACGTAGCGACTCACTGGCGACCTCGTCTGCCCCGCGGCGGCGGGACTCGGATCCGGGGATCGCGCGGATGACGGAATGGATGCCGTCACTGGATGGACGTGAGTGTTGCTAGTGATCGATGCATCGCTCGAACCGACGGCGTGCGCCGACGACGACTACGCCTTTCACTTCTTCTTCGGCGTCGGCGCGCGGTGCGGCCGAAGCGAGCGGCGACGCTTCGCGGCCGCGGGCTTGGGCGCGGCCTTCTTCGCCGATGCCGGCTTCTTGACGGCGGACTTGGGCTTCTTCGCCGACGCCGGCTTCTTCTTAGCTGAGGCCTTGGCCTTCGGCGTGGCCTGCTTGCGAGGCGTCTTGTGAAGGGGATTTTTGATCGTCACGTCCTTCTGCTTCCGGCTCCCGAAGAGCGCTTTAATCTTCGAGATGATACCCATATTTACACGACGAGAAGGTGTGATGTGCGGTGCTCTTGGCAGGCGGTTTTTAGATGGCGTTGCGGCGCGGCAGGGCGACGCGGCGTTTTTGAAGACTGCGCCGCCGCTGGCAAAAAATCGGCGAGCGCGAGCACCTCGAGACCTCCCATGCTTGCCCGCTTTACACCTCCCGAAACCGCCGCAACCCGCCCGGAAACCCCAACAAAAGAAGCAGCTAGTCCTAATGTGTGTGATTTAAGATCCCGCGACGCCCGAGAAGACGACTCAGGGCGGCGACGCGGCGGCCGCGCTGCTCAGGACGGGAAAATGCTCGTGGAACTTGAAGGCGACGTCGAGGCCCCGGGTCGCGCCCCCGCCGGCCTGCTCGCGGACGATGTTGACGCGGTTCGCGACGGCGACCTTCATGAGCGCGCGGAGCTCGGCGCCGTCGACGTCCGCGCCCGCGAGCGCCGCCGCCGGGTCGCCGATCTTCGCGGCCTGGTCCAGCAGCTGCTTCGCGTTCTGGAAGAGGTCGCTCGCCGAGTCCGCGAGCCGCCCCGCGGCGCCGCCGCGCTGCGCGCCCGCGACGCGCTCGTAGTCCGCGAAGCTGACGTGCGGCGGGTCCGCGAAGCACGAAAAGTGCGCGAAGCGCTTCGCGAAGCGCAGCGACGCGGCGACGTAGACGGCGTCGTCGTCGTAGCCCGGGTCCGCCGCGCGCGCGGCCGCGTTCGCGTTCGCGCACAACTGGTGGAGCCCCCGGCAGAGGCACCGCTTCGCGCGGAGCACGGCGTCGCACGCCGCGTCGCGGTCGTCGGCGAGCTTCTCGAGGGCGGCGTCGGCGTCGCTCAGCGGCGGCGCGTCGGGCTGGCGCGCGAGCGTGTCGCGCATGACGACGCGGTGCCGCGCGGCGGACGACGCGACGGTGCCGCGCGCGGCCAAGAGGTACTCCCAGTACCAGAAGACCTGCTCGAGCTCCTTGGGCGACGCGATGAGCTCGAGGTGGACGTCTAAAGCGAGGCACTGCTCCATGAGGAGCAGCGAGTGGCGCAGCGCCCAGTTGTAGAGGTACTGGACCTGTGTGCAAATCGACCAGTGAGCTGGGACGTCGGGGCCAAACTTCAGAATTCTCTAGCTCGGTCAAATCGAAGTCGATTCGGCTGATTTTTGGACGAATCGATTGCTCTCAGCGAGTTCTCGAAGCACGGCGGAAGTGATCGTGTCAAAACATTCGAATACGCTCACATTGAAGTCGGGTTGAAGATTTGATTTGCACACAGTACTGGACGTCGACGCGGTTCCGGTCGCCGCCGAGGCCCAGCGCCGCCGCGCACAGCCCGTCGGCCTCGATGCCGTCCTGGACCAGGGCCGCCCAGTCCAGCAGCAGGTTGGGCAGCCGCGCGCGCAGGCGCGCGCGGTTCGCCGTGGCGACGCGCGCCGCGTCCAAGGTCGCGCGCGCGGCGCGCGCGGCGAACTCCGCGCCCGGCCGCGTCGACAGGATGCACGACGGCGCGCCCGCGCTGAGCAGCGAGTCCGTCACGAGGGAATAGACGGAGCACTTCTTGGCGCCCTTGCCGAGCACGACGGAGGACGCGTGGACGCCGAAGTCGTCGTGGCTCAGCAGCTGGCGGAGCCGCGCGCCGTCGCCGCCGAGCTCGAGCGCCGCGAGCGACCGCGGCAGGCAGAGGCGCCCGCCGCCCCGGTCCTCGGAGCCCACGAGGTCCACCAACCGCAACACGCGCAGGTGGCCGTGCTCCGCGTAGCGGCCCTGGAGCGCCTCGGGGACGCGCGCGCCGTCCGGCGACGAGAACCGGAAGCCCGCGAGCTCGCGGCGCAGGTCCAGGACCCGCAGCAGCCCCGACGCGAGGCGCCGCTTGCCCGCGCGGCTCTCGGCGCGCTCCGCGTAGGTCGCGTAGCCCCCCTCCTTGATCGCCGCGCCGCGCGTCGCCGAGCTCTCGTCGCGGCACGGACCGAACGCGGCGTCGCCCGCCGCCGCGTCCGCGGCGCTCCGGTCGCGGCCCTCGGCGTCGCCGCCGCCGTTGAGCGCGTCGACCATGGCCTCGAGCACCGTCGCGTTCGACGACTCCGTGTTGAGCATGGCCGCGAGGCCCTCGACGAGCAGCCGCCGGTGCCTCACGTGCCGCGCGGCCGCGTCCGCGTCGGGCCCGCCCAGAGCCTCGAGCCGCTCCTCGGCCGCCAGCGCCAGGGCCCGCGCGCGGTCGTCCGTGCCGACGCCGGACCCGGACGCGCCGCTCGACGCGCAGAAGTCCTCCTCCTCGTAGATGTCCGCGCGGAGCGCGGCGACGCGCGCGGCCTCCAGCGCCCAGAGCGAGCACGCGACGGCCGCGACGACGGCCGCCGTGCCCGCCGAGTCGTCGACGCTCCGGGCCGCGTCGAAGACGGGGTCCCGCGCGTAGAAGCACGTGAGCACGGACTCGTGCGCGGACGCGCCCGCGAACCACGCGACCTCGAGCGCGAGCAGGCGGTCGAGCACGCGGAGCGCGGCGCCCAATTCGAGCCGCAGCGGGATCGTGCCGGCCCGCAGCCGCTCCTCGACCGACGGCTGCGGCGCCTCGTTGCCCAGCGCGTCCATCTTCGGGTCCAGCAGCTCGCAGGCGCTCATGGACTCGAAGAGGCTGAAGGTGTCGGCGCTGAGCAGCTCGTCGATTGTGAACGACGACGCCGCCGCCGCGACGTCGTCGGTGATGTCCTGCCAGTCCGTGGCGTCCGACGACGGGGTGGCGCTTGGCCCAGGAGCGAAGGACGCCATGCTGCCGGCGAGCAACCAGGCTGCAGGCTAATGTTGCCGTCGCGACTAGTCAGGCAAATCGAGGGCAGCAACAGCTTCGGCAGCAGCCCGATCGCGGCGCGATGTCTAGTCTTGCCGAGATTGCGAGCCACGGTCAAGTTGGTAAATTACGCAAGTTTCTTAGGCAGCGTCCAGGTATGAACTTAAAGAAAGGGAAGAAAGGCCAGAGGGCTCTCTACGCCGCCGTTTGGCGAGGACACGCCGACTGCGTGAAAGTCCTGCTCGACGCGGGTGTTCCGGTGAATAGCCCTATACCTTCTGGTCGTTTACCGCTTGGAGCCGCGGCGGCTTGCTGCGCAACCGGCGAGTTGAAGGTCAAAAATGAAAAGGCTCGCCGCCGCCGCGCGATCGTCGACATGCTCATCTCCGCTGGCGCCGATGTCGATCAGACGGATGATGAGGGGATGGCGGCGTTGGATTATGCGGCTTTTTACGGCCCTGCCGTCGGAGCCCGTCGAGACGTAATCTTAGCGCTCCTCCGCGCTGGAGCCAGCGATTTGCCTCAACAACCTCAGAAGCCTCAACATTTACTACCTAACTGTTATTCTCGGCGAACATCCCCCGCGATGCAAGCAGGTATTTCCAAGCACGAGTCCTCCTACGCGTTGATCGACAAGTTCCGCGAGGCCGGCGGCTACAAAAAGTTCGCGGAAAATCATCGCCGCGTCCTCAGCAGCATCGTCTCCAAGTGCGCGCGCGCGTGCACGGGCAGCCCCTCCTTTCGCACCGACGCCGCGGGCCACGTCGTCGACTTCTGGTGTCCTTTCGGCGGCCACTAAGAAGCAGGTGTTACAGAGGGACCCACCCGCGCGCGAGAACCGTGCGGCCTCACGCGTTCGTGATGGGCATGAGGGGCTTGCGGGCCGGCGCGCCGTCGAGGCGCTTCGCCGGCTTGGGCGCCGCGAGCGCCGGGAGCGGGCTCGGGGGCGGGTCCGGCGCGTCGAGCGCCGGGAGCGGGCTCGCGTCGGCGCTCCGGTTCGACGTCGGCGGGTCCTCCTCGGGCTCCTCCGTCTCCGGCGCCTCCGCGCCGAGGAGCAGCGGGAGCGCGGCGCCGTCGCCGTCGCCGTCGTCCGCGCGCGGGTCCTCCCACTGCGTGTGCCCGGACGCGATGTGCTCGTAGTAGGGGTGCTGGTTGTCGTGGCAGAACAATTTCTGCCACTCGTCGCCCTCGGCCGTCGCGAAGAGCTCGAGGGGCGGCGCGGGCGCGTCGTCCGCGGCCGAGAAATCCGTCGGTTCGCCGTCGAAGCCGTACTCGTCGATCAAGTTCGCGATGGCCGCGTCGCGCTTCGAGCGCGCGACGTCGCCCGGCGTGAGGCCGTCGTGGTTCTTCGGCGAGGGGTCGCAGGCCGTCTGGAGCAGGAGCCGCGCGCAGCGGAGCGCGCCGACGCGCGCGGCGACGTGCAACACGACGTCGCCGCCGTCGTCGCGCGCCTCCAAAACGTCGTCGCCCGCGGCGTCGAGGAGGACCGCGAGGACGTCGCGGCCGCCGTCGCCCCGCGTCTCCAGGAGCACGTGGGCCGGCGTCTTGCCCGCGTTGTCGCGGACGCGCGCGTCCGCGTGGTGCTCCAACAGGAGCTCCGCGAGGTCGACGCGCCCGAGGCGCGCGGCGACGTGGAGCGGCGCCTCCGTGCGGCCCGAGCGGTCCTCGCACTGGGCGAGCGCGTTCGCCGCGACGGCGTCGGCGCCGGACGCCATCATGCCCGCGAGCGCCGCGCGCGCGGCCAGGGCGTCGCCGCGGCGGAGCGCGTCGACCAACGTCGCGCGCGGGCTCTTCTCCGCCTCCTCGGGGATGTCGGCGTCGAAGTGGCGCGTGCGCCGCCCCCGCGAGCCGCCGGACCGCGACGACGCCGGCCCGCCGGACCGCGACGACCGCGTCGACGACGGCGTCGAGTCGCGCGAGTCGCCCGACCGCGAGGACGCGAGCGCGACGGACCGCACGCTCAGGTCGTCGTCGACCTGGGGCTGCTCCGAGTCCTCGGAGAAGCGCAGGGCCCGCTCGCGCTGGAGCATGGCGACGACGGCGCGCAGGCCCCGCTTCCAGGCCCTGGCGTCGCGGTCGTCCTCGGCCGCGACGTCGAGCGTCCGGTCCTTGGACACGAGGGACCAGCAGAGGTCGGCGACGGGCAGCGTGCGCTTCGCCGCCGCCTGGACCCACCAGGCCGGCGTCTGGTGGCCGCCGCGCAGCTCGAGCACGTCCTCGAGGCTCAGGGACCGGTCGCCCTGCGCGGACACGGACTCCGACGCCGTCGTCGCGCGGCTCGTGCACCACGTGAGCACGACCTCGTCGGGCCGCCCGGCGCCGCCGCGGCGCAGGGCGACGCGGAACCAGCGCTTCTGGGGCATGACGCCGCTCGACGAGAAGGGCACCTTCCAGAGGAAGCCGCCCTGGCGCAAGCGCGGGGGGAAGACGTCGAGCGCGGCCGCGAGCAGGCCCAGCGAGTCCCTGGCGCCCGAGGACGTCGACCGCCCGGACCGGAAGGGGCCCGGGTTCACGGGCGCGAAGAAGGGCACGCGCGGCGCCGCCGAGTTCTCCGGCGACGCCCGCGGCTCGCCGCCGACCCATACGGGCGACGCGCCGAGCGTCGACAGCGACGGCCGGCGGCTCGTCGCCGTCGGCGTCTGCCAGGCGCGCTCGCTCTTCTGGAGCTCGCGCTGGAGCTCCGCGTTGCGCCGCCGCAGCGACGCGAGCTCCTCGACGACGGGGCTCGACGCCTCGCGCCGCGGCTTCTCGGCCGAGCGCGCCTCCGGCGACGCGAAGGGCGGCGACTTGAAGGGCGACTTCGCCGGCGGCGGCACGGGCGGCGTCGGCGACAGGGCGCCCTGCGGGTCCGGGCGGCGCGCGCCGGCCCGGCGGCCCGCCAGCGACTCGTGGCGCATCGCCTCGTTCTCGAGCCGCAGCCGCTGTATCTCGCCCTCCATGTGCGACTTCATCTCCAGCGCGGCGAGGGCGATCTCCTCCACGGTCCCGGCGTCGGCCGTCTTCGCCGGCAGTCTTTTACGCAGCAGCGACTGCTTCTGGACGATCTCGACGGGCACCTCGCTGTCGAGCACGTCGTCCATGGGACCGACGCGCTCCGACGACGCCTTCTGGACGTCGTTTTTCGTCACCGTTTCCTCCGGTAGTGCGGGCTCCATGGGCCGCGGCAGGCCGCGGCGGCGGTTGTGACGATGTCCGGCAGCGCTGCGACGACGCGTAAGACGGTTCTCGACGGGCAGCCTCACTCGAATAAACCGTCTTGCGTGGGTGCATGTTGCTTGGCGAGTGCAGACTTTGTGCGGCACGGTTTGCGATGTGCCTCTGTTAGGAGGCCCTCCCCGCGTACCGTCACCCATGCAGGACGCTCTGCGCGCCGTCAAGGAAGCCTGGGGCGCAGAGCGCTGGGCGGAGCTCGACTCCTCGACGAAGACGAAGCTATGGACGCTGAACATGAAGCAGGAAGACGGCTGGCGGCCGCCGGCGTTGCCTGGCGCGGCGCCCGAGGAGCCGGCAAGCGCGGCGCCCGAGGAGCCGCCGAGCGCGGCGCCTGAAGTGCCGCCCAGCGCGGCGCCCGAGGAGCCGCCCAGCGCGGCGCCTGAAGTGCCGCCCAGCGTTACGCCCGAGCCGGCGGCCGAAGACGGCGCGGCGCCGGAGCCGGACGAGGAGGACGACGGCCTCGCGGGCCTCGTCGCGTCGCTGGCGCTCGAGCCGGCGGCCGCCGAGCCGGAGGCCGCGACCGCGGTCCCCGACGAGCGGGCGGAGGACGCGCCCGCGGTCCCGGAGGAACCGCCGACCGCCGCTCCGGACGAGGCGCCGACGCCCGTCGACGAAGCGCCGACGACGACCGAAGCGCCGAAGGAGGAGCCGCCGCAATCAATCGAAGCACCGCCGCCGGCCGCCCCCGACGACGACGACGACGACCTCGTTTCCGCGCTGTCGTCGCTCGGGCTCGGCCGCGACCCGAAGCCCAAGCCCGCGCCGTCGCCGTTCCGCCGGGAGCCGACGGGCCCCGCGTGGGCGTCGCTGCGCGACTACCAGCGGCGCCTCGTGCTCGACGCCGAGGCCGCGCTGCGGAGCCCCGGCAACCGCACGGAGGCGCGGCCCTTTGCGTCCGCGCTCCTGTCGCTGGCCACCGGCGGCGGGAAGACGCGGGTCGCCGCGGCGCTCCTCGAGCGCCTCTGCGGCGGGCGGCGCGCGCTCTTCGTCGTGAACCGCACGGTGCTCGCGGCGCAGACGCGGCGCGCGCTCCGCGACTTCGCGGCCGTCGACGAGCGGGACGACGGCTTCAGGAAGCCCTGGGGTTCTCCCGACGAGTGCGACGCGCGGCCGCGCGTGACCGTGGCGACGATCCAGGCGCTGCGCGCGAGCGGCGCCGCCGAGGCGGGCGGCCTCGACTTCGACGCGGTCGTCGTCGACGAGGCGCACTCCGCGGCGGCCGACAGCTACCTGAGCCTGCTGTTCACGGGCCTCGCGTCCAAGCCGCGCTGCGTGGTCATCGGGCTGACGGCGACGCCCTTCCGGCTCTCGCGGGACGCGGTGCTCGGGAGCGCCTTCGGCGGTTCGGTGGCCGGGCCGCAGATCCGCGACCTCGTCGCCTCGGGCCACCTCGCGAGGCCCGACGTCGTCGGCCCGACGCCCAAGGACCGCCTCGCGGTCCGCGCCCTGCGGCCGCGCACGTCCAAGTCCGCCAAGGAGGACCGGGCCCTCGACGACGCGGACGCGGTCCGTCTGGCCGTCCGCTGCTGGGCGCGCGTCGCCGCGGACGTCGAAAACGCGACGGCCGTCGCCTTCTGCCGCGACGTGAAGCATTCGTTGGCCCTCCGCGACGCGCTCCGGGCCGCGGGGTTCCGCGCGGAGCACGTCGACGGCTCGACGAAGGAGAAGGCGCGGGGTAGGGTCCTCGGCCTCCTCGCGGACCGAAACGTCGACGTCGTCACGAACGCGGCGCTCCTCTGCGAGGGCTTCGACGAGCCGTCGCTCTCCGCCGTGCTCCTCCTGCGGAAGACGGAGTCGCCCGCGCTCTACGCGCAGCAGGTCGGCCGCGCGCTCCGGGGCCACCCGGGCAAGGACCGCGCGGTCGTCGTCGACGTCGCGGGCAACTCGCGGCGCCACGCGACGGCGCTCTTCGGCGACGCGGCGCGCGCGGACCGCGACGACGGCGGGGCCCTGGCGAAGGCGCTCGCGGAGAACGCGGACGCGGCGCCGGCCGCGCCGAAGAAGGGCAACCGCCAGGCGAGCGCGCCGCCGCCGCCGCCGCCGGGCGGCCTCGTCGCGCTCGGGCGGCGCGGCCCGGGGTTGGTTCGCGGGAAGACGGTGGGGTAGGTTTATTAGGAGGTTTGGCTTACCATCCTGTTTCGACTCGGTCTCTAGATGCGGTCGGATGCGACGGATGCCGGCGCAAAAATTACATAGGGGGGCGCGTGTGCCTCAACACAAACACGACATCGGCCGATCTGCCGGTGCAAAATCTCTGTCTCCTCCCCTCCCCTCCACGCTGGTTCGCCTCCTTTGGCCCTACAAGCGTTCAGAGCGGGCGCTTGGGCTGGGCGTCGGAGTAGCGTTTGCGCACGTCTGGGCAGCGCTCGCACGCGTCGGGGGTCGCGCACGGCCAGACAGCTCTCGAAACGGGCCCATTTTGGTTGAGTTCCCGTAACGCGAAGTTCCGCGCGGCGAATTTGCGGCCACGCGTCCCCCGCGCCCCGCCATGAGCCACCCCGCGCTGAAGCGCGCCCGGGTGATGTACCCGGAGGTGGGCGACATCGTCGAGGCGCTCTGGGACGGCGGGAGCTGCTACTACCTCGGCACGATCACCGCCGTCATCCCGCCGAAGACGTCGAAGCGGACGCCCAAGTTCGACATCCACTACCACGACGGCGAGACGGAGCTCGGCGTCGACTGGGACCTGCTGCGGCCGCCGAGCGACGGCAGCGGGCGCGACTGGACCGTGCCGCGCGACGGCGAGGCCGAGGCCGAGCCCGAGCCCGCGGCGCCGGCGCGGCCCGCGCAGAGCCACCCCTGCGAGAGCTGCGGCCGCGTCTTCACGACGGCCCAGGGCCGCGCGGCGCACCGGCGCTTCGCCGTCGAGTGCGGCGGCGGCGTCGAGAAGAAGAAGAAGCCGCCGCCGCCGAAGCCCAGGGCGCCGCGCGCGCCGAAGCCGAAGCCGCCGCCGCCGCCCGCGCCCGCGCCGGAGCCGCCCGCGCCCAGGCCGGAGAAGCGCCCCCTCGTCCTCAGCGACAGCGACAGCGACGACGACGTCATCCTCGGCGAGGCCTGCCACGACATCCGCGCGGCGTCCGCGCCGCCGCCGCTGACGGCGTCCGGGCGGCCCGGCCGCGCGGCCGCGGCCGGCGCGGCGGCCGCGGCGGCGGCCGCCGGCGGCGGCAACCACCGGTCCCTGAAGCGGCGCGTCGGCCTCGACGACGACACGACCATGCTCTTCCTCGCGCCGCCGCCCGTCTACGAGCTCGCGGACGGCACGCCCGTCGAGGGCCCCACGAAAGAATCCGCGCGCATCGTCCGCCGCCTCGTCAAGAGCGAGGAGACGACGCTGGACCTCGACGTCGTGCGCCTCGCCCTGGACACGGACCGCGCGACGAACCAGCAGGACCACGGCCGCCTCGGGGGCATGCTCGCGGGCCGCATCGGCTCGAACAAGTACGTCGCCGAGTACGCGACGGACTGCCGCGCCAAGTGCCGCTACCACAAGTGCAAGGCGGCCCTGCGCATCGGCGAGCCGCGCATCGGCAAGATCCCGCCGCGCGTCAACGAGAAGCAGAACAAGCGCGTCCACTGGTACCACCCCGCGTGCATCTTCGAGTCCTTTAAAAAAGCCTCGAAGCGCACCAAGGTCATCGAAAAGCCTGACGACCTCGAGGGCTTCGACGCTCTACGGCTCTACGACCAGGACGAGATCCGCCGCATGATCGCGAACCACCAGCCCGACGGCGAGCAGAAGGCGCCGGAGTCGTCGCTCGAGGATTTGGCCGCGATGGCGCTCTTCGGCATGGTCGGCGCGGCGAAGAAGCCCGCGGACGGCGAGCCCTCGGACTCGGACTCCGACGACTCCTCCGCGGCGCCGACGCCCGCCGAGGTTTTTTCCGGAACGACGCCCGCCGACGTCTTCTCCGCCGCGGCCAAGGCCTTCAACGCCGCGCCCGCGGAAAGCGGCGGCGTCGCCGCGCCCGCGGAAAGCGGCGGCGGCGACGCCGCGCCGGCGCCGGCCAACGCGCCGCCGCTCGAGCCGGCGGCGCCGGGCGTCCTGCTCTCCAAGTCCTTCATGATCTCCGGCGAGCCGGCGGCCGAGCCCGACGCGCCCGAGGCCGCGCCCGAGGCGGCGCCCGAGGACGACGCGGCCGAGGAGGCGCCGAAGCCGCCGTCGTCGCCGCGGTCGCTCGCCGCGGCGTCGATGCTCGCCGGCGTGCTCGACGCGCCCGCGGCGCCCGCCGCGCCGGCGCCGGCGGTCCCGCCGCCCGCGGCGGCGGCGCCGCCGCCCGTGGGCCTGGGCTCCGGCGTCGCCCACATGCTCGCGGCCTACGTCGCGTCGCCCGTCGCGCTGCCGCCCGCCGCCGCGAACGCGCTCGCGGCGCCCGTCGACGAGCAGCTCGCCGCCGCGAACGCGCTGGCCGCGGCGGCGAGCGGCGCCCGGGCGCCCGCGGCGCCGCGGCCGGTCATCGACACGGCGGCGGCGGCGGGCGCGCCCGGGCGCGGCG